GTACCTTCTCTCTAAATGCTTCACGCAAGTACAAAAACAAATCTTGGGTTTCAACATTTTGTCCATATGTACGAAGTGCAGAAACCTTTTAAATGTGAAAAGATAAAGTCTACTTGATCTCTGTCCCTTAGACCTCCTCAGACTTATAGCCCGCTCAACTTCTTCAATAAACTCATCTACGGAGTGGGCATCTTTCCGATAACCATTAAATGGCACGCTTCTCTCTTGGTACATATACAATAGACCTTGTTTGTGAATCACCCAAAGAACCTATACTTGAAATAACTTTCTTTGCGTCTGCTCTCTTCGTCCATCATCTTCTAGTCCTCACGTCCTTCGTAAGCGTTGCCAGTGAATCACTTGCAGTAGTATACTCAGGGTGAATATCCTCTTCACCACTACTGTTGTCTTGTAATAATGTCAAAACATATAAATATATCTCTTTAAAAGAGCCAATAATACCAGGAAATCCCACTTCTGACACCAAAAATGCTTGTCACCAGATGATAGTGGTTGGTACTATTTTGAATCAGGAAAATAATGTACCCAAGACAAGCTCCAAAGATTTTGTGGTTCTTTAATTTCCGACTGCCTCTAGAGAAAGACAGCATTAATTCAGGTATTTTTGGCTTTTTCTTTTCTTTCTATTTAACAACGTTACTCAATTCACATAAAATTAAAATAAACACTTCATTCTCAAAAATAAGACAAGACAAGACAACAGTAGTGGACTACAAAACAACTGGTGTAGGCTCACTATAATAAACAAAATAAATACATGTAAAATGTTCATTTATAGAATGGAAATGGAAATATCAGTTAACAATCTGCACTCACTTTCAGTCTGGTAGGAACACAGCTCAAACCAAATCCAGAACAACTGAGAATATAACAGTGGTCTTTCTCCCCTCTGCATAAAGCAAATAGTGAGTACATTTCGTGAATAACCATTTAAAATAAACCTTAAACATGTAACTAACATAGTGATCTGTCAACTCACGCCAAAACGTTGACCAACGGCTTTATACACGCAGGTCTGACAGTGTTACGTATGTATGCCTTCTACCAACACCAGATCTACAGATATATAGAGCAGAAATCATCAGATATAATGCAGTAGATATACAAAAAGATAATTTTATCATTAAATCCTTTTTTGTTATCTCTATTTACCGTTTTTGGTGCCACAACTTGCCAGCGCACCATCCAACGTCTCTCAAGGCGTTGCCAGGGTAACGTCTCACGTGCAGCACCTGACACCTCCCAACCACACGCGCTGTAACAGCACCCTCTACTGGCCAAACCGGGGACAGTATCTGCCGTTCGTCCTATTATTATTTGACCCGGCTACAGTTAGCTTCATAGACCGTAAGTTAGCTTCACAGACTGTAAGTTAGCTTCATAGACTGTAAGTTAGCTTCATAGACCGTAAGTTAGCTTCATAGACCGTAAGTTTGCTTCATAGACTGTAAGTTAGCTTCATAGACCGTAAGTTAGCTTCATAGACCGTAAGTTAGCTTCATAGACCGTAAGTTAGCTTCACAGACTGTAAGTTAGCTTCACAGACTGTAAGTTAGCTTCACAGACTGTAAGTTAGCTTCACAGACTGCAAGTTAGCTTCACAGACTGTAAGTTAGCTTCACAGACTGTAAGTTAGCTTCATAGACCGTAAGTTAGCTTCATAGACCGTAAGTTAGCTTCATAGACCGTAAGTTAGCTTCACAGACTGTAAGTTAGCTTCATAGACCGTAAGTTAGCTTCATAGACCGTAAGTTAGCTTCACAGACTGTAAGTTAGCTTCATAGACCGTAAGTTAGCTTCATAGGCCGTAAGTTAGCTTCATAGACCGTAAGTTAGCTTCACAGACTGTAAGTTAGCTTCATAGACCGCAAGTTAGCTTCATAGACCGTAAGTTAGCTTCACAGACTGTAAGTTAGCTTCATAGACTGTAAGTTAGCTTCATAGACCGTAAGTTAGCTTCACAGACTGTAAGTTAGCTTCATAGGCTATAAGTTAGCTTCATAGGCTGTAAGTTAGCTTCATAAACCGTAAGTTAGCTTCATAGGCCGTAAGTGTAAAGTAATTGAATGTCCACACAAAACGTCGTGCGTAGTGCAAGGCTTTTACTACGGGTTCGGAACTAGCATAATCAACATGCAGGTTAACAACAAGAGGTATACAGTGTGTCATCGCGGGAGTTACCCCGGTAACCAGGCCAGATGTGATTTACGGCACGTGAGCCTACTGTCGTAAAGTATCTCTTACATGACATCTCCCCTTTTCAATTCTTTTTTTTTTTTTTTTTTTACATTCTGTAGCAAAAACAAAACCTTGTGAAAGATACTGTAAGAAACTCTTTCATTAGCTGTTTCAATAACACAGAATTTCAAAATGTAAACAGTAATATAAACAGTGCAAAAATAATTAACATTCTTAACACTTTTCTTCTCTTCTATTGTTTTTTTTTTTTTTTGTTTTTTTTTTTTTTTTTTTTGTTGGGCAGTGTTCTTCGTACACCCTTACAGATTCAGTCTTTCTACAGGTCTGCATAACCTACCAGACCGTGTGTACAGCAGTCCATCATCAGGTGGGCAAGGCTGGGTAGCAGGCAACGCAGTGTCTGTAGAAACGGTAGGTACAGCCTGTCGGACAGCATCAGGCTGCGGCTGCTGTAGTGATGGAGGTGGCGTGGTAACAGAGGATGCAGGCACGCACAGCAGATGGCGACGGTTGCGTCTCAGAGTTGCCCCTTTTTGCGTCTCGATGACATAAGATCTCGGGGTAGTGCTGTCACCAGCAACAACAGCGGGTGATCCCCAAACATTCTGATGGTCCAACTTGGAGAGAACAGAATCGCCCGGTTTCAGAGGTGGCAGGAGTTTTGTACCATGGCGCTGATTGAAATAGAAGGCTTGCTTCTGTTTCTCCCTTGCATCCTTACTCCTGACTGCTTGTAGATCAGGCCATTGGGGTTGGAGGTTTGACTCAAGCGTCGGAAGTGTAGTTTTAATCCTTCTCCCCATGAGCAATTCAGCTGGGCTTACACCTGTGGTGGCGCACGGGGTAGAGCGGTAACACATGAGAGCGAGTAAAGGGTCTTTCTGCATCAGAATCCTCTTTGCAATTTGTACTCCTCTTTCCGCTTGTCCGTTCGCCTGGGGGTTATGCGGACTCGAGGTAATGTGTTCGAAGTCAAAGTCACGGGCAAAGTCCCTAAACTCCGTACATGCAAACTGGGGCCCGTTGTCCGAAACGACCTGGTCCGGGCAGCCATAGCGTGCAAAAAGTGTTTTCAACTTCTGCACCACCTGTGAGGCAGTAGTTGTTGGCATGTGGAGTATCTCGATAAATCTGGAGAAGTAATCTGACACTACCAGGTAAGCGTGCCTGTTATAATCACACAGGTCGATTGCAAGTCTTTGCCAGGGCCTGTCAGGAAGAATGGTTGAGATGAGGGGCTCCCTTCGCTGTGTGTGCTTCATCTCACGGCAGGTTTGACAGGATTCAACTTTCAGTTTGATGTCAGTAGAAATGCCAGGCCACCACACAGATTCATTAGCCCGCTCCCTGCATTTGGTCAGACCTTGATGTCCGTCATGGATCCGATCCAGGATGTCAGCTCTCAAAGTAGACGGAATCAGCATGCGACAGCCTCTTGTGATGATCCCGTTGTACTCTGACAATTCGCTTCTGACTGGGAAAAAGTCTCTGATGGCAATAGGAACATTTCCTACATATTCTGGCCAACCTGACTTAATGTACTGCAGTATCATCTGCAAGTTACTGTCAGCTGCAGTGGCTAGCCTTATGGTCTCCAGTCTTTGTGGTGTGGCTGGCATGCTGCTGATAACCGCTGCAATGTAACACTCTACATCTGAATGTGTGTCACTTGCCTCTGTTGTGCACTGTACTGGGCTGCGAGAGAGCGTGTCGGCTACAGTGAGAGTCTTGCCTGGTGCATATTCAGCCGTAGGCTTGAACCGCATAAGCCTCATCAACAGTCTTTGGCAACGTATTGGGACATTGTCCAGATCCTTTTTATTCATCAGCGGCACCAAAGGTTTGTGGTCAGTGACCAACTTGAAGTTCTCCAGCCCACCAGGTACTTCTCGAACCTCTCACATGCCCAAACGCTTGCCAGACATTCTTTTTCTATCTGGGCATATCTGGTTTCGGCGTCGGATAAGCGGCGAGAACAATACGCGACCGGTTTCCAGTCCCCATCGTGTAGTTGTAGCAGCACGCCTCCAATGCCATAGCTGCTAGCATCGGCTGATACAGCTGTAGGTCGGTTCACATCATAGAACTTCAGAACAGGAGACGTAGACAGGATGTCTTTGATGCGCTGAAACGCCTGCTTCTGTGGGTGGTCCCACGTCCATGTAGTCTTGGATCTCAACAGTTCGTATAAAGGCTGGCCCACTGTTGACAGATGTGGAATATACTTTCCCAAGTATGTGAACATGCCCAAGACCCGTTTCAGATCCTGGACAGTCTGTGGTTCTGGCAGCTCTTTAATAGCTTTTACCTTGTCAGGGTCGGGCTTTACTCCTGACTTGTCAATCACCTGGCCCAGGAAGTGAAGTTGGTTCCGTCTGAACACGCACTTGTCTTTATTCAACTTCAAGCCTGCCGACTCGATTCTCTCCAGTACTTTGTTTAGGCGCTGGTCATGCTGTTCTGCTGTGTCGCCGTACACCAGTACATCGTCCATGTAGATGGCCACTCCGTCAAGATCACTCAGGGTCTCTGCCATCTTTCTCTGGAAGATTTCCGGAGCACTCGTGATACCAAAAGGGAGACGTTTGAATGCGTATCTCCCGAAAGGTGTAATGAATGTAGTCAACTTACTGCTTTCCGGGTGAAGAGGTATCTGCCAAAACCCTGAGGCCGCATCCAGGGATGTAAACATGGTGGCGCCCTCAGTTTTGCAGTGATTTCCTCTGCAGTTGGGAGAACATATCTCTCCCTCTTCACAGCCTCGTTTAACCTTTTCAGATCTACACAGATGCGCACTTTGCCGGTTCGTCTTGGGACTGGCACCATGGGTGCGCACCAGTCGGTCGGTTCAGTCACTTTTTCAATGACTCCGTTCTCCTCCATGCGCAGTATTTCCTCTTTTACTTTCTCTAAGAGAGGCAGGGGAACTCTTCGCGCTGTGTGTACTGCATATGGCTCTGTGTTCTCTTTTAGACGTATTTTGACGGGCTCGGTGTTGAGAGTCCCGTGCTCACCAAATGCTTTGTGCACTTCCTCAATGCGTTTGACTAGTCCCATTGCGCATGCTGTATCTTTGCCTAGCAAATTATTAGCTGTCTGGCTGTGGATCACATAAACTGGGAATGAGTAGTGCTTTTCCTTGTATTTTGCAGTCGCCTGAAATTTCCCCATGCAACTTAGCTGACCACCGGGGCTGTTCATTGGTGGAATGTTTGACTGCACCAGTTTTTGCTCAGGGATTAACTTGTTGAATGTCTCTTTCTCCATCACGTTTAAATCTGCCCCTGTGTCGATTTTAAATTTAACCGGTGTTGCGCCAATCACAATTTCAACTGTCCATTGATCACTCTCTCTCTTAGTGTCTGTGACGGCACCTAGGAAATATGGCGTCTGAGAAACAGTAGATGCGTCTGTCACTTCTCTGACTGACTTACTGTGGCACATCCTCTCCCAGTGGCCCACTTTCTTGCATTTGTTGCAAGTTGATTTATTGGCTGGACACTTATCCTGGTCTCTGTGCTTTAGTTTGCCACATCTTCCACATTTTGGTTCACCACTTTCTCTCTTTTTATTTTTCCACTGCTGCTTTCCTCTGTATGGAGATTTTGCATGTGAGACCTCCTGCACCGCTGCGCACGCCTCGCCCTGCTGGTTCACCTGCCTGGTCACCTCCTCGGACTGGCGCACGGCCTGAATAGTTTGGGATAATGTAAGCTGCGTCTCCAACTGCAGTTTACGAGACATCTCCTTGTCACTAATTCCCACCACTATACGGTCTCTGATGTGCTCCTCTCTCTGTGCCCCAAAGTCACAATGTTCCGATAGTTCATAAAGAGCCCTGATAAACATTTCAGCTTTCTCACCGGGCCGCTGCACCCTCTGGTGGAAACATGCGCGCTCGTGAATAACATTCCTTTTGGGGTAGAAGTATTCATCGTACTTTCCTAACACGACGTCAAACTTTTCTTTATCGGCGTCCTCCGCAAAAGTGAATGCTTTAAAAATGTTTTCAGCCTCCGGGCCCATTGCGTATATCAATGAGCTGACTTGGACCTCACCGTCCTCCTTGTTCAGCCTCGTAGCGACGCGAAAACGCTGGAAACGTTGCTTCCAATCGCTCCATTCAGTCGGGCGGTCGAACGGGAAACTCTCCGGTGGATTAAACTTGGCCATTTTCCTGAAGCCGTACGTCCGTCACCAGCTTCTGACACCATGTAAAGTAATTGAATGTCCACACAAAACGTCGTGCGTAGTGCAAGGCTTTTACTACGGGTTCGGAACTAGCATAATCAACATGCAGGTTAACAACAAGAGGTATACAGTGTGTCATCGCGGGAGTTACCCCGGTAACCAGGCCAGATGTGATTTACGGCACGTGAGCCTACTGTCGTAAAGTATCTCTTACATGACAGTAAGTTAGCTTCACAGACTGTAAGTTAGCTTCACAGACTGTAAGTTAGCTTCACAGACTGTAAGTTAGCTTCACAGACTGTAAGTTAGCTTCACAGACTGTAAGTTAGCTTCACAGACTGTAAGTTAGCTTCATAGACTGTAAGTTAGCTTCACAGACTGTAAGTTAGCCTCCGTCATAAACAGTAAACACTCTGATAATAATAATAAATAATAAACTGTGGATAATAAAGAGCCATGTGCAGGAGCCTGACGTGACAAAGCCGTGTATTGATTTGTGGCTGATCTCGGGCTGGGGTCAGTGGAGCTAATTTCCAGCTGGTTAGCATGTTTGCTACGGGCCGTGCGTTCGGCTAGCGCAGCAACGACCTTGTGGCAGCGGTAATATGTCATTTATGTGCAATGGCTCCTTCAGCTGTCGTCACAAGATTTAAAGGTGTCCATAATGAAGAGAGCGGAGCAGAGGCTGCGACTCCTGTGTCAGCTACAGGTGCTTTATCTTCACTGGTCCAAACACAGACTTAGTCCTGGTCTCAGGTCTCTGTCCTAAAGTCCTCTCACATTAGTCCTGGTCTCAGGTAGAGTAGGGTAGAGTAGAGTAGAGTAGAGTAGAGTAGGTAGAGTAGGTAGAGTAGGTAGAGTAGAGTAGAGTAGAGTAGAGTAGAGTAGGTAGAGTAGAGTAGAGTAGAGTAGGTAGAGTAGAGTAGAGTAGAGTAGAGTAGAGTAGTAGGTAGAGTAGAGTAGAGTAGAGTAGGTAGAGTAGAGTAGAGTATAGTAGGTAGAGTAGAGTAGAGTAGGTAGAGTAGGGTAGAGTAGAGTAGAGTAGAGTAGAGTAGAGTAGGTAGAGTAGAGTAGAGTAGAGTAGAGTAGAGTAGGGTAGAGTAGAGTAGAGTAGGTAGAGTAGAGTAGAGTAGAGTAGAGTAGAGTAGGTAGAGTAGAGTAGAGTAGAGTAGAGTAGAGTAGGGTAGAGTAGAGTAGAGTAGAGTAGAGTAGAGTAGGGTAGAGTAGAGTAGAGTAGGTAGAGTAGGGTAGAGTAGAGTAGGTAGAGTAGAGTAGAGTAGGTAGAGTAGAGTAGAGTAGGTAGAGTAGGGTAGAGTAGAGTAGTAGTAGTAGTAGTAAGTAAGTAATCTTTATTTATATACCGCCTTTTCACTGCAGATCTGAGTCTCAAAGCGGTTTACAATTGTTAATGTTGGGCATTTGTCTTTCACTCCACACAGAGATGGGAGCGGGGTCGCCAGTACAGGAGGCGCATGCCAGAACTATTGGACATATTTTTAGTGGTAGGGGAAACCGGAGTACCCGGAGGAAACCTACGCAGACACGGGGAGAACATGCAAACTCCACTCAGAAAGGCCATGGTCCGACCGGGATTCGAACCCAGGACCTTCTTGCTGAGAAGCGAGAGTGCTATCCACTCAGCCACCGTGCCGCGTAGAGTAGGTAGAGTAGGTAGAGTAGAGTAGGTAGAGTAGAGTAGGTAGGTAGAGTAGAGTAGAGTAGAGTAGAGTTTGGTATGGTGGAAACAGCCCTCTAGGGAATAAATGTCTGTCTTCTGTTTAGTCTTAAATCGTCCGTGTGTGATTTTTCACTTATAGAAATATAAATCGATGGAGTATTTATCGTCTCCATGACAACAATCACTAACAGTCGCACACAAGTCTCTCCATCAAACCACAACCACACTGTAAAACCACACAACAGCCACTTTCACACTTTCACACTGACTATGTGCTTCACCTGCTACAAAAACAATAATGATCCAAACCCCCCCCAAAAAATCAATAGCTCCACAATCACAGTTAGCATAGCGGCTACCAACGCTAACACGACTCACAGCAGTAATGGTTCTTCTTGACATTTTTACACCGCGGTAAATCTGGCAACGATAAGACAAGTTTGCTCCTGGATACTGGATACTGCCCAGAGAGAGAGAGAGAGACAGAGACAGAGACAGAGACAGAGAGACAGAGAGAGAGAAGGGAGGAGAGAGAAAGACAGAGGGGGAGGGAGAGGAGAGAGAAAAACCTGCTGGAGGGAGGGGAGAAAAGAGAGAGTGATCCCCGCAGAAGGAGCGGGAGGGATGGAGAGAGGAGAGAGAGACCCGTTGGAGGGGAGGGGAAGGAGGGAGGGGGAGAGAAGAGAGAGAGTCATGAATGTGGGAGTAGACCCTGTCGGTCACTTCAGGGTTCATAGTAACTGTTGTAAATACTGTGGTGTTTCCTCCATAACATTAGCTTTAAAATGATGTATAACACATTTACACAGACACACTGCACTGAGCTGTCCACTCAGCAGCTGAGAGGCCAACGCTACTACAGAGAGTGAAGGAGGAGGAGAGTGTCTGGTCTCTCCCTGGTCTCTCCCTGGTCTCTCCCTGGTCTCTCCCTGGTCTCTCTCTGGTCTCTCTCTCTGGTCTCTCTCTCTGGTCTCTCTCTCTGGTCTCTCTCCCTGGTCTCTCTCCCTGGTCTCTCTCCCTGGTCTCTCTCCCTGGTCTCTCTCTCTGGTCTCTCTCTCTGGTCTCTCTCTCTGGTCTCTCTCTTTGGTCTCTCTCTCTGGTCTCTCTCTCTGGTCTCTCTCTCTGGTCTCTCTCTCTGGTCTCTCTCTCTGGTCTCTCTCTCTGGTCTCTCTCTCTGGTCTCCCTCTCTGGTCTCCCTCTCTGGTCTCTCTCTCTGGTCTCTCTCTGGTCTCTCTCTCTGGTCTCTCTCTCTGGTCTCTCTCTCTGGTCTCTCTCTCTGGTCTCTCTCTCTGGTCTCTCTCTCTGGTCTCTCTCTCTGGTCTCTCTCTCTGGTCTCTCTGTCTGTTCTCTAGCTCTCACATGTACCTGTGTGACCTCACATGTACCTGTGTGATGTCACGTGTACCTGTGATCACCAGATATGGAAAAACCAGCAACAGGAGAAGGAGGTGTCAGTGACAGGAGCGACTGATGTAGAACACACAGGCTCAGGTTTCTCTCTTTACATTTAGGTCAAGGATCGATGAGAGACCTCTGCACCTTTATGTACATGTGCTCTGTACCTTTATGTACCTGTGATCTGTCCCTTTATGTACCTGTGCTCTGTACCTTTATGCACCTGTGCTCTGTACATGTGGTCTGTACCTTTATGTACCTGTGATCTGTACCTTTGTGTACCTGTGCTCTGTACCTTTATGTACCTGTGCTCTGTACATGTTCCCTGTACCTTTATGTACCTGTGCTCTGTACCTTTATGTACCTGTGCTCTGTACATGTTCCCTGTACCTTTATGTACCTGTGCTCTGTACATGTGCTATGCACCTTTATGTACCTGTGCTCTGTACATGTGCTATGCACCTTTATGTACCTGTGCTCTGTACATGTGCTCCGTACCTTTATGTACCTGTGCTCTGTACCTTTGTGTAATCATAAGAAAACCTCTGTGTCTTGTGTGCATCACAGTGATTCGTTCAGAGGACTTGGTTTTCTTGTAGCTCTTGGTCTTGGTTCAGGACTGGTCTTTGGTCTGTGGTCTGGTCTTGGTGCGGGTTTAGTCTTGGGTTTGGTCTCTCTCTCTTTGTCTCTCTTTCTCTCTCTGGTCTCTCTCTCCCTCTCTGGTCTCTCTCTCTAAACTTACAGACCTCAGCTTTATTCTTTTCCAAATGTATAAAGATGTAAATCTGAGAAAATCCACAGAAATCCCACGAAGCAAAGAGTCTTGGAAAAATTTGCTAATGTGGATTTTCAGACACAAACTCGTAGAGTGCATACCCCGCCAAATCACACATCATCAATTCATTTGAACACAGCCTTCTTAGTGCACACGCACATAAACACACGCATACACACGCACACACAGACACGCACTCACACACACACACACATAAACAGACACACACACAGACACGCACTCACACACAGACACACACATAAACAGACACACACACACACAGACACGCACTCACACACAGACACACACACACACACAGACAGACACGCACTCACACACAGACACACACATAGACACACACACACACAGACACGCACTCACACACAGACACACACATAAACAGACACACACACACACAGACACACACATAAACAGACACACACACACACAGACACACACATAAACAGACAGGTAATTGTTGGTGAATCAGTTTTACACAACTTATAATTAGTCTAAATCCAACAAACAGCAAAACTTGTTTAAAGAAATAACAAACATACAGCTCTGATCTCTTGCTCTCTCTCTCTCTCTGCTCTCTCAAATCTCTCTGATCTCTTTCTCTCTGATCTCTCAAATCTCTCTCTTTGATCTCTCTCTGATCGCTCTCTCTCTTATCTCTCAAATCTCTCTCTCTGATTTCTCTCTCTGATTTCTCTCTCTGATCTCTCTCCCTCTGATCTCTCTCTCTGATCTCTCTCTCTGATCTCAAATCTCTCGCTCTCTCAAATCTCTCGCTCTCTCTCTTTGATCTCGCTCTCTGATGGCTCTCTCTCTGATCTCTCAAATCTCTCTCTTTGATCTCTCTCTCTGATCGCTCTCTCTCTTATCTCTCAAATCTCTCTCTGATTTCTCTCTCTGATCTCTCTCTCTCTGATCTATCTCCCTCTGATCTATCTCCCTCTGATCTATCTCCCTCTGATCTCTCTCTCTGATCTCAAATCTCTCGCTCTCTCAAATCTCTCGCTCTCTCTTTGATCAAATCTCTCGCTCTCTCTCTTTGATCTCGCTCTCTCTCTTTGATCTCGCTCTCTGATCTCTCTCTCTGCTCTCTCAAATCTCTCGCTCTCTTTGATCTCTCTCTCTGATCGCTCTCTCTCTGCGCACACTGCTTTTGACAGCTGCAGCAGCACAAACCGACAACCAACAGCTATGTCCCCAAAAACAGATGATAAAAAGCAGCAGAAGGTTCTGGTTCTGGACTCACCGGGTCTTTTCTCGACCTTTCTTCCTCGACTGCCGCAGAGCCGGACCTTGGAGATGAGGATGAGGATCTGCTTCTGGCACAGGGACTTGTTGCTCTTGGGGCAGGGTTTGCGTTTGCTCGCGATCTGCCGGTTCTGCTGCGGGTCCTTCACCTCCCGGCGTTGGCGGATGAGCGAGCTGGCAAGGGCGGCCATCTTGGAGACCCTGCCCCCTCACCGGTCCCGTTTGGCTTGGTGACTCCCGGGTTTCGGGGGGTACTGAGGGCCACCCCCCTGCCCACTCCCCCAGGGCGAGGAGAGGGTTCGACGTGGGAGAGAGTCAGAGTCGTGGGTCGCAGTCGGAGATCGCAATGGTGAACGTGGAAGACCTGAAAACGCAGATTCGGTTTCTCTGGACGCACGTCACGACCTCGTAATGTCCAGACTTCGAAGAGGATTCAATTCAAGGCTGAAGTTTCAAAACAGGACTGGGATTATCTCGCTCTTTTGCAGATTAAGGTCCTTATCTGGCAACATCTCAGTCACTCAGAAGCTACGTCAAGACTTTCCATTTAAGGTTAAAGTTCCAACGAAGGACTGGGATAATCTCGCTCTACTCTCTTTTCTGCCTCAACGATAGGTACGTCACAGCTGACCCAGACTAACCCAGACTAACACAGACCGTCCACAGGCAAATCCATCACAGACGAAGGAGACCGAATCAGGCAAAGTTCCCGGGATCCAGACCAGATCCAGGTCGGACCTCTTGCCGCATTCGTCTCGCCTTCTTCGTCCCGTTCTCGCTGAGGTCCGTCAACCCCTTGAATGCGTCCCAGATGTCCCGCTAACAACTCCGGGTGACACAGACAGAGACACACTGCGGTCTCTTCCTCGTCCCCCCCCCCCCTCCACCGGCACTACCTGGGACCCGTCTCTGGGACCGTCCTGGAGCAGAAGAAGAAGAAGAATCCACCTGAGGTTTGCGGACGGGACGTTGGGCGAGCTCCCCTTATCTCCTCTGGCATCACCTCCTTCTGCGTGTGTTGCGCCCGCACCCTGAGACAAATCAGCCAATCCTCTTGATGAATGAAAACAACAGATATTCCCCAAAAGGCAGAGGTGACATTCACGGAGGAGGAGGAGGAGCAGGAGGAGCAGGAGGAGCAGGAGGAGGTGGGAGCAGCCCGGTCGTACAGAGGGAGCTGGGAGTCGTTCTCATGCATCTCACTCCACAGCACACGGCTCCGAGCTGCTGTGCCCTTCAGAGGAGCACGGCCGGTGAACGAGGGATGAATGAATGGAGCGAGGAAGAGGAGGGGAGGGGAGAGAGGGGAGGAGAAACAGAAGGGGAGGGGTGGGGGAGAGAGTCCAGACCAGGTAGAGAGCGGACTGGGAGAGGGAGGTAGATAGGTAGCCACTTGACATTCGCCGGTAATAGACTGCGAGGCGCGAAATGACAAGCGGTCCGGTTGGTTCAGACTGGAGAGGGGTGAGGAGGGGGGAGGAGGGGGAGACACGTGTTGTAGGGAGACAGCAGGAGGAGGGGGGAGTGTAGTTGGTGGACTGTGTAGCATACAGAGGCAGTGGCGTGTGCTTGTCTGTTCGCACTACATTATCACACATGGACACACACACACACGGACACACACACACACATCCTTTGCTGTCTCCTCCCCCTCCTCCCCCCCTCCCTCCCCTAGTGTCACTTAGACCCCTCCCACCCTCGCCGCTCGCCTGTCATTCACACATCCTGCTCACTGGGTCTGAGGCAGAGGGAGGGAGACGCTTGTTCTATGTCACAGCGGGGACCTCAGCCTTTGACTCTGTGTCTGTGACTCTGTGTCTGTGACTCTGTCTTTAACCTTTGATCTTTCTCTATTTCTGCAAAACTGACTTTTTTAAATGTCACAAATGTTGCTTCGTCTAAAACAGAATCTGAGTGTTTTCTGACATTAACTTATGGTATAGGAAGGAACAGACGGAGACCAGACGGAGACGAGAGGGAGACCAGAGGGAGACCAGAGGGAGACCAGAGAGAGACCAGAGAGAGACCAGAGAGAGACCAGAGAGAGACCAGAGAGAGACCAGAGAGAGACCAGAGGGAGACCAGAGAGAGACCAGAGAGAGACCAGAGGGAGACCAGAGAGAGACCAGAGGGAGACCAGAGGGAGACCAGAGGGAGACCAGAGAGAGACCCTGAAGGCACCAGTGACCGTAGACTTTGAGAAAATGCAAGAAAAATTTGGGAGATTTTGTGGCCAAGTCGCTGTATAGAAAGTGTCCTGTCTTTTGGATCTAGTGCAGTTCTTTTACTGGTGTTTAAAGAGTTCAAATGTGTGGGAGTTGTCAAGGTAACATTTTAGACTAATTATAGCATTTCTAACATCAGAGTGATGTCTCCTTTCTCTGGGAGCCCGCCTCCCCCAACCTCACCCACCTCCCCCAACCTCACCCACCTCCCCCAACCTCACCCACCTCCCCCAACCTCACCCGCCTCCCCCAACCTCAGCCGCCTCACCTACCTGCCTCACCTACCTGCCCCAACCTCACCGGTCAGCACTAGATCATATACGGAATCGGGACGGAAGCAGAAGTAAATATACAGTGCCTTGCGAAAGTATTCGGCCCCCTTGAACCTTTCAACATTTCGCCACATTTCAGGCTTCAAACAAAGATTTAAAAATTAATGTTTTTGTCAAGAATCAACAACAAGTGGGACACAATCGTGAAGTGGAACGAAATGTATTTAATAATAATTTAGACTTTTTGAACAGATAAAAAACGGTGTGTTCAGGGTGATGAGCTGTGTTGCTTTTACGGCAAACATATCGTTTTGCATTGTGGCCAAAAAGTTCGATTCATCTGACCAGAGCACCTTCTTCCACATGTTTGGTGTGTCTCCCAGGTGGCTTGTGGCAAACTTGAAACCAGACTTTTTATGGATATCTTTGAGAAATGGCTTTCTTCTTGCCACTCTTCCATAAAGGCCAGATTTGTGCAGTGCACAACTGATTGTTGTCCTATGGACAGACTCTCCCACCTCAGCTGTAGTTATCTGCAGTTCATCCAGAGTGATCATGGGCCTCTTGGCTGCATCTCTGATCAGTCTTCTCCTTGTTTGAGATGAAAGTTTGGAGGGACGGCCGGGTCTTGGTAGATTTGCAGTGGTCTGATACTCCTTCCATTTCAATATAATTGCTTGCACAGTGCTCCTTGAGATGTTTAAAGCTTGGGAAATCTTTTTGTATCCAAATCCGGCTTTAAACTTCTCCACAACAGTATCTCGGACCTGCCTGGTGTGTTCCTTTGTCTTCATGGTTCTCTCTGCGCTTTAAACAGAACCCTGAGACTATCAAAGAGCAGGTGCATTTATACGGAGACTTGATTACACACAGGTGCATTCTATTTATCATCATCAGTCATTTAGGACAACATTGGATCATTCAAAGATCCTCACTGAACTTCTGGAGTGAGTTTGCTGCACTGAAAGTAAAGGGGCCGAATAATATTGCACGCCCCACTTAAAAAAGTTTAAATTATCCAATAAATTTCGTTCCACTTCACGATTGTGTCCCACTTGTTGTTGATTCATGACAAAAAATTAAATTTTTATATCTTTATGTTTGAAGCCTGAAATGTGGCAAAATGTTGAAAGGTTCAACCCAAACCCGGATACTTTCGCAAGGCACTGTAACAAACTACCTATTAATGCCTAAACTTAACCAGCCATTCCCATAAAATAACCCCAACCCAGCTTCAACCCTAAACTTAACCATTTCACTCAGACACCTAAAGCCTAGCGTACATCGGACTGGCAACTGATTATATCCGTCGCATATGAGTTGCTGCCCCGCACACATCGACAATCTGACGAAAACGGGCAACTCCCAGTAGCAGACCAGTCTCAGGAATAACAGCGCGTACATCAACAGCAACTGGCCTCAACTACAGTGTGTTTTCTGACATAAACTGTTGCGGGCTCGCAATACACGCAATACACACACGTTGTCGGAGCGGCGCATGGAGCGTGCACATCGGGCCATATATCTCCGAAACTGAGGACAATAGTTGCCGAAAAGTAGAACACGGGCAACTGACTGAAACTGGAGACCGACTGATCATCTCCAGTTGTAAGAGCGCGCACATCGACCGATTTCAACTGATCATCTCCCACCATCTCCTCTCAGTCGCCAAAAGCCGCCTTGCAACTAGTTGTCTCCAGTTTCTCTGTCGATGTACGTGTAACCAGGCCCGTCCGAAGGGCTGTGCGACCTGTGCCGTCGCACAGGGCCTCGCACCACACAGGGGCCTCGCAATCTTCCTTCCTTTTATTTTATTTTATAAATACACTAGTTCAAGGGTCCCCAAAGGGCAGACTGCACTCCAAATTTGGAACCCTAAACCCCTTTCTCTGGACCTCTTTGATTTCGTTTGATCAAAAGAACATTTTTACAAGTCAAATTTTCACCAAAAGCGATTTGTAAACAGGCAGGCGCGCGGGCAGCTATGTATGCAGCGGGTCCTCCGAAAAAACTGTCAGATAACTTTAGCAGTGTCTGAGTGAGATACAAAGAAAGTAACGGGAATGATCGCAGTGTAGGAGAGATGGATACTCGCGGAGGAGGAGCAGCGAGACAGGTGTGAGCAGAGGAGCAGACCCCTTTGTGTGAGCAGAGGAGGAGGAGGAGGAGCAGCGGTGTGACAGGTGTGTGAGCGCTGCTATTGCCAATGTTTAGTCCGAATATCCACATCAAAAACATATTTTTAAAAGCATTAGCAAACACACTGTATGTCTAGCTTTAGCTAGCTGGAGTGTTTTTGTTGTGGTCAGAGTGTGTGGAGGAGGAGCGTATGTTGTCAGAGTGTGTGGAGGCATGGCAAAAACGTTATTTGATGAGAAAAAAATAATAATATTGACTCCGCCTCATAGCCATTTTGGCGCATTTTGCCAAAATCTAACTATTAGAAGAAAAAGACTCCTTTTGGTTCAATCTTTTGAGTTGCTCTACCATTTTGCCACAGGACGAAAGAGACATGTCAGCTAAAAAGACCGCGACCAATATTGCAATACCAAGTGCCGTAGAGTGTGTGTGCGTGTGTACGTGCGCGCGCCAAACGCTGCATAGGAGCGAAGACACTCGGTTACACGCGTGCTGATCTCGTCAAGCACCGCGCGAGGTGGTGCTGAATTCATGTCAAAGATTATAACAGGAAAAACTTTCCTCAGATCTGGGAAAAAAGTGTCAGGGCAGGGCCTCGCGTTTCGAGTTCGCACAGGGCCTCGCACCCCCCTTGCGACGGGCCTGCGTGTAACCCAGGTGTAAAACCAAATTCCTAATTTAAATGTAAACCACAAAGGAATGGCTAACATATTTAAGTACTAAATGAAAATGTGTACTTTGTTTATTTATTTATTTGTATATGTGCCAACACAATGCACTGTAGTGCAGCATATAAGTCGCGTAGCAACAGCCAAAACATTACGTTCAGATCCACGGTGCACGCCACCCCGCTTCCCCTCTCTGACCGGAGTCAAGCAACGAGACACACGCAGCGAGACACACGCAGCGAGACACACACAGCGACACACACGCAGCGAGACACACGCAGCGAGACACACGCAAAGCTCAGCTCCATCATTTTGTAACGGTCAGTCAGGTTGTAGCACCATATTACGCCACTGCACGGCGCTGTTTGCATATACACTGTATGTATGCTGTTAGCAAGAGGCACACGCATTTTGTCTCTCTCTCCAACTCTACGTAACAAGTGGTACGGGTGAAATAACTGTCATGTATGGCATTATATGAAGACCTGGCATTGTTCTATCAATAAAGTAAGTGGAGCTCAACGAGTCTTTTTCCCCTTTTTGAGTGCATTGCTAAAGGCTTTTCACCTGAAGACTGCCACCCCACGTTACAACTGGCGCCCAAACTATTTTTCCCAGGACCTCGGTCGAGTTTTCCTTCACAAAGGATTAAGCTGCCTCACGTAAATGTATATCGGACTTATATTTGCTTTTGCTGAGGTTTTCCCCGGTCATCGCTGGAGCTCAGATTCGAGTGGTAACCGACTATACTCTGGATGTAACCGTGTGTGCACGCGCTGCTGTTTTTCTGCGGTGAAGGGACAATAAGCTAACGCTATTCCACACGCTATATCAGTGGTTAGTGGACATCAGGATCACGCTGGATTTGCTTCCCTACGCACATTTTTATTTTTCTCTCAAACTGAAATGCAGTAGTGGAGCTATGCTGAATGTTTTTACCCCATTTTGAGCACATGAAAACTTTCCCTGCCTGCCCTCCAGCATTTAGACTGTCCCGGACTTGGCAGTGAGTACTGACTTTAGTGACGAGTTCTTCTATCGTATGCTACTAAGAAATATTGCAACAACGACTAAAAAATATCCATAGTATGTGGAATGCACAAGGCGTTAGCTGCAGTTACCAAAGATTTATTTACACTTGTGCAATGTTAGAGCATTAGTCCCGCATTAAAGTCTTATTTTGAGTGCTATTGTATCTTTTTAAGGTTAGCCAGCATTTTTAAAGTACCTCGTAGATTTTTCTCGTCAGTTTAGACTAGGCCTAATTGATTTTTCATTTACAATCCTACTTTAGAACGGTACTGTGCTTTCTCCTTTTTTTTATGAAGTACAATGGCCCATTTTATGGACATGCTAGAGGACGAGGACTCTGACATGGAGCTTATCTCTTTGCCAATGCAACACATTATTTTGGAGGATAAACCTGACCTTAGTAAAGAAGTAGTTGATTTGAGAGCAGAAGTTAACAGACTTAGTGACTGTTTACGTGACTCGCTGGACATGCAAAGAACTATGCTGAGACAGTGGGACCGTCTCTCCAAAGAAAACCCCACCCCTCCTGCGGTCCAGCCATCAAACATTTTTCCAATGGCTACTTCCACACCGCATGTTCCTGCAATGAACAGAGGTGAACCTACACTTCTCACCAACCCGTCCCTCAGCCCTAACACACTGGAGCTGAGCAATACTTCCAGAGTGATAGCAGCAGCTCTGCACCATGCCAAGCTGGAACCTCCCGTATTCGCAGCGGACAACAAGGTACAGCCAGAAGATTGGTTACAGGCAGTAACTGCATACAGATCCTCATTGGGTCTTACTGATGGACAATTATTGAACGAACTTCCACATTTCCTTGCCAAAGAGCCAAGCAAATGGTTCAAAGCTCTGAGCTCCCATATAACATCTTGGGCTCAGTTTTGTCAATTGTTTCAGACTGTTTTTCTACCCTCGGACAACCAAGAACGCATTCTGAGAGGACTGTTGGATCGTATCCAGGCTCAAGATGAGCCCCTGCCAACTTTTGTCGCCCATATGCTGAGTGAGTACAACAAACTGAAAAGTCCTCCTCCTGAAAGAGAGCAGATTGAACTGATTAGAAAACATTCACTTGAAAAATACAGAGTTGCACTTTATGGTGCTCATGTGACTTCGGTAATGGACCTCCTGCTTCGTGCTCATGAGCTCCACTCAGTGCTTGGACCAAGTGGGCCGCAGACTTCTCGTTACAAGGAACACTACAAATCAGAACCCCACTGTTTCAAATGCTCATTGCCAGGGTTCACCACACGCACCTGTCCTAACTCCATCCATTCTGCGGGGCCTAGTGCGCAGTCATTTCAACCGCCTGGTCCCCCATACTTGGGCCAGCCAAACTGTGAAAACAGTAGCACCCCTGCCCCACCTCAAGACAGGCAGCCGGGAAACTACAGAGGGGGGAGGAAATTTCACAGAGGCCACCCTCCCTCCAGGCACTAAGCGAGCCTCAACCACCACAAGACGGACCAGTTTTGGGACACTTGGAGGACAATTTTTCGTTAGTACACTGGAATACTCCTCTCAGAACAAAATTGAACTTTAATGGCACTCCCGTTGAAGCTACTCTTGACACAGGAGCTTCTCTCTCAGCCATTAGAGCAGATCTTATTCAAGTTAATGGCACTTATCCCGCTAAGACGAGTGAGTGGAAGGGCCCACCAGTTAATCTTGCTAACAACGCTCCTTGCATTCCAGATGGTGTCACTTGGCTTAATGTTGGATTCATGAACAAAAACTATTACCAGCGTTTTGCTGTCATCCCAGAACTGTCTACTCCGTTCATTTTGGGAATGGATTTCATGACTAGAGCCTCTATCTCCATTCATATTCCCACAAGAACAGTGTTTGTAGACGATGCCCCCTGCCCGCTCATGGATGAGGAGGACAGTCCAGCGGATTTCACAGGTACAACTGTAAATATTATGTCAATGGACACACTGACCTCCGACCTTAAAACCAAAATGTCAGAGGCCAGCTTAACTGAAGACGACAAAAATGCTCTTCTCAAGATGCTCGCCAAGTTTGGACCGATGTTTGATGGTCACCTTGGTCGAACATCACTTACTGAACATGTCATTGAAACAGGGGATGCCAAACCTGTGAATCTCCCGCCTTATCGTACATCACCTGCTAAGAAACGGGTGATAGAGGAACAAGTACAACAAATGTTACAGGACAATATCATTGAGCCTTCCACTAGTCCGTGGGCAGCTCCTGTGGTCATTGTTAACAGAGAAGCCAGAGACCCAAGATTTTGTGTTGATTTTAGAGGTCTCAACCAGATAACAGAAAAAGACTCATATCCTTTACCTCGTGTGGATGAGTCACTGGACTTTCTAGCAAGGGGTAAATACATCACAACACTCGACCTAGCGCGAGGTTATTGGCAGGTCGCAGTTGCAGAAGAGTCTAGAGTAAAGACTGCCTTTATCTCACATTGTGGTCTTTTCCAGTTTAGAGTGTTACCCTTTGGGCTTTGCAATGCTCCCGCGACTTTCCAGAGACTTATGAACTCTGTACTCGCTGGTCTCATTTACAAAACATGTGCTGTTTACCTTGACGACATTGTTATTGCATCTCCCACCTTTGAACAGCATCTGGCAGACCTCGAGGAGGTGCTTACCAGACTCCAATCTGCTGGCCTGTCGCTTAAGCTCAGAAAGTGCCAGTTCTGTCTCGAAGAACTCAATTTCCTCGGCTACCGCATCACATCTTCGGGTATTAAACCGGACCCGGACAAGATCAAGGCAGTGACGGAATTCAACACCCCAACTACCGTGAAACATGTCCGGCAGTTCCTTGGCCTGACTGGATACTACCGCCGCTTTATCCAGGATTATGCTCGGCATGCTGAGCCTCTACATGCGCTCACAAGAAAGGATGCGACTTTCCAGTGGGACGACAACTGTCAAAAAGCTATGGACATTTTGATTCAGCGTGTCACATCAGCCCCTGTTTTGTCATTCCCAGACTTTGCGCGTCCCTTTTTCATTCACACGGATGCTTGTGACATCGGTCTCGGTGCAGCTTTAATGCAAAAAGATGACAAGGGTCGTGAGAATATAGTGGCTTTTGCTAGCCGCTCTATTCACAAAGCCGAGCTGCCCTATAGCACTTCAGAAAAGGAGTGCCTTGCTGTCATTTGGGCCCTTGAGCATTTTCGGCCATATGTTGAAGGTATGCATGTAACTATTTACACTGACCATAATAGTCTCAAGTGGCTCATGTCTCGTCAGAATCCGACAGGCAGGCTTGCCCGCTGGTCACTCCGACTTCAGGATTTTGACTTCACCATAGTGCACAAACCTGGCATACGCAACAAAGTGCCAGATGCGCTGTCTCGAAATCCATTGGCCTCAACTTGTGACTCTCCCATAGATCTCTTGCCGGAGCATGCTGTTATTGGCAGTTTGGACATTCGTGCCCTGCCCCTTGTTCTGCTAGCAGATCGCTCTCAAATCAGGCAGCTGCAGCTTGATGACCCGGTCACTGGGCCGTTGTTAAGGGACATTGAGACAGACTCACAAAACAATGTGGACAATGTTAATCTGCCACAGTATGTTGCTTATGATTCTCTCCTGTACTGTAAGGTTTCAAAAGCTCAATGTACTATGCACCCTTTAAAAGAGCTCAAGCTGTTTGCGCCTACTACTATGAGGGGAACCTTACTTAACTATTATCATGACCACCCCACTGCAGGTCATCTTGGTGTTTCAAAGACCTTAGCGAGACTCTGTCTCAGGTTTTTCTGGCCAAAAATGGCGGCTGATGTGAAACGTTATGTAACTTCATGCTCAGTCTGCCAGCTTACTAAGCCTAGTCAAAGAAAACCAGCTGGTCTTATGGTCCCAATTGTTCCACAAAAACCCTGGGAGTACGTAGGTGTGGACTTTGTCGGCCCTCTTCCCCGTACTGCAGCTGGTAATATGTATTTGATTGTGTTTGTGGACTACTTCTCCAAATGGGTAGAGGCGAGTGCTGTAAGAGAAGCCACATCACATGTGGCTGCTAGTAAATTTGTTACTGACATTTTTGCTAGACATGGTGCACCTGCCTATCTTATTTCTGACGGAGGGTCTCCTTTTGTGAGTGAGCTGTTTGAACACGTCGTCTCTGCCTTAGGCTCTGTACACAGACTTACTACAGCATATCACCCTCAGACTAACGCTACAGAGCGTGTCAACCGGACTCTGAAAACTGCCATACGTGCTTACGTAGGAGACAAACACACTTCATGGGACAAGTACCTCCCACACATTTGTTTTGCCCTGCGTACAGCGCCTCATGATAGCACGGGACATAGTCCCTCCATGATGCTTTATGGCCGTGAGCTAGACACCCCACTTGACCTTATCACGCAACCTTCTAGTGACGGTGTTGATGAGCCAGGTGTTCCTTACCCTGAGACTCTTAGAGCCTCCTTACAGGAAGCCCATGGTCATGCAAGGGCTGCTCTTGACCATAGTCATGACAGGCAGAAGCACTACTATGACTTAAGGCGTCGTCATGCCACCTTTAATGTTGGTGATCTCGTCAGAGTTAAAACCCACCCTCGATCAGACGCTCAGTCCAGCTTTACTGCTAAACTAGCACCCCTATTTGAAGGACCGCTACAGATTTCGCAGAAACTTAGCGACGTGAACTACAGACTCACTAGGATGGACTCTGGTGCTAATGCTGGTGTTTATCATGTTGTGAATATGCAACCGTTTCACACGTGGGACTCTCTCTCCACCAAAGGCCACCCTGTTTCTCCTCCTGCCGTCTGTGGGGGCGATGAGGTTTTGGACATTGATATTGCCCCCCACATGACTCACACCCAGCAGGCGGACAATGAAACTGCCTTGAGTGCGTTACCTTTTGTTTTGCAGGACATTGACTCTGTTCCTATGGACTGCCCCTCCCCTGAGTCCCTCTCTGACCCAGGCCCAGGACATTACAATCTCAGACCCAGACGTGACCCCAGAATAACATCAGGCTGGTGTGACAAGAAATGGACTAATGCATTTCACACAGACAAAATGGATCTAAAGTGAGCTCTTTCTGTTCTGACTTTTTTGTTTTTGTTTTTCTGGACTTTTATACTGTTTAGTATTACAATGGTGTAGATTGTTTGCTCGTCTGTGTTCATTGATGTTTGCAGAAGTAAGGTTTATGTTTCCTGGCATCTTAAAAAAAAAAAAAAGAGAAATCCACTGTACATTTATGTTTTTTGTTTTGCTGAAAGTGATTGATTGGTCTACATTGTCTTCGCCCTTTGTGTCCCGACTTCAATTGTATGTCTATGTATAGGATACTTTTGTGTTTGGTTTTAAATTGCATCTACAGTTGTGTACGGCTGTGGACAGCCTTTTTCTCACCGGGGGGGACTATGTAACGGTCAGTCAGGTTGTAGCACCATATTACGCCACTGCACGGCGCTGTTTGCATATACACTGTATGTATGCTGTTAGCAAGAGGCACACGCATTTTGTCTCTCTCTCCAACTCTACGTAACAAGTGGTACGGGTGAAATAACTGTCATGTATGTGGCATTATATGAAGACCTGAGGCATCTCCTCCAGGCATTATTGGAATTGAACATTCTATCAATAACAGAGTTTGAGACGGTGCTTGGAGGAGAACTGGATTCGGAATGGAGAGAGGCCGTTCACAAAGTACAAGAGGCAGAACTGGTGGAAAAAGCAGCTATGGCTCGGATAACAACAAAAAACAACTGCCATCTGCCTGCACTTTCAGTGTCCACAGTTTATGTAAGAGGCCCGAAGAGAGACTCTGACAACACATCCTCTCTAGTCTTGGAGCCAGGCAATCTTTCCTTACCTGGTGGTGTTATTGTTATGCCCACTGTTGTCTCAGCTAATAGTCCGGTGTTTCCAGTCCAAGTAATCAATTTCTCACCTGATGATGTGTGGCTCCCAGGAAAATCTAGGCTAGGGTATTTATCGCCATGCAAGTGTATTGAGACAGGTGACCCTTTTGAAGTTCAATTTCAACGTGTATCAGCGTCACATGAGGAAGTAACAGTTAGTAAAATAGGCACAGACAAACCAGACAAAGACATGCAAGACCTATTTGAGCAGTTACATTTAGGTGGTACAAGTGAGCAACAGGCAGAATTGAAGGCACTGTTATTGATTGACTGCGGAACCTTCCGCAGTCAACCATTGGTTTTGTATTTCTTTATTCCGTCATTTTTTTTGACACGTTTCACAGCTTTCACATTTTCAACAATTTCCACAAGTTATACATCAAAACGTTCCACATGTTTGGGAGATTATTGCTATTACTTTTGGGACTTCAGCGATTTCCGGTTTTTCCGCAATCGGACAAAAATCTGCATTGAGAATTCTGCAATGCATTTTAATAGGCCCATGCATTTTAATAGGACTTCAGCTCTTTCAGACATTTCTACAGTTTCAATGATTCAACAGTTTCAAGGATTCAACAGTTTCAAGGATTTCAGCAGTTTCAAGATTTCAAGAGTTTCAAGGACTTCAACAGTTTCAAGGACTTCAGCAGTTTCAAGGACTTCAGCAGTTTCAAGGACTTCAGTGTAATCATGCAACCTAATAGGGATTTTTCCATGTAAACCAGTATAATGCAACTTAATAGGGATTTTTCCATGTAAACCAGTATAATGCAACTTAATAGGGTTTTTTCATGTAAACCAGTATAATGCAACTTAATAGGGTTTTTTTTCATGTAAACCAGTATAATGCAACTTAATGGGGATTTTTCCATGTAAACCAGTATAATGCAACTTAATAGGGGTTTTTACATGTAAACCAGTATAATGCAACTTAATAGGGTTTTTTCCATGTAAACCAGTATAATGCAACTTAATAGGGTTTTTTCCATGTAAACCAGTATAATGCAACTTAATAGGGTTTTTTCCATGTAAACCAGTACAATGCAACTTAATAGGGATTTTTCCATGTAAACCAGTATAATGCAACTTAATAGGGTTTTTTACATGTAAACCAGTATAATGCAACTTAATGGGGATTTTTCCATGTAAACCAGTATTATGCAACTTAATAGGGATTTTTCCATGTAAACCAGTATAATGCAACTTAATAGGGTTTTTTCATGTAAACCAGTATAATGCAACTTAATAGGGTTTTTTTTCATGTAAACCAGTATAATGCAACTTAATGGGGATTTTTCCATGTAAACCAGTATAATGCAACTTAATAGGGGTTTTTACATGTAAACCAGTATAATGCAACTTAATAGGGTTTTTTCCATGTAAACCAGTATAATGCAACTTAATAGGGTTTTTTCCATGTAAACCAGTATAATGCAACTTAATAGGGTTTTTTCCATGTAAACCAGTACAATGCAACTTAATAGGGATTTTTCCATGTAAACCAGTATAATGCAACTTAATAGGGTTTTTTACATGTAAACCAGTATAATGCAACTTAATGGGGATTTTTCCATGTAAACCAGTATTATGCAACTTAATAGGGATTTTTCCATGTAAACCAGTATAATGCAACTTAATAGGGATTTTTCCTTGTAAACCAGTATAATGCAACTTAATAGGGTTTTTTTCATGTAAACCAGTATAATGCAACTTAATGGGGATTTTTCCATGTAAACCAGTATTATGCAACTTAATAGGGATTTTTCCATGTAAACCAGTATAATGCAACTTAATAGGGTTTTTACATGTAAACCAGTATAATGGAACTTAATAGGGGTTTTTACATGTAAACCAGTATAATGGAACTTAATAGGGGTTTTTACATGTAAACCAGTATAATGCAACTTAATAAGGATTTTTACATGTAAACCACTATAATGTAACCTAATAGGGGTTTTTACATGTAAACCAGTATAAAGCAACTTAATAGGGATTTGTACATGTAAACCAGTATAATGCAACCTAATAGGGATTTTTCCATGTAAACCAGTATAATGCAACTTAATAGAGATTTTTCCATGTAAACCAGTATAATGCAACTTAATAGGGATTTTTCCATGTAAACCAGTATAATGCAACCTAATAGGGATTTTTCCATGTAAACCAGTATAATGCAACCTAATAGGGATTTTTCCATGTAAACCAGTATAATGCAACCTAATAGGTTGCATTATACCACCAGACCAAGACCCAAACGAAGACTCAGACCACCACCAGATAATGACCACAGACCAGGTTTCCTTAGTTACAGGAACCAAATTGTTTCAGCGGTGAGGGGATTTTTCAGTTTCAAGGACACTTTCAATACATTCAGTAGTTTCAAGGATTTCAACTGTTTAAGAATTTAACCAGTTTCAAGGATATCAGGAGGTTCAAGGATTTCAGGAGTTTCAATGTTTCAACAGTTTCAAGGATTTCAGGAGTTTCAAGGATTTCAGGAGTTTCAATGTTTCAACAGTTTCAAGGATTTCAGGAGTTTAAAGGTTTCAACAATTTCAAGGACTTCAGGAGTTTCAAATATCTATCAAGTATTTTAACAGTTTCAAGGCCTTTTAAAGGATTTCAAGGATTTTTTTTAGCAGATTTCCACATTAGATCTGTTCCGCAGTCAATCGCAATGGCTTCAGCCATTGCAAGTTTCTAGTTCAAGTATGCAGATGTTTTTGCAATGCAGGATGAAGATTTGGGCTACACAGACAACGTCCAACATGAGATACCTGTATTGGATGAGGTCCCCATTAACCAGCCTTACAGAAGGATCCCACCAAATCAGTATAAAGAGGTGAGAGACCACATCTCAGAACTGCTAAGAAAAGGTGTTATCAAAGAAAGTTCAAGTTCTTATGCGTCCCCAATAGTTTTGGTCCGCAAATCTGATGGTAGTCTAAGACTATGCGTGGACTACAGAAAGCTAAACTTGAAAACCAGACGTGATGCATTTCCATTGCCCCGTATTGATGAAAGTCTGGACGCATTGAGTGGTGCAGAGTTCTTTTCAAGCATTGATCTTGCAAGTGGTTACCACCAAGTTGCAGTCCATGAAAAAGACAGGCACAAAACTGCTTTCACCACTCCATTCGGCTTATATGAATATCTACGTATGCCATTTGGATTATGTAATGCACCTGCAACTTTCCAGCGCTTAATGCAAGGAACAATGAGCGACCTCATCTTCCAGATTGTTATCGTGTACTTGGACGACCTGCTCGTGTTCTCAAAAACTTTTGAAGAACACCTTGAAAGGCTGGAAACTGTTCTCCAGAGACTGAAAAATACAGGTTTAAAAGTGAAAGTTGAAAAGTGCAGATTTCTCCAGTCAAATGTTAAGTTCTTAGGCCATCTGGTTTCAGCTCAGGGTGTAGGTACTGATCCTGAGAAAGTTAGCGTTGTAAAGTCATGGCCCCCTCCTAACTCTGTAAAAGAACTTCGCTCTTTTCTTGGTTTCTGTAGTTATTACAGGCGGTTTATTGAAGGGTTTTCACAAGTAGCAGGACCTCTTCATGATGTTGTTAATAACTGTATTAAGGAGAAGACCCCATTTAAGGCCAAACAGTTATTCCAGACAGCCTGGTCTCCAGCATGTTCAGAGTCATTTCAACTGCTCAAAGACAAGTTAACCTGTGCACCCATCTTAGGTTATGCAAACTTCCAGCTGCCATTCATTCTTGAGACAGATGCAAGTAACCTCGGTTTAGGCGCAGTTCTTTATCAAGTTCAGAATGGAAAGAAAAAAGTCATAGCTTATGCCAGTCGCAGGCTTAGAGGAGCAGAGAAGAATGACAAAAATTATAGTAGCATGAAGTTAGAACTTCTTGCGTTAAAATGGGCGGTAACCGATAAGTTTCGTAGTTATCTCTTGGGTTCAAAGTTCACTGTTTTTACTGACAACAATCCCCTCTGTTATTTGTCCACAGCAAAGTTAGGGGCTATCCAACAAAGGTGGGTGGCACAGTTAGCTGTATTTGATTTTGAGGTCAGGTATCGGCCTGGTCGTTGTAATTCTGCAGCAGATGCCCTTTCTCGACAGCCAGCTGTAGCAGCGTCAGATCCATCCTCAGATGCAGAGTTTGACGGTTGTGAGGCTGTTTGTGACAGCCTGAGGGTAGGCACTGAGTTAGGTTTTGAATTAGCTGCTGCAGGGGTAGACCATTGTAGAGTGAGACAGTTAAGAGCTTTAGACTCAGACAATGACTGTTCTTCAGTCCAAAGTAACACCCCCACTCTTCCCAGTTACACCAAAACTGAACTCCAAGCATTCCAATTCTCAGACCCAACTCTTAAAGTTTTGAAACAGCTCTTGGCAAAGAAACAAAAACCCTCCTGGCATGAGAGAAGAAGCCTACCAATGCCTGTACGGTCCCTTCTAAAACAATGGCCCCGGCTCAGAGAAAAAGATGGACTCTTATATCGCGAGGTTGAAGATGTAAACCATGGAAAATATAAACAGCTTTTGTTGCCCACCTGTCTCAAGGAAAAAGTTCTCACATCCATACACAATCAAATGGGACATCAAGGAATAGAACGGACAATTGGACTCCTGAGGCAAAGATGCTTTTGGAATGGTATGCATGAGGATGTAGAGAAATGGATTAAAAACTGTCAGAGGTGCATTTTAACAAAGTTGCCACAACCCAAGGTTCATGCTCCACAAACTCCATTCCTTGCTACTCGACCTCTCGAAGTTGTTGCTGTGGATTACACTGTACTAGAACGATCAAGTGATGGATTTGAGAATGTACTTGTACTCACGGATGTATTCACTAAGTTCAGTCAAGCATTCCCTACAAGAAATCAAAAAGCAGACACAACTGCAAAAGTCATACTGAAAGAATGGTTCATGAAATATGGAGTGCCTGAACGCTTACACTCAGACCAAGGCAGACAATTTGAGAGTGCCGTGATTGCTGAATTGTGCAGGTTGTATGGTGTGAAGAAGACACGCACAACACCACAACACCCTCAAGGAAACCCCCAATGTGAAAGGTTCAATAGGACCTTGCATGAACTTTTGAGAACACTTCCCCCTGAAAGAAAACAGCGCTGGCCTGAACATCTAGCTGAACTTGTTTATGCTTACAATGTGACTCCACACTCGTCAACTCGTTACTCTCCCCATTATATGCTGTTTGGAGTTCAACCCCATCTTCCAATTGACGCACTGCTCGGGCAGGAAGAGGAGAAGGAAGAAAGTAAACATACTGACTGGCTCAGAATCCACAAAGAGCGACTTCAGAATGCACATGACCGAGCAAGAGAGTTTGCAAAAAGAAAAGCAGCAGAAAGAATGGCCCGCCAGAATGCAAAAGTTTACTGTCCATCTGTTGAAATTGGGCAATGTGTGTATCTGCGTCATCGTCCAATTGGCAGAAATAAGATTCAGGATGCGTGGTCATCAAAAGTATATAAAGTAATTGATATACAAGGCACGACACACACAGTTGTTCCTGTGAATGGAGGTCCATTAAGGAGAGTGCATAGGTCCAACCTCCGTCTTTGTGTAGGCCCTGTACCACCTCCAAGGCAAGAGACTCGCATACCTCAAGTCTTTCATGAACCCGAAACTGATATAGACTCCGAAACTGAAACCAGTGACATTGACCCTGAATACATGATGGTAGAAAGACTCAATAAGCCAGATACCTGCAGAGACCAAACTGGAAGTGAGCAACTGTTGGAGAGTAACATAAATAACATTCCCAAGGATGTTTTACCTTGCTCCGAGCTGGAGGAACGGCCAGTACCAGCTCCCCGACAGAGGGTAGATCTAGCCCAAAAGATCATGCCTAGGCCTTCTCCACGAAGGAGTACTAGAAAAACAGCTGGACAGAACAGGAATCCATTTAACTTACCTGTGAGTGCTTGTAATAACACAGTGTCTTTCACGCCAGATGTACTGTCTCAGTTGTTAGTTGGTATGGTTCTGTACACCTCAGAAACAAAGGTTGATTGTTAGAAAGTCACCGAGACGTTGACTTCAGGCAGGGGAGAATGTAGCCGGGTCAAATAATAATAGGACGAACGGCAGATACTGTCCCCGGTTTGGCCAGTAGAGGGTGCTGTTACAGCGCGTGTGGTTGGGAGGTGTCAGGTGCTGCACGTGAGACGTTACCCTGGCAACGCCTTGAGAGACGTTGGATGGTGCGCTGGCAAGTTGTGGCACCAAAAACGGTAAATAGAGATAACAAAAAAGGATTTAATGATAAAATTATCTTTTTGTATATCTACTGCATTATATCTGATGATTTCTGCTCTATATATCTGTAGATCTGGTGTTGGTAGAAGGCATACATACGTAACACTGTCAGACCTGCGTGTATAAAGCCGTTGGTCAACGTTTTGGCGTGAGTTGACAGATCACTATGTTAGTTACATGTTTAAGGTTTATTTTAAATGGTTATTCATGAAATGTACTCACTATTTGCTTTATGCAGAGGGGAGAAAGACCACTGTTATATTCTCAGTTGTTCTGGATTTGGTTTGAGCTGTGTTCCTACCAGACTGAAAGTGAGTGCAGATTGTTAACTGATATTTCCATTTCCATTCTATAAATGAACAAATTTATTTTGTTTATTATAGTGAGCCTACACCAGTTGTTTTGTAGTCCACTACTGTTGTCTTGTCTTGTCTTATTTTTGAGAATGAAGTGTTTATTTTAATTTTATGTGAATTGAGTAACGTTGTTAAATAGAAAGAAAAGAAAAAGCCAAAAATACCTGAATTAATGCTGTCTTTCTCTAGAGGCAGTCGGAAATTAAAGAACCACAAAATCTTTGGAGCTTGTCTTGGGTACATTATTTTCCTGATTCAAAATAGTACCAACCACTATCATCTGGTGACATAACTTACGGTCTATGAAGCTAACTTACGGTCTATGAAGCTAACTTACGGTCTATGAAGCTAACTTACAGTCTATGAAGCTAACTTACAGTCTATGAAGCTAACTTACGGTCTATGAAGCTAACTTACAGTCTGTGAAGCTAACTTACGGTCTATGAAGCTAACTTACAGTCTGTGAAGCTAACTTACGGCCTATGAAGCTAACTTACAGTCTGTGAAGCTAACTTACAGTCTATGAAGCTAACTTACGGCCTATGAAGCTAACTTACGGTCTGTGAAGCTAACTTACGGTCTATGAAGCTAACTTACGGCCTATGAAGCTAACTTACAGTCTGTGAAGCTAACTTACGGTCTATGAAGCTAACTTACGGTCTATGAAGCTAACTTACAGTCTATGAAGCTAACTTACGGCCTATGAAGCTAACTTACGGTCTGTGAAGCTAACTTACGGTCTATGAAGCTAACTTACGGCCTATGAAGCTAACTTACGGTCTATGAAGCTAACTTACAGTCTGTGAAGCTAACTTACAGTCTATGAAGCTAACTTACGGCCTATGAAGCTAACTTACAGTCTGTGAAGCTAACTTACGGTCTATGAAGCTAACTTACGGTCTATGAAGCTAACTTACAGTCTATGAAGCTAACTTACGGTCTATGAAGCTAACTTACAGTCTGTGAAGCTAACTTACGGTCTATGAAGCTAACTTACGGTCTATGAAGCTAACTTACAGTCTATGAAGCTAACTTACGGTCTATGAAGCTAACTTACAGTCTGTGAAGCTAACTTACGGTCTATGAAGCTAACTTACGGTCTATGAAGCTAACTTACAGTCTATGAAGCTAACTTACGGTCTATGAAGCTAACTTACAGTCTGTGAAGCTAACTTACGGTCTATGAAGCTAACTTACGGTCTATGAAGCTAACTTACGGTCTATGAAGCTAACTTACAGTCTATGAAGCTAACTTACGGTCTATGAAGCTAACTTACGGTCTATGAAGCTAACTTACGGTCTACGAAGCTAACTTACAGTCTGTGAAGCTAACTTACGGTCTATGAAGCTAACTTACGGTCTATGAAGCTAACTTACGGCCTATGAAGCTAACTTACGGTCTATGAAGCTAACTTACGGTCTATGAAGCTAACTTACGGTCTATGAAGCTAACTTACAGTCTGTGAAGCTAACTTACGGTCTATGAAGCTAACTTACGGTCTATGAAGCTAACTTACAGTCTGTGAAGCTAACTTACGGCCTATGAAGCTAACTTACGGCCTATGAAGCTAACTTACAGTCTGTGAAGCTAACTTACGGTCTATGAAGCTAACTTACAGTCTGTGAAGCTAACTTACGGCCTATGAAGCTAACTTACAGTCTGTGAAGCTAACTTACGGTCTATGAAGCTAACTTACGGTCTATGAAGCTAACTTACAGTCTATGAAGCTAACTTACGGTCTATGAAGCTAACTTACGGTCTATGAAGCTAACTTACGGTCTATGAAGCTAACTTACAGTCTGTGAAGCTAACTTGCAGTCTGTGAAGCTAACTTACGGTCTATGAAGCTAACTTACAGTCTATGAAGCTAACTTACGGTCTATGAAGCTAACTTACGGTCTATGAAGCTAACTTACGGTCTATGAAGCTAACTTACAGTCTGTGAAGCTAACTTACGGTCTGTGAAGCTAACTTACATGAGGCCAACACAGTCTGAAGGTATGGAAACTTATGATTAAACTGTTCCTCACGGTCACAACTTCTTGGTAAAGTTTGTTAGTTTCTTAGACACAGGGTCTCTCCTCACGGGTACAGACCTCTCTAATGAGGTATAATATCAAAACTACTTTAACAATGGAACAGTGTGGTCCTTCTCTACCGTGGTTCTTCTGTCTTTTTGTTTCGCAGTTTTTTTGGTGCATCTTTGCTGTTTTTCCTGCGTGCTTCTCATGCTCTGTTTGTATTTTCAAACATCATAAAACCGTAGCATAACCTTCTTTGAATACAGGCAGGAGCGGTGACACTGAGGTTTGTGGGAAATCTACAGTCTGTGTGGATTTAGGCTGCAGTACCGCGGGTGGCCTCTAGTCCATGTGGGGACGATTCACATACTATCTCACATCCATCATATATCCCCCTCCCAGTCCTGGGTCTACAGCCTCAGTCCTGGGTCTACAGCCTCAGTCCTGAGTCTACAGCCTCAGTCCTGGGTCTACAGCCTCAGTCCTGAGTCTACAGCCTCAGTCCTGGGTCTACAGCCTCAGTCCTGAGTCTACAGCCTCAGTCCTGGGTCTACAGCCTCAATCCTGGATCTACAGCCTCAATCCAGGGTCTACAGCCTCAGTCTTGGGTCTACAGCCTCAGTCTTGGGTCTACAGCCTCAGTCCAGGGTCTACAGCCTCAGTCCAGGGTCTACAGCCTCAGTCCTGGGTCTACAGCCTCAGTCCTGGGTCCAGTCTCAGTCCAGGGTCTACAGCCTCAGTCCTGGATCTACAGCCTCAGTCCTGGATCTACAGCCTCAGTCCTGGATCTACAGCCTCAGTCCTGGGTCCAGTCTCAGTCCAGGGTCTACAGCCTCAGTCTTGGGTCTACAGCCTCAGTCCTGGGTCTACAGCCTCAGTCCTGGGTCTACAGCCTCAGTCCTGGGTCTACAGCCTCAGTCCTGGGTCTACAGCCTCGGTCCTGGGTCTACAGCCTCAGTCCTGGGTCTACAGCCTCAGTCCTGGGTCTACAGCCTCAGTCCTGGGTCCAGTCTCAGTCCAGGGTCTACAGCCTCAGTCCTGGGTCTACAGCCTCAGTCCTGGGTCTACAGCCTCAGTCCTGGGTCTACAGCCTCAGTCCTGGGTCCAGTCTCAGTCCAGGGTCTACAGCCTCAGTCCTGGGTCTACAGCCTCAGTCCTGGGTCTACAGCCTCAGTCCTGGGTCTACAGCCTCAGTCCTGGGTCTACAGCCTCAGTCCTGGGTCTACAGCCTCAGTCCTGGGTCTACAGCCTCAGTCCTGGGTCTACAGCCTCAGTCCAGGATCCAGTCTCAGTCTCTGCTGCTGTGACACAGAAACCTGACTAGAGCAGACTCACAGATGTCGGAGTCTTCAGACCTCTCTCTGCTCTTGTCCTCACGTCTCCTCTGACCCGCTGTCCGCCTGATGGATGCGCCGTGTGTGAGCGCCACTGTCCCGACCCGACCCCCTCCTCCCCCACCTCACCCCGACACGCCCGCACTGTCAGCCGCTAACCCGCGCTAACCCATACTAATGACGTCCGTGCTCAGCTCCGTCAGCAGCACCAAGGTCAAAGGAAGTGCCAGATGTGGAGACGCTGTTCACGACTTAGAGCAGGGGGGTCCAAACTTTTGAGTGAGACGGTCACTTTTTTTCATCAGACTTGACCTGGGGCCGAAAACTTGGATTAAAAAAACTGGATTGACTGGATTATGGAATTTAAAACAGGTTCTGATCCGTCCTTATACATAGTTCCCACAGACCAATGAATGTCACATGACCTCCTCGGAGACGCCATCTTTGATGGCACGCTGCTGTGTTTGTGCATTCCATTAAACAGAAGAATGAGAATAAATGTAGATATTCAAACGCAAATTGGAAAAAAAGGGCAACTTTTGAGCAAATAATTGTATATTAATACAATGGCACCACAGTTTAACGTGCTACGGACATGTTTTACATATTTGATCAAATTATGCAGCAAAAATTAACAAGCAATGCAAACATTTCTCAAAAACTTTAGATTTAATACCAGTTGGAGCTCCATTTAATTATTTTAATTATATTAACAATTAATTTAATTAATGCTAATGCCACACGGACACTCTGGATTGCTGTTATTGTTTATTTCCGCGTTTTTGACCGTATGTTTTGGTGAATGGTGGGCAACTGATTTTTCCAGGCGTAAAGAGCAGTTTATTTTATGACACAGATCTTTTTACAGAAGCAATGCTGTTTGTGAACATTGTTTTAGCCTACCATAGAACTATTATTATCTATTTAATACATTTACGTTGCCCTCGAGAGCCTCGGACGCGACACCGATCCTCCTCATAATAAAGTAATCTAAATAATGAAACTCTCAAGTTACCAGATATCAGCATACACAAGTTAGTACTGAGTAAATTACGTCTGTCAACACATTATAAGATACGATACGCACCTGACACAAAGTGCTCCGAGCATATTCTTGCGTGTTTTGAGGGAGTTTCTTGCCTGTTTATCTTTGCAAGCCATAACCTCCGTGGTTGTTCTGACAAAAGCTTAGTCTTCTCACATTCATGAAGTCTAATGATGGGTATACTGTAAAATCCAAGTTTAACGGAACCTCCGGCACGATTTGAACATCCATTGACCCAGCAGGAGATGACCATTTTCAACTTTATCACGACATTAACACGTTTCAGCTTCTTTTTCTATTGTTTTGCCCACAGCATGCCAAGACAAATGGCGCCGGGTCGGCAAATCCCCGTATGTAGTGACGTCATGTAGGAACTATGTATTGATCTATAGCTACATTTTATTTGGAATGTTTTGGCACAATCATAAATCAAATGTCAATAACAATAAAGTCAACAACTGGATTTCAAAGGGTCTGAGATTTACAACGAGGTACAGCGTGACTGTGTTGGTGGAGCTGAAGTTGGCTGGATGACACTGTCAAAGTGCCTCAATGGAGACTTTGTGTTAGCAGCAGAGGGTTTACTCAGATACATTAGAACAATATACACTACCAGAGGTGGGACAAAGTCATTGTTTAGCAAGTCACAAGTCAGTCTCAATTCATTGCCCTCAAGTCCCGAGTCAAGTCACGAGTCAAGACAGGCAAATCCCGAGTCGAGTCCAAGTCAAAGGCCAACAAATCTCAAGTCAGTCCCAAGTCCTACGGTTTGACTTTCGAGTCCTCTCGAGTCTTTTTGACCGCGATTTGTTTCTTGTTGGTCTCCACGTACTATTGTAGGCAAACAAAATAATGTTAGGAATCATTTTGCTGGTGCATTCTCGTTGGTCTCTGACCCATGGACTAACAGTTTGTTCCATGTCGTTGGCTGCTGGTAAATCAAAACTATCTACGTGATCTAATTGGATGTTGTGCCAGATGCAGGCTCAGTTACACATGCACAGACCACACATAAAATCAGAGCAGTCCGTGTCAACATACTTTTTATCTTTGGGGTTTTTAATGGGAAGTAGCAAGTGCAGCATATATGAATATGAGTATTGGGCTAGGACCTGTATCTATATAATCAGTTTTAATGTCCGTAGTGGTTATTGTTCCAAAGGACTGAAGGGACCAATGGAGGGGAAGGAACCTGGCCTGTATGAACTGGACCAGCATTAGTAATATCTCATAATTACCAATATATCATTACATAATAAAATGTCTCATATAAATTAATTCAATCAGTCAAAGCACTGATTCTCATATCAATGCACCATAAACAATAGTGCAAATATTAATCTAGCTTAGTGCACATAATCAAAACAACTATCTAATGTATGCAAACTTTAGCAGGAGGAGCACAGCAAAAACATACTCATAATAATAGGCCTCGGCGCCCACACAGAAAAATATAAGAAAGAGCCAACAGAGCAGCGCAGGCTAGCGCTAGTTTGACTCACCAGTTCCTCTTTAAAACACGCCACACAGTGTGACAACTGCGTCGATTCAATTGTATGAGGCGCCTGTAGTGAAAGCATATCAATTACGGTTTGTAGAACAAAATATGACGTTAGGTCGCGATAAATACCTGCAGCTCGCTCATTTCCAGCTCCCCTAGACAACACACCCACCGGTGAATGCAGTCCGCTTGTTTAGGGAAGTGTTGCTGCGCGAACTGCGGGGAACTCACGTTCGAACTCTCTCGCGAGCGCTACAACTACCGTGAGGCTTTGTTTCTTCAGAGACGGCGATAGAAAGAGAGATGCGGAGAAAGGTAAAAATGGCCCGGGTTACGCAAGTCTTTGCAAGTCAATTGGCGCAAGTCCAAGTGAAAGTCAGAGTCATTGATGTTAAAGTCCAAGTCGAGTTGCAAGTCTTTTTATATTTGGTCAATTCGAGTCTAAAGTCATCAAAATCATGACTCGAGTCTGACTCGAGTCCAAGTCACATGACTCGAGTCCACACCTCTGTACACTACTGTTAAGTTAGCAAGGCAGAGGGCCGTATACAATGACACAGAGGGCCGCAAATGGCCCCCGGGCCTTAGTTTGGACCTGCCTGACTTCAGTGTAAAGTTGATTTGAGTGTTTGGGATTGTTCAATTTTTATTCATTGAGAGGAACAGATACTGACCCCCCACAGGGCCTGAAGGAGAAATGATGTGGACTGTACCCACTTTGACACACATCAGGTGTGTGTGTGTGTGTGTAGAAAGTGTGAGAGTGTGTGTGCTTAGAAAGTGTGTAACAGACATATGACAGAGCAGGAGGCAAAGAATCAATGATGCAAGAACATTCAGACTCCAGTTCATCTGGGTTAATCCTGAGGTCCTCCCAGGCCAGAGACCCAGGCCCAGGCCAGAGACCCAGGCCCAGATCAGGGACCCAGGCCTAGACCACGGACCCAGGCCCACGCCAGAGACCCAGGCCATTGGAGAGACCCAGTCCCTTTTGTGTCCTGGGTCTAGTGGCTCTACTCTGAGCTCCTCCTTATGTCCATCTGTAAACAGTCTGTGGTGTTAAGAGTAACGTCAGCATCTTGGTCGGCCCCTCCCACCCCCGAGACAACCTTGTCCCTCGTCAAAGTCACTCCCCCCTCCTCCCCCCTCCTCCCCCTCCTCCCCCAATCAATGGACCTACGTCATGACCTGTCTCCATAATACACTGTAGATATGCAATCAATGAGCTGCGGCTGACTGCAGGTGACGATGGTTTGACATGACTCCATCCTGAGACCAGAGCGAGAGACCAGAGCGAGAGACCAGAGCGAGAGACCAGAGCGAGAGACCAGAGCGAGAGACCAGAGCGAGAGACCAGAGCGAGAGACCAGAGCGAGAGACCAGAGCGAGAGACCAGAGCGAGAGACCAGAGCGAGAGACCAGAGCGAGAGACCAGAGCGAGAGAGCAGAGCGAGAGACCAGAGCGAGAGACCAGAGCGAGAGAGCAGAGCGAGAGACCGAGCCTCCTGCTGGAGACCTTAACCGGAGCCTGTAACAGTGACACCTTCAGAGGTTGCTTCTCCCTCGGGCTTCATCTGTCAGCGGGACACCTCTCCTCTTCCACCCAACCCCCACCCCAAACCCACGGGCAGCCGAGCACAGGTGCATGACATGTCCTTCAGTCTGCTCCACACCATCCATCAGAAGAGTGGGGGAGAGGAGAGAGAGGAGAGAGAGAGAGGAGAGAGGGGGGGGGGGGGGGAGACAGGAAAAGACAGGAAAGAGGAGAGAAAGAGAGACAAAGAGAGGGGAGACCTCCTGGTCTCCTCCTCCTGGTCTCCTGCTCCTGGTCCTCATGTCCCGGTCTCCTCCTCCCAGTGTCTGGTGGTGACACTGTGGGCTGTGAGTGATGGGGCTCAGAGGTACAGACCCCTTAGAGCGACGGGTCGTGAAGGACACTGTTAAACACTGGATTTATCATCATTATTCTAACAACAGAGGACTGTAGACCCAGGACTGAGGCTGTAGACCCAGGACTGAGGCTGTGGTTTTCAGATCTGTTCTACAGAGATCATATTTCTGTGAATGAGCTGAACCGTGCTCTCTGATTGGCTGGAGGTCTGGAGTCAGAATGATTGACAGGCAGCAGCATTAGCACATGTAGCGTAGCATGTAATCCACTGAAGACGAGGATTAAAGAAGCATTAACTCTTCATCACCGTCATCACATTTATGGACGACTCCAGAAGAGATCAGTGCGAGAGGGAAGAGGAGGGACAGGGTCTGTCCTGGTCTCAGGTCTCTGTCCTGAAGTCCTCACACATTAGTCCTGGTCTCAGGTCTCTGTCCTGAAGTCAGATGAGGAGAGATGCAGAGGTTAAGGTTGCTCCATTACCTGCACTGAGGAGAGATTAAAGCTGAGGTACATGACTTTTACATCCCATATTCTCTCTCACGGGTCTCTCTCTGGTCTCTTTCTGGTCTCTCTCTGATCTCTCTCTGGTCACTCTCTGGTCTCTCACTGGTCTCCCTCTGGTCTCTCTCTGGTCTCTCTGTGATCTCTCTCTGGTCACTCTCTGGTCTCCCTCTGGTCTGTCAGGATGATGAAGGGCCTCAGTAGACTCTCTCTGACACGAGCTGTTCTCTTGGATTCATACTGACGGCTGCCAGGAAACTGTGTGGGTGTGTGAGTATCTCTCTCTGTGTGTGTTAGTGTGTGTGTGTGTGTGTTTGTATCTCTCTCTCTCTGTGTGTGTATTGGTTGAAGTGAAGAGAGACAAACCTAACAGAGACAAAGTGGTCCCTCAGTTGTAACGCATTTCTCTAAATCACAGCAGACTCAGAGGAGTTTACAAAGTTGTCGAATCACCAAAAGCAGGTCAGAAAATCAAACAGTTTAAGTGTCGTCTGCTGTCACTATGTATTTGAGAAACTTAAAGACTGTGTTTGTGCAGAGGACTGGACTGAGTCTCACTCTGGTCTCTCTTCTTTCTCTCTCTGGCCTCGCTCTGGTCTCTCTCTGGTCTCGCTCTGGTCTCTCTGGTCTTGCTCTGGTCTCTCTCTCTTGTCCCTCTGGTGTCTCTCTCTCTGGTCTCCCTCTATGATCTCTCTCTGGTCTCTCTGGTCTCTCTCTCTGCTCTCTCTCTATGGTCTCTCTCTAGTCTCTCACTGGTCTCTCTCTCTGGTGTCTCTCTCTCTGATCTCTCTCTGGTTTCACTCTGGTCTCTCTCTGGTTTCTCTCTGATCTCTCTCTGGTTTCTCTCTGCTCTCTCTCTGGTTTCTCTCTGATCTCTCTCTGGTTTCACTCTGGTCTCTCTCTGTAGGACTGGACCGTGACCTTCTCCTCACACAAAAACACACAAAGCAGAACACACACTAATATACACTCTCTATTGTGTGTGTTTATGGGAACGTCTATAAGCTGTACAGGATTTACTCCCTCTGGTCTCAGGTCTTTCACTGGTCTCTTTCTTTCCCTCTGGTCTCTCTTTGGTCCGTCTCTATTCTCTCTGGTCTCTCTCACTGGTCTCTCTCTCTGGTCTCTCCATGGTCTCTCTCCCTGGTCTCTCTTCCTGGTCTCTCTCTCTGGTGTCTCTCTGGTCTCTCTCTCTGATCTCTCTCTGGTCTCTCTCTCTGATCTCTCTCTGGTATCTCTCTCTGGTCTCTCTCTCTGATCTCTCTCTGGTCTCTCTCTCTGGTCTCTCTCTCTGGTCTCTCTCACTGGTCTCTCTCTCTGGTCTCTCCATGGTCTCTCTCCCTGGTCTCTCTTCCTGGTCTCTCTCCCTGGTCTCTCTCCCTGGTCTCTCTCCCTGGTCTCTCTCACTGGTCTCTCTCAATGGCCTCTCTCACTGGTCTCTCTCTCTGGTCTCTCGCTCTGAACTCTCTCTGGTCTTTCTCTGGTCTCTCTCACTGGTCTCTCTCTGGTCTCTCTCTGGTCTCTCTCTGGTCTCTCTGCTCTCTCTCTGGTATCTCGACTGATTTTGGGAGCGAGAAATAAGATTTTTGAGCAAAGTCACATGTTTTTCCAGCATCAGTTTGACACCTTTTAATTAGACACTGATGCAAGAGACCCCCAGGACCCTCCTCCTTCTCCCCTCTCTCCTCACCCCCCCTCTCCTCTCTCCTCCCCCCTCTCCCCCCTCTCTCTCCTCATGCGTCATTACTCTTTGATTAAAGTCATCTGCTCACGCTACACTCGGCTTGAAGACGCACTGCTCTGCAGTCGTTACAAACTTAGACTGAAGAGAGAGACCAGAGAGAGAGACCAGAGAGAGACCAGAGAGACCAGAGAGACCAGAGAGACCAGAGAGACCAGAGAGACCAGAGAGACCAGAGAGACCAGAGAGACCAGAGAGACCAGAGAGAGAGACCAGAGAGAGAGACCAGAGAGAGAGACCAGAGAGAGAGACCAGAGAGAGAGACCAGAGAGAGAGACCAGAGAGGGACCGGAGAGAGGGACCGGAGAGAGGGACCGGAGAGAGACCAGAGAGAGACCAGAGAGAGACCAGACAGAGACCAGAGAGAGACCAGAGAGAGACCTGTAGATGTTTCTCCTGGTGCAGTGATGGTTTCCCTGATGTTCGTCTCCACTTCCTGGTTTATCTTTGATCCTCGTCTCCGCGAGCGACGGAGCTGAAGCTGCACTTTTACCTCCATCTCTCTCAGCAGGGGGGCTAATCAACCTCCCAGTCTCCCCCTTCCTCCCCCCCTCGTACAAATCTGCATCTTACAATATGTGGTTGTGTTTACGGACTTTAGTATTACATTACAATTAATTTACCCATGTTTCTACCAGCCCTACTCTACTCTACTCTACTCTACTCTACTCTACTCTGGAAATTCCTTGGTAACCATGGCTTCCTGCAGCACTCTGACCAATCACTGTCAGTTAGAACACTTCAGTTCCAGCTCGGCCTAGATAGAACCGGGTAGGGTAGGGTAGGGTAGGGTAGTGTAGGGGGAAACACACCTGGGACAGTTCTGACAAAACACAAGAAAAGATAATTGGATTCCAAGGTCTAACACAGAGGTCAGAGTCATTAGTGTTTTGGTCTCTGCGGTTTAAGACTGTAGACCCAGGACTGAGGCTTTAGACCCAGGACTGAGGCTATAGACCCAGGACTGAGGCTATAGACCCAGGACTGAGGCTATAGACCCAGGACTGAGGCTGTAGACCCAGGACTGAGGCTGTAGACCCAGGACTGAGGCTGTAGACCCAGGACTGAGGCTGTAGACCCAGGACTGAGGCTATAGACCCAGGACTGAGGCTGTAGACCCAGGACTGAGGCTGTAGACCCAGGACTGAGGCTATAGACCCAGGACTGAGGCTGTAGACCCAGGACTGAGGCTGTAGACCCAGGACTGAGGCTGTAGACCCAGGACTGAGGCTGTAGACCCAGGACTGAGGCTATAGACCCAGGACTGAGGCTGAGAATCTAGTTTTAAATGAGAATGTGCTCAAATTAAGACACATTTTGCTGGATTTTAAGCCATATTTCCCATATTTTCCTCACTCGTAGCCTCAGGAGTCTTTCCACAGAGAACAGTGCATTAATATCGGAGGTGGTTCTAGTGTTTACCAGAGCGAGGCTGCAGCGGCCGCGGTTAATGTGGCTGCCCCGACGGCTTTTAGCGTCGCACACGCCTCATCGGGACATGAATATGTGATGAAAGCAGAGGGAGGCACATTGTTCCGCTGTTATGTCGTCTGTGTGTGTGAGAGAGTGATGCCAGATGGGTTTCTCTGTTCTCCCTGTGTCTCTGTGGGTTTCCTGCAGGTGCTACGGTCTCCAAAACCACAAAAAACATGTAGAATAGGTTTAGCCTTATGTGTAAAGATCCTGCTCCTATCTCAGTGAGGAGTGAGAGACCAGAGGGAGACCAGAGGGAGACCAGAGGGAGACCAGAGAGAGACCAGAGAGAGACCAGAGAGAGACCAGAGAGAGACCAGAGAGAGAGACCAGAGAGAGACCAGAGAGAGACCAGAGAGAGACCAGAGAGAGACCAGAGAGAGACCAGAGAGAGACCAGAGAGAGACCAGAGAGAGACCAGAGAGAGACCAGAGAGAGACCAGAGAGAGACACCAGAGAGAGAGACCAGAGAGAGAGACCAGAGAGAGAGACCAGAGAGAGAGACCAGAGAGAGAGACCAGAGAGAGAGACCAGAGAGAGAGACCAGAGAGAGAGACCAGAGAGAGAGACCAGAGAGAGAGACCAGAGAGACACAGATCTTGCGTGAGAAGTGTGTGGTGCAGACTCTGCTGCTTTGTCTGTTTTACTGTGATGTAACTTAAGTGCATTGAATAATTGAGACCAGTCCTGGTCCTGAGTTTGTGGTCTCCCACATGGTTCTACACCAGGACCAGGACGATCCCTGTGCTCAGGCCTCTTCCTCATCAATGTTTAAGTGATGAAGAATGTAAAGGTTTCACAGAAGAAAGGTCTTTGTTTTAACCTCAATACTGAGGTGTTTTACCTTTTTTTACCGGAGACTAGAACGAGACTAGAACGAGACTAGAGAGAGACCAGAGAGAGACCAGAGAGAGACCAGAAAGAGACCAGAAAGAGACCAGAGAGAGACCAGAGAGAGACCAAAGAGAGACCAGAGAGAGACCAGAGAGAGACCAGAGAGAGACCAGAGAGAGACCAGAGAGAGACCAGAGAGAGACCAGAGAGAGACCAGAGAGAGACCAGAGAGAGACCAGAGAGAGAGACCAGGTCCTCCTCTGGTTTAAAGTAGAGTCATTTAAAGTGTGTACAAACAAACGCTGTGTCTCTGTCTTCATCTATTTTACATCATTATCATCAATAGTTGATGCTCCAACACTTCTCCTCTGCTCCCTCATCCCAGAGAGAGAGTCTGATCTCTCTGGTCTCACTCTGGTCTCTCTCTGGTCACTTTCTGGTCTCTCTCATCAAGGCTACAATTAAAGGAGCTATACCCGTTTCTGGAAGGTTTGAAGGTTTAGCACCGCCCCCAACTCGCTCACAGGTCTCTCATTTCCCCTACGCTCTCATCCCACGGAGCCATCTAGTTTTATTTGCGTTCCGATGCATATGTTAACATTAGCATTAGCACAACTTAAACTGTACAACAATCACTGATGAAATGGTACAAAAGCAACGCACTGCTAACCAAATATATAACTGATGCAAATGGCAAATAAATGAATCTGAATCTGATATGAAGGATTACCGCTAGTTTTACGTCCGAATGTAGTCCGAGCATAGATAGTCCGAGCATAGATAGTCCGAGCATAGATAGTCCGAGCATAGATAGTCCGAGCATAGATAGTCCGAGTCGGTCCCGCAGGCCTCTCCTATAGACTTTAATGGCGCTTTTCCACAGCACCGGCACTACACCACTCTACACGACACGGCGCGTTACTTTTGCATTTCCACTAGCGTTGAAGCTAGGTATTGTGTTCTATTTTCGGACCGCCTCTGGAGCGGTTCCAAAAAGCTACACGCTCGTGACGTAAGCGGACTGCCTACGCTGATTGGTCAACGATCGAGTGTCGTCACTGGACGCGACCTCTGACCCTTTGGGAAAAACAACTCAACCGCCATCTTTAAAACCGGCTGCTCTGCTCGGCTCTGCTTCGGCTACATTACGTCCTCCTCACTCCAGAGAAATGGAATTGCACAGAAAGCCCCAAAAGTCCTGGTCCTGGTCGGTGGACGAGGTCCACACGTTCCTCTCTTCAGGCCAAAGAAAGAATTCAAAGGCAGCTCGAGGCTCAACACAGTTTTCAGGAGATTGCTCTGGATTTGTGACTAGTCTGTGGTAATCCTGAAATAACTGGTTAGCTACAAATCCCGTTAAAGCTCTCACTGAAATGTATTTACTGTGTAAATGCTCGATTGTCTGTTGTACACAGTGAGCTAGCTACAATTAGCTTCATGTAGCTATCGATAGCAGCTAAGCTAACGTCCTCCTGTGCTACTGTGCTTTATCTCGTATTATCTGCAGTATTCACGTGTTGTCATTCTGTTTTATGCTTGTATTTAAGTTGTCATGTGTATATTTGTATGAGAATCCCTTCCCATAAGTGTGGAGACTACCAACGAGCAATGAGTGACCGGATTATTCTCCTCATCTGGTCTCACACATACGTACTTTTGACTTTGTAAACTGTTGGTTTTGCACTTTACTTTTGTTTTCAATAAATTTGTGATTGTATCAAGACTGTGTTTCATTCATTTATTATAATTGTATCTGAGGTTTGGGTATCGATTGTTTGTCTGGTCTCGGAGTCTGCTGTAGTCCAGACCCGAGTCCGGACTAGCCTAGCCTAGCTTAGCCTAGCTTAGCCGCCAACTCGCTACCCCTATGGCTGTCTCTCCCTCGGTCCTTTACTGCTCGAGGTGCCATATGACGAGTTTAAACCCCGGATCCTCCTCTGATGGTAGCGATGGATGTGTTAAGTGTAGTATTGTAGTAGCTTTGGAATCCAGGGTTAGTGAGTGAGCTGAGTCTCGAGCTAGCGCTAGCATTAGCTATAGCCTAGCAGTATCCTCGGACATGCATGCTCTGCTACACAGGCCGCTGTTGCTAAAGGTCCCATTCAGATTGTACAGAATGGGACCAGCACTATTTTTGTGCAATGCGAGCAAGTGCTGAAACCCATTTTTAAAAGTTAGCGGTCTCTGTAGTGGTATCTATGGAGGACTTTGAGGATGTAATGTTTTTCCTGGTTTCATGCTCGTGAGTCGCGCGGAAATGGCGTAGCGGTAGCGGTGGTATGAAAAGCCCACCCACTTGAAGATGTCCGATGGAGATATGTGGAAAAGCACGCGTACTCGACCGGGTCGTGACGTGTCGTGTAGAGTGGTGTAGTGCCGGTGCTGTGGAAAAGCGCCATAAGTCTCTCCTCTGGAGGGTGAACATAAGCTAGCTATGTTCACCCGGGCTTGATATCTTCTTTGATCATTTTCTCGCTTTAGTTCCCTCTTCTCTTCCTCACTGTTGTGTCGTTGCTACATGCTACTGTGTTTAGCAGCGCTGTAGAGGCGAGAGGACGCAGCCTCGTTCTGTGATTGGAGGAGAGCAAGCGTCACGCTTAGTTTCTACTCAGCACTTTTTACGGCCTGAATTCATACACAGCTGAATCAATGAGCTCAAGTTTTGTGTGTTGTAATAAGCATTTTGATGAACTCATTAGAAAATAAATCAGGTATTGTTTCTTTAAGGGAAAGGTCACACTCTGTCAGTCCACTTCAAATACACAGGATATGACCTCCCTGACCTGTGTCCCTGTGCTCACCTGTGTCCCTGTGGTGTCCCTGTGCTCACCTGTGTCCCTGTGGTGTCCCTGTGCTCACCTGTGTCCCTGTGCTCACCTGTGTCTCTGTGCTCACCTGTGTCCCTGTGCTCACCTGTGTCCCTGTGCTCACCTGTGTCCCTGTGGTGTCCCTGTGCTCCCCTGTGTCTCTGTGCTCACCTGTGTCCCTGTGCTCACCTGTGTCCCTGTGCTCACCTGTGTCCCTGTGGTGTCCCTGTGCTCACCTGTGTCCCTGTGGTGTCCCTGTGCTCACCTGTGTCCCTGTGCTCACCTGTGTCCCTGTGGTGTCCCTGTGCTCACCTGTGTCCCTGTGGTGTCCCTGTGCTCACCTGTGTCCCTGTGGTGTCCCTGTGCTCACCTGTGTCCCTGTGGTGTCCCTGTGGTGTCCCTGTGCTCACCTGTGTCCCTGTGATGTCCCTGTGCTCCCCTGTGTCTCTGTGCTCACCTGTGTCCCTGTGCTCACCTGTGTCTCTGTGCTCACCTGTGTCCCTGTGCTCACCTGTGTCTCTGTGCTCCCCTGTGTCCCTGTGCTCACCTGTGTCCCTGTGCTCACCTGTGTCCCTGTGCTCCCCTGTGTCCCTGTGCTCACCTGTGTCTCTGTGCTCACCTGTGTCCCTGTGGTGTCCCTGTGCTCACCTGTGTCCCTGTGGTGTCCCTGTGCTCACCTGTGTCCCTGTGCTCCCCTGTGTCCCTGTGCTCACCTGTGTCCCTGTCCTCCCCTGTGTCCCTGTGCTCACCTGTGTCCCTGTACTCCCCTGTGTCCCTGTGCTCACCTGTGTCCCTGTGCTCCCCTGTGTCCCTGTGCTCCCCTGTGTCCCCGTGCTCCCCTGTGTCCCTGTGCTCACCTGTGTCCCTGTGCTCACCTGTGTCTCTGTGCTCACCTGTGTCTCTGTGCTCACCTGTGTCTCTGTGCTCACCTGTGTCTCTGTGGTGTCCCTGTGCTCCCCTGTGTCCCTGTGCTCACCTGTGTCTCTGTGCTCCCCTGTGTCCCTGTGCTCACCTGTGTCCTGTGCTCCCCTGTGTCCCTGTGCTCCCCTGTGTCCCTGTGCTCACCTGTGTCCTGTGCTCCCCTGTGTCCCTGTGCTCACCTGTGTCCCTGTACTCCCCTGTGTCCCTGTGCTCACCTGTGTCCCTGTGCTCACCTGTGTCCCTGTGCTCCCCTGTGTCCCTGTGCTCACCTGTGTCCCTGTACTCCCCTGTGTCCCTGTGCTCACCTGTGTCTCTGTGCTCACCTGTGTCTCTGTGCTCCCCTGTGTCCCTGTGCTCACCTGTGTCTCTGTGCTCACCTGTGTCCCTGTGCTCCCCTGTGTCCCTGTGGTGTCCCTGTGCTCACCTGTGTCTCTGTGCTCACCTGTGTCTCTGTGCTCACCTGTGTCCCTGTGCTCACCTGTGTCTCTGTGCTCACCTGTGTCCCTGTGGTGTCCCTGTGCTCACCTGTGTCCCTGTGGTGTCCCTGTGCTCACCTGTGTCCCTGTGGTGTCCCTGTGCTCACCTGTGTCCCTGTGCTCCCCTGTGTCTCTGTGCTCACCTGTGTCCCTGTGCTCACCTGTGTCTCTGTGCTCACCTGTGTCCCTGTGCTCACCTGTGTCTCTGTGCTCACCTGTGTCTCTGTGGTGTCCCTGTGCTCCCCTGTGTCCCTGTGCTCATCTGTGTCCTGTGCTCCCCTGTGTCCCTGTGCTCCCCTGTGTCCCTGTGCTCCCCTGTGTCCCTGTGCTCACCTGTGTCCTGTGCTCCCCTGTGTCCCTGTGCTCACCTGTGTCCCTGTACTCCCCTGTGTCCCTGTGCTCCCCTGTGTCCCTGTACTCCCCTGTGTCCCTGTGCTCCCCTGTGTCCCTGTGCTCACCTGTGTCCCTGTGCTCATCTGTGTCCCTGTGCTCACCTGTGTCCCTGTGCTCACCTGTGTCCCTGTACTCCCCTGTGTCCCTGTGCTCCCCTGTGTCCCTGTGCTCACCTGTGTCCCTGTACTCCCCTGTGTCCCTGTGCTCACCTGTGTCTCTGTGCTCCCCTGTGTCCCTGTGCTCCCCTGTGTCCCTGTGCTCACCTGTGTCTCTGTGCTCACCTGTGTCTCTGTGCTCCCCTGTGTCCCTGTGCTCCCCTGTGTCCCTGTGCTCACCTGTGTCCCTGTACTCCCCTGTGTCCCTGTGCTCACCTGTGTCTCTGTGCTCACCTGTGTCTCTGTGCTCCCCTGTGTCCCTGTGCTCCCCTGTGTCCCTGTGCTCACCTGTGTCCCTGTGCTCCCCTGTGTCCCTGTGCTCACCTGTGTCCCTGTGCTTCCAGAGCCTCAGCTGAAGGGCATCGTCACTCGTCTGTTCTGCAGACACGGGTTCTACCTCCAGATGCTCCAGGACGGCACCATGGGAGGCACAAGGGACGAAGGCAGCTGCTACTGTACGGTAACACAAAGATACACACACAGACACACAACACACACACACAACACACTACTGTACGGTAACACAAAGATACACACACAGACACACACTACTGTACGGTAACACAAATATACACAACACAGACACGCAACACACATCTGTTTAGGTTGTGTTGCTGTTGTGATGCCGCTACAAACATCTGTTTAAGGCAAGGCAAGTTTATTTATATAGCACAATTCATACACAAGGCACATCAAAGTGCTGAACAAAACAAGAAAGCATTAAAATCATAAATAATCACAGAACATTAAAAATATAAAATCCCTCAGTTGTATGCACAGCTAAACAAAACTGTCTTTAACCTGTTTTAAACATTGTCAGAGAGGAGGCCTGTCTCACATTTTCAGGAAGACTGTTCCAGATTTTAGCAGCATGAATCTGAAAAGCAGCCTCCCCATGTTTAGTTCTGACTCTGGGCACTAACAGGAGTCCAGTCCCTGTGCTCCTCAGAGTCCGGGCTGGTTCATATGGGACTAACATGTCACTAATATATTTTGGTGCGAGGCCATGGAGAGACTTGTAACAAGCAGAGCTGTTTTAAAGTCTATTCTCTGAGCCACAGGAAGCCAGTGCAGAGACCTGAGGACCGGACTAATGTGGTCGTACTTCCTGGTTCTAGTCAGGACTCGAGCTGCTGCATTTTGAATGTACTGCAGCTGTTTTACAGCCTGTTTGGACAGACCTGTGAGCAGGCCATTGCAGTAGTCTAACCTACTGGAGACAAATGCATGGATAAGAATCTCCAAGTCTGCTTTAGACACTATGTTTTTGATCCTGGCAATGTTTTTTAGATGGTAAAAAGCTGCTGATGTTACTGATTTAATGTGGCTATTAAAATTTAAGTCTGAGTCCAGTATTACCCCTAGATTTCTGACCTTGTTTGAAGGTTTTAGGGAGAGAGACTGTAGATGACAGATGACGCTCTCTCTTTGTTTCTGGGGACCAAAGACAATCATTTCAGTTTTGTCTGCGTTTAGCTGAAGGAAGTTGTTTTGCATCCACTCACTGATCTGTTGGATACAGTGAAGGAGTGAGTCCACTGGTCCAGGTTGTGTTGCTGTTGTGATACCGCTACACACATCTGTTTAGGTTGTGTTGTCGTTGTGATGCTCCGACACACATCTGTTTTGTGTTGTCGTTGTCAGTGATGAGGTTGTTTAGGACAGCTTTACATCAGAGGGACCAGCAGGAGCCTGAGAGATGCGTCCATCTGGTGTCGGTCGATGGTGCTCCCAGCTGTCGATAGTCCTTCCAGCTGTCGATAGTCCAGGGATAGTGTGTGATCGACCCAGGACTGAGGCTGTAGACCCAGGACTGAGGCCGTAGACCCAGGACTGAGGCTGTAGACCCAGGACTGAGGCTGTAGACCCAGGACTGAGGCTGTAGACCCAGGACTGAGGCTGTAGACCCAGGACTGAGGCTGTAGACCCAAGACTGAGGCTGTAGACCCAGGACTGAGGCTGTAGACCCAGGACTGAGGCTGTAGACCCAGGACTGAGGCTGTAGACCCAGGACTGAGGCTGTAGACCCAGGACTGAGGCTGTAGACCCAGGACTGAGGCTGTAGACCCAGGACTGATGCTGTAGACCCAGGACTGAGGCTGTAGCCCTGGATCATTACTTCTGGGAGAAAGCCAGAGCAGCAGATTTAAAGACAATTGTGATGTTGTGTGTAAACTTGAGATTCCCTGGTGTCGTGGGGGAGGAAGAGGGAGGGAGGGAGGGGGTCGGCCTTGGTCTGACCGCTGTGGTGCATGCTGGGAGTTGCAGTATTTTGGCTCGTGTCCCAGAAAGAACTGGTGCATGACGGATCGACCAATAAGACTCAGACGGGTCTGACGCTGTAGTTCACACTTCAGGACTAAGACTGTGCCAAACAAGATGCTCAAGACCTTCAGATGTTTTTAGATCTGTCCAGGCTCATATCAGGAGAGAGACCAGAGAGAGACCAGAGAGAGACCAGAGAGAGACCAGAGAGAGACCAGAGAGAGACCAGAGAGAGACCAGAGAGAGACCAGAGAGAGACCAGAGAGAGACCAGAGAGAGACCAGAGAGAGAGAGAGAGAAGTTGATTGGATGGTCTCTCTCTCTCTGGTTTCACTCTGGTCTCTCTCTGGTCTCCCTCTCTCTCTCTGGTCTCTCTTGCCCTCTCTGGTCTCTCTCTAGTCTCTCTCTGGTCTCTGTCTCTCTCTCTGGTCTCTCTCTGGTCTCTCTCTGGTCTTTCTCGTTCTCTCCGGTCTCTCTCTCTATGTCTGGTATTTCTCGTTCTCTCTGGTCTCTCTCTCTCTGGTCTTTCTCGTTCTCTCGGGTCTCTCTCTCTCTCTCTGGCCTTCTTTTGGTCTTTCTCTCTCTCTCTCTCTCTCAGCTCCCGGGATCACACACCTACAGCAGATTTATGAGAGAGTGCGGAGAGCGGCTAACGACCTCAGAGGAGGTTTAAGCTAACAGAGCTAACGGCGCTAACAGAGCTAACACTGATGTCACGTTTATGGCCGGAGCAGGAGTATAGATTATTGATGGAGTTTATGGTTCATGCAGTGATGTCATGTTCATAGTTGGAGTTTCTTTGGTTGTTTACTGCTGTGATTCCCAACCCGGGGAACGCGGACTCCTGGAGGTATTGGAAGGACTGTTGATTGATTTGAATGAGAGAGAGACCAGAAAAAGAGACCAAAGAGAGAGACTAGATAGACCAAGGAGAGAGAAACCAGTGAAAGACTAGAAAGGGAGACCAGAGAGAGACCAGAGACTAGAATGAGACTAGAATGAGACCAGAGAGAGACCAGAGAGAGACCAGAGAGAGACCAGAGAGAGACCAGAGAGAGACCAGAGTGAGGGACTATGAGAGAGACCAGAGAGATCAGAGTGAGACCAAAGAGAGAGACTAGAGAGAGAGAGAAAGAGAGAGAGACCAAAGAGAGACTAGAGAGAGACCAGAGAGAGACCAGAGAGAGACCAAAGAGAGACCAGAAAGAGACCAGAGAGAGACCAGAGAGAGACCAGAGAGAGACCAGAGAGAGACCAGAGAGAGAGACTAGAGAGAGAGAGAAAGAGAGAGAGACCAAAGAGAGACTAGAGAGAGGCCAGAGAGAGACCAGAGAGAGACCAGAGAGAGACCAGAGAGAGACCAGAGAGAGACCAGAGAGAGACCAGAGAGAGACCAGAGAGAGACCAGAGAGAGGGACTAGAGAGAGACCAAAGAGAGACGAGAGAGACGAGAAAGACCAGAGAGCGACGAGAGAGCGACGAGAGAGCGACGAGAGAGCGACGAGAGAGCGACGAGAGAGCGACGAGAGAGCGACGAGAGACCAGAGAGAGACCAGAGAGAGACGAGAGAGAGAGACGAGAGAGAGAGACGAGAGAGAGACGAGAGAGAGACGAGAACATACTGTACTGTATACTGTATCTAACTTAAATCTAAAGTCTCTACATTAAAGTCTTCTGGTGAGAGTTGGATGCAGACGTTGATTTGACGAGTCACAGATTTATTGACAACATTTAAACCTCAAAGATCGATTGTTAACAACAGAGAGAAGCACGAGGCGACGGAAACACAATTTCACCAAGGCCCTTTAACTGCAAGGACGTCAGACTGATGACACAGCGAGAGAGACTGAGAGAGAGAGAGACGGGGACTGAGAGAGAGAGAGAGACGGGGACTGAGAGAGAGAGACTGTGACTGAGAGAGAGACTGTGACTGAGAGAGAGAGACGGGGACTGAGAGAGAGAGAGAGACGGGGACTGAGAGAGAGAGAGACGGGGACTGAGAGAGAGAGAGAGACGGGGACTGAGAGAGAGAGAGAGACGGGGACTGAGAGAGAGAGACTGGGACTGAGAGAGAGAGAGAGACGGGGACTGAGAGAGAGAGAGAGACTGGGACTGAAAGAGAGACTGGGACTGAGAGAGACGGACAGAGAGAGAGAGAGAGAGACGGGGACTGAGAGAGAGACTGGGACTGAGAGACACAGGGACTGAGAGAGATAGACTGTGACTGAGAGAGAGAGACTGGGACTGAGAGAGAGACTGGGACTGAGAGAGAGAGACTGGGACTGAGAGAGAGAGACAGTGACTGAGAGAGAGAGACTGTGACTGAGAGAGAGACTGGGACTGAGAGAGAGACGGGGACTGAGAGAGAGACGGGGACTGAGAGAGAGAGAGACTGGGACTGAGAGAGACGGACTGAGAGAGAGAGAGACTGAGAGAGCGACTGGGACTGAGAGAGAGACTGGGACTGAGAGAGAGACTGGGACTGAGAGACAGACAGGGACTGAGACGGGGACTGAGAGAGAGATGGGACTGAGAGAGAGACGGGGACTGAGAGTGAGATACTGGGACTGAGAGAGAGACTGGATCTGTGAGAGAGACGGGGACTGAGAGTGAGAGACAGGGACTGAGAGAGAGAGACAGGGACTGAGAGAGAGAGATGATGACTGAGAGAGAGATGAGGACAGAGAGAGAGACTGGGACTGAGAGAGAGAGAGAGACGGGGACAGAGATAGAGCCAGGGACTAAGAGAGAGGCGGGGACTGAGAGAGAGAGAGACTGGGACTGAGAGAGACGGGGACTGAGAGAGAGAGAGAGACTGGGACTGAGAGAGACGGACTGAGAGAGACGGGGACTGAGAGAGACGGGGACTGAGAGAGAGAAAGACTGGGACTGAGAGAGACGGGGACTGAGAGAGAGAGAGAGAGAGAGACTGGGACTGAGAGAGACGGACTGAGAGAGACGGGGACTGAGAGAGACGGGGACTGAGAGAGAGAAAGACTGGGACTGCGAGAGAGACGGGGACTGAGAGAGAGACGAGGACTGAGGGAGAGACGGGGACTGAGGGAGAGACAGGGACTGAGAGAGAGACGAGGACTGAGGGAGAGACGGGGACTGAGGGAGAGACAGGGACTGAGAGAGAGAGAGAGAAAGAGGCGGGGACTGAGAGAGAAACTGGGACTGACAGAGAAACTGGGACTGAGAGAGAGACGGGGACTGAGAGAGAGATGAGGACTGAGAGAGAGAGAGAGAGAGACTGGGACTGAGAGAGATGGGGACTAAGAGAGAGAGAGAGACTGGGACTAAGAGAGAGATGGGGGCTGAGAGAGAGAGACTGGGACTGAGAGAGGGATGAGGACTGAGAGAGAGAGAGACTGGGACTGAGAGAGACGGGGACTGAGAGAGAGAGAGAGACTGGGACTGAGAGAGACTGGGACTGACAGAGAAACTGGGACTGAGAGAGAGACGGGGACTGAGAGAGAGAAACTGGGACAGAGAGACTGGGACTAAGAGAGAGACGGGGGCTGAGAGAGAGACTGGGACTGAGAGAGACGGGGACTGAGAGAGAGAGACTGGGACTGAGAGAGACTGGGACTGAGAGAGAGACGGGTGACTGGAAAGAGTGTTTCTCTCTTTCTCGCACACACACACACGCGCGCGCAGACACGCACACACACACACACACACTCTCACTCGCACACACACGCACGCATGCACACACACACAGACACACACACACACATCTGTAAATTCCACGTTAGAATGATCTGTCTGAGGACAGACTCTGCTGCACTTGTTCCTATCAGAGAAATGATAATAATAATAATAATAATCATAAATACATGTTTTATTTTGTTTCAGTGCAGTTCAACTTGATTCCTGTGGGTCTGAGGATCGTGGCCATCCAGAGCACCAAGAGCAAACTCTACGTCGCCATGAACAGTGACGGCTTCATCTACACCTCTGTGAGTCTGACCCTACACCTCTGACCCTACACCTCTGTGAGTCTGACCCTACACCTCTGACCCTACACCTCTGTGAGTCTGACCCTACACCTCTGACCCTACACCCTCTGTGAGTCTGACCCTACACCTCTGTGAGTCTGACCCTACACCCTCTGACCCTACACCTCTGTGAGTCTGACCCTACACCAGGGGTGGCCAACCAGTCAGAGACTAAGAGCCAATTTTTTTTACTGTGTTACAGCAAAGAGCCACATCATACAAATGTGCACTACATAAACATCACCCCAACCCTTACACACGCACGCACACGCGCACGTACTGTACGCACACGAGCAGACACGCGCACACACATGCAATCTGTCTGTGCAGAGAGAGGTGTGCTCTGCTCAGACAGATTTATTGTAAATGTCATCAACATGATAATGACAGAAATTGACTCGTACAGCACTAAAGGGCTGGACTCGACTCTCCCCGGTTTGCGGGCGCTTCTACCGCTCGCTTTAGCCGCTCCCCGGTACTTTTTATTAATGGTTTGGCCCTGGTTCTAACCGGGCGAGTCGATACCAGAACAATTTCACGTCAGCGAACATCAATTATGATTCCGAAATGAATGCTTTCAATCTCTAACCAAGAAAAAAAAATCAAGTTTCAACCCAGTGTTCAGCAGAAACACAACTGTCTTTAGTAAAAGATATAGATTTGACACATAACACCAACACCACTTTAGCTGATTTAGAACCACAGACACATGCTCAGTATAAGACCAGATAGTTTTGCATTTGATTGAAGACAGACACTCACCAGGCAGAGTTGGCTAATCTCCTGGTGTAATGCTAGTTGTTGTTAGCTGGTTTTAGCATGTTAGCCGGTGTTAGCCGATGTCCGTAAATGTAATCCATTTGGTCAAACCACCTCCAGACTTTTCGGGTCTGCCTCTACTTCTGCTGCTGCGATCTTTCATTTCACGGTTGTCACTTTTAAGCTTTTTAACTTTTCTCTGCATTGTCATGTTTGTGGGAATCATTCTGCTCCGTCCTTAGTGCTAGCTCCACAAACACCTTCTGGTTTCTGGTGGAACCAGCGAGATCAGGCTGGTGTCCTCTCCTCAAACTGAGGAAGGTGTTGCCCTCATCCAGCGACCAAGGAATTGTTTTCCGTACGGACGCCATGGGTCGAGGCAACGTGTTGTTTGTTATGATATTTGCTACAGCTGAGGTAGCAGCTGCAGAGTGATTGACAATGCATCTGACCAATCAGAATTGACGTTCGCCGACGTCAGATTGTTTTGGCGGCCCGGCTAGTGGAGTGAAGTCGGCCTTTACTATTGGTCAGAACTACATATTGAATGAAAGGCAGCGCCACCAACGAGGCGTTTTTGACGCTTGTCGAGTGAAAGCCCGAGAGCCGCACGGAACCAGCCAAAGAGCCGCATGCGGCTCACGAGCCGCGGGTTGGCCACCCCTGCCCTACACCTCTGTGAGTCTGACCCTACACCTCTGTGAGAGTCTGACCCTACACCTCTGTGAGTCTGACCCTACACCTCTGTGAGTCTGACCCTACACCTCTGTGAGTCTGACCCTACACCTCTGACCCTACACCCTCTGACCCTACACCCTCTGACCCTACACCTCTGTGAGTCTGACCCTACACCTCTGTGAGAGTCTGACCCTACACCTCTGTGAGTCTGACCCTACACCTCTGTGAGTCTGACCCTACACCTCTGACCCTACACCTCTGTGAGTCTGACCCTACACCTCTGACCCTACACCCTCTGACCCTACACCCTCTGTCCTCACACCCTCTGACCCTACACCTCTGTGAGTCTGACCCTGCACCTCTGACCCTACACCCCTCTGTGAGAGTCTGACCCTACACCTCTGTGAGTCTGACCCTACACCTCTGACCCTACACCTCTGTGAGTCTGACCCTACACCTCTGACCCTACACCTCTGTGAGTCTGACCCTACACCTCTGTGAGAGTCTGACCCTACACCTCTGTGAGTCTGACCCTACACCCTCTGTGAGTCTGACCCTACACCCTCTGACCCTACACCTCTGTGAGTCTGACCCTACACCTCTGACCCTACACCTCTGTGAGTCTGACCCTACACCTCTGTGAGTCTGACCCTACACCTCTGTGAGTCTGACCCTACACCTCTGACCCTACACCCTCTGACCCTACACCCTCTGTCCTCACACCCTCTGACCCTACACCTCTGTGAGTCTGACCCTGCACCTCTGTGAGTCTGACCCTACACCTCTGACCCTACACCTCTGTGAGTCTGACCCTACACCTCTGTGAGAGTCTGACCCTACACCTCTGTGAGAGTCTGACCCTACACCTCTGTGAGTCTGACCCTACACTCTCTGTGAGTCTGACCCTACACCCTCTGACCCTACACCTCTGTGAGTCTGACCCTACACCTCTGACCCTACACCTCTGTGGTCTGACCCTACACCTCTGACCCTACACCTCTGTGAGTCTGACCCTACACCTCTGACCCTACACCTCTGTGAGTCTGACCCTACACCTCTGACCCTACACCTCTGTGAGTCTGACCCTACACCTCTGTGAGAGTCTGACCCTACACCTCTGTGAGTCTGACCCTACACCCTCTGTGAGTCTGACCCTACACCCTCTGACCCTACACCTCTGTGAGTCTGACCCTACACCTCTGACCCTACACCTCTGTGAGTCTGACCCTACACCTCTGTGAGTCTGACCCTACACCTCTGACCCTACACCCTCTGACCCTACACCCTCTGTCCTCACACCCTCTGACCCTACACCTCTGTGAGTCTGACCCTGCACCTCTGTGAGTCTGACCCTACACCTCTGTGAGTCTGACCCTGCACCTCTGTGAGTCTGACCCTACACCTCTGACCCTACACCTCTGTGAGTCTGACCCTACACCTCTGTGAGAGTCTGACCCTACACCTCTGTGAGAGTCTGACCCTACACCTCTGTGAGTCTGACCCTACACTCTCTGTGAGTCTGACCCTACACCCTCTGACCCTACACCTCTGTGAGTCTGACCCTACACCTCTGACCCTACACCTCTGTGAGTCTGACCCTACACCTCTGACCCTACACCTCTGTGAGTCTGACCCTACACCTCTGTGAGTCTGACCCTACACCTCTGACCCTACACCTCTGTGAGTCTGACCCTACACCTCTGACCCTACATCTCTGTGAGTCTGACCCTCCACCTCTGACCCTACACCCTCTGACCCTACACTCTCTGACCCCACACCCTCTGACCCTACATCCTTGTCACAATCTTGTCTTGTTCATGAGTGAGACTGACAGGGTTGGACCAGAGACTGTTAAAAATAACGGACAGAGTCACGCCTATCTCCGCCGTTCTAACTAACGGGCCATGCGCATGCGTCAGCCGGCGCAGCTCCATTCATTTGAACGAGAGACTTCAAAAATTCACAGCAAGTAACCTAGAGTGGACCAAAAAATTCACCCCCCTCAGCATTGACACACATGTGGAACGGAGCTTTGGGCCAAGAGCCAACTTTTGGTCCATGCTATATGTTAGCATTGGCTAATTCTTATTCCGGGTCCACCCCCATCGGCCCGGGGTGGTATTGCAAGCATGGGCACTTTTGAGCCGGGACCCACCCCCACTGGGTTGGACTGTTGTGGAGAAGAGGGAGCAGCCTCTGCAGTCGGAGCTCTATATTCCTTTCTCTCACCTCTGATCATGAGTAAAGATCCGAAAGGACAAGATTGGCCTCTCTCTGGTCTCTCTTTTTCTCTCTCTCTGTCTCTGGTCTCTCTCTGGTCTCTTTCTGGTCTCTCTCCGGACTTCCCTTGGACTCTCCTCCACTGTTTGGAGGTGATTCTCTCGACACGCCTGAGAAATGACCCAGTTTCCCTCAAAGGACCAGAACGAGCACAAACTCCACAACTCTGCGGACGCTTACATAACAGGAGAAGCCCTTGACCAGGAGAGGTTACAGAACGAGGACTGACTCTCTCCAGTCTCTCTCTCACTGGTCTCTCTGTGGATTCTCTCTAGTCTCTCACCGGTCTTTCTCTCTGGTCTCTCTGTCTCTGGTCGCTCTCTCTGGTCTCTCTCTCTGGTGTCTCTCTGGTCTCTCTCTCTGATCTCTCTCTGGTCTCTCTCTCTGATCTCTCTCTGGTATCTCTCTCTGGTCTCTCTCTCTGATCTCTCTCTGGTCTCTCTCTCTGGTCTCTCTCTCTGGTATCTCTCTCTGGTATCTCTCTCTGGTCTCTCTCTCTGGTATCTCTCTGGTCTCTCTCTCTGGTCTCTCTCTCTGGTATCTCTCTCTGGTCTCTCTCTTTCTGGTCTCTCTGGTGGTGAAATAATGATGACTTTCTCGATTTTGGGTTTTTGCGACAGTAAGTGTCTCTGGTTAATTTATAACGAGAGGAACCAGTGACGAGGTCGTTCTGCAGTTAGAGGGAAGGAGGAGGAAGAAGAGGAGGAGGAGGAGGTGAAAAAGGAGGTGCATGCCATACCTATTATACATGTTTTCAGTGTTTGGTCTCTCTCCGGTCTCTTTCTGGTCTCTCTCTGGTCTCTCTCTGGTCTCTTTCTGGTCTCTCTCTGGTCTCTCTCTGGTCTCTCTCTGGTCTCTCTCTGGTTTCTCTCCGGTCTCTTTCTGGTCTCTCTCTGGTCTCTCTCGTGGCGTCACAGATGAGATGTAGGACTCAGAGGTGACCTTGATGGTATCTCAGCTGCTCTTATGGTCTTTTGTTTTCGGCCTCATCACCATCAGACTCACAGATACTGAGGGTGCACTAATGCACTGTTTCCACCATCTACTCTACTCTACCCTACTTTACTCTACTCTACCCTACCCTACCCTACTCTACTCTACTCTACCCTTCTTTTCTCTACCCTACTTTACTCTACCCTACTTTACTCTACTCTACTCTACTCTACCCTACTCTACCCTAGCCTATTCTACTCTACTCTGCTCTGATTGGATAGAGTTAGTCCTGGACCAGTGTCTCAGAGGAATGAGCTGATCTTGGCCTGGAGTTTGTCTTGTCAGGCTCTCTCCTCTGTCTCCCTCCCCCTCCTTCTCTACCTCTCCCCTCTCTACCTCTCCCCCCCCCCCTGACAGCAGACATGAGTGGTGCTGTGGTTCTCACAAACCAAAGGACAGAGACAGGACTGGGTTGAAAAGTCCACATTCTGCAGACGGAAGAAAAATGAAGAGAGAGACCAAAGAGAGAGACCAGAGAGACCAGAGAGAGACCAAAGAGAGAGACCAGAGAGACCAGAGAGAGACCAGAGAGAGACCAGAGAGAGACCAGAGAGAGACCAGAGAGAGACCAGAGAGAGACCCCAGAGAGACCCCAGAGAGACCCCAGAGAGACCCCAGAGAGACCCCAGAGAGACCCCAGAGAGAGACCAGAGAGAGACCAGAGAGAGACCAGAGAGAGACCAGAGAGAGACCAAAGGGGGGGGTCTTTACGAAAAGACGCAGGAAAAGACGCAGGAAAAGTGGCTCGATAACATTTTACTAGCAGACGCTTTTACCTCGAAGGATTATTTACCCAGCCATGCAGTCACAATGCACAGTTATTACATCCCCAACTTTATTTAAGTAATTGTCAGGTACAGTATGAGTTGGTGTTTTAAATAAACACTGAATGTTTGACCTGAACAGAACACAACACAGACGCATTGTTTTGTTGAGAATGACAAGTTCATACCAATCGTTACTTACACGGCTCTGTACGATGCAGGATTTGTCCTTCAGGACCTTAACTCTGAGTTCCTAAACCCACAGACAGACGGGGTTAAGGAACTCAGAGTTAAGACGGAAAGTTGCAGCATCCATGTTTATCCAAACCTTCAGTTGTTTAGCAGTGCAAAAGCTTGATTGTTACACTACGTAGCTCCTGGATTAGAAGTGAAGAAAATGACAGTCTAGGATCGTGTCTTTAATTCAGACAGAAGACATGTTTTATTGTCGATGGTAGAGGCAGCATAAACAAAGACGTTACAGAATGTAAGTGACTTACAGTGGAGGAATGGAGACTTATTAGCATAGTAGCAAATATTAGCATTTGCCGCGGTGCCAGTAGCTTCAACCTTGATAATACCAAAACATGTCGTGGAAAAATTCTGCCTTGTGCATATTGTTAGAATGATGAGTTAGAACTTTCACCACAGTAGCTTCAAAGTGTCATGAAATATCCAAAAAGAAAAAAAATACTCAGAAGAGTTGCATTTTCTTCATATACCAGCAGCAACTCTTGCTAGCCTGACCACCACTTCGTCAACCGGAAGTTTATGCGTCACGTGCAAGCCAGCAATTGTTGTTGGCTAAACCGCTGCTGTCTATGTCTGTAGTGAGTAGTAGTGTGAGTTTGCAAGCAGAGGCTTTGGACAGAAGGGACGGGGGTTTTGCCTGAAGTTCCTGAAAACCGTGTGGATAAAGTTCAAAACGACGGCTGTTTTTGATGAGAAACTTAATTAAAACTTGTCAAAAACTCAAAGACTACGTAGAGAGGCCTCCTGCTGTGAGGGGGAGCAGTGATGGAGCGGGAGCTGGGTTCGGGGCCTGTGCGGCAGCTGGAGTGTGGACAGCAGCAGACGGGCTGTGGACACATCTGTCTTCACCTGCTGCGTCCCACTGCCTGCTGTCTGCACCTCCTCTAGCGTAGCATTAGCCCACGCAGGATGCTAGCTGTCAGAATCAGGCTGAGTCCAGACCAGGCTAAGTCCGGACCATAAAGTCTCAAGAACAGACGGATACTTTTTTATATCTGCGGCCATTACTGTAGAGCAGAGGTGTCAAACTCATTAGTCAGGAGCAAAATTTGAAAACACAAGAGCGTTTGGGGCGAGAGAGACCAGAGAGAGAGACCAGAGAGAGAGACCAGAGAGAGAGACCAGAGAGAGAGACCAGAGAGAGAGACCAGAGAGAGAGACCAGAGAGAGAGACCAGAGAGAGAGACCAGAGAGAGAGACCAGAGAGAGACCAGAGAGAGACCAGAGAGAGACCAGAGAGAGACCAGAGAGATCAGAGAAAGAGACAAGAGAGAGACCAGAGAGAGACCAAAGAGAGACTAGAGTGAGACCAAAGAGAGACTAGAGAGAGACTAGAGAGAGACCAGGGAGAGAGACCAGAGAGAGACCAGAGAGAGACCAGAGAGAGAGCAGAGAGAGACCAGAGAGAGAGAGATCAGAGAAAGAGACAAGAGAGAGACCAGAGAGAGACCAAAGAGAGACTAGAGAGAGACTAGAGAGAGATTAGAGAGAGACTAGAGAGAGACTAGAGAGAGACTAGAGAGAGACCAGGGAGAGAGACCAGAGAGAGACTAGGGAGAGACCAGAGAGAGAGACCAGAGAGAGAGACCAGAGAGAGAGACCAGAGAGAGAGATCAGAGAGAGAGACCAGAGAGAGACCAGAGAGAGACCAGAGAGAGACCAGAGAGAGACCAAAGAGAGACCAAAGAGAGACCAGAGAGAGACCAGAGAGAGACCAGAGAGAGACCAGAGAGAGACCAGAGAGAGACCAGAGAGAGACCAGAGAGAGACCAGAGAGAGACCAGAGAGAGACCAGAGAGAGATCAGAGAAAGAGACCAGAGAGAGACCAAAGAGAGACTAGAGTGAGACCAAAGAGAGACTAGAGTGAGACCAAAGAGAGACTAGAGTGAGACTAGAGTGAGACTAGAGTGAGACTAGAGTGAGACTAGAGTGAGACTAGAGTGAGACTAGAGAGAGACTAGAGAGAGACTAGAGAGAGACTAGAGAGAGACTAGAGAGAGACTAGAGAGAGACTAGAGAGAGACTAACTAGAGAGAGACTAGAGAGAGACCAGAGAGAGACCAGGGAGAGACGAGAGAGAGACCAGAGAGAGAGACCAGAGAGAGAGATCAGAGAGAGACCAGAGAGAGACCAGAGAGAGACCAAAGAGAGACCAAAGAGAGACCAGAGAGAGACCAGAGAGAGACCAGAGAGAGACCAGAGAGAGACCAGAGAGAGACCAGAGAGAGACCAGAAAGAGACCAGAGAGAGAGAGATCAGAGAAAGAGACAAGAGAGAGACCAGAGAGAGACCAAAGAGAGACTAGAGTGAGACCAAAGAGAGACTAGAGTGAGACCAAAGAGAGACTAGAGTGAGACTAGAGTGAGACTAGAGTGAGACTAGAGTGAGACTAGAGTGAGACTAGAGTGAGACTAGAGAGAGACTAGAGAGAGACTAGAGAGAGACTAGAGAGAGACTAGAGAGAGACTAGAGAGAGACTAACTAGAGAGAGACTAGAGAGAGACTAGAGAGAGACCAGGGAGAGAGACCAGAGAGAGACTAGGGAGAGACGAGAGAGAGACCAGAGAGAGAGACCAGAGAGAGAGAGATCAGAGAAAGAGACAAGAGAGAGACCAGAGAGAGACCAGAGAGAGAGACCAGAGAGAGAGACCAGAGAGAGACCAGAGAGAGACCAGAGAGAGACCAGAGAGAGAGAGATCAGAGAAAGAGACAAGAGAGAGACCAGAGAGAGACCAAAGAGAGACTAGAGTGAGACCAAAGAGAGACTAGAGAGAGACCAGGGAGAGAGACCAGGGAGAGAGACCAGAGAGAGACCAGAGAGAGACCAGAGAGAGACCAGAGAGAGACCAGAGAGAGAGAGATCAGAGAAAGAGACAAGAGAGAGACCAGAGAGAGACCAAAGAGAGACTAGAGAGAGACTAGAGAGAGACTAGAGAGAGACTAGAGAGAGACCAGGGAGAGAGACCAGAGAGAGACTAGGGAGAGACCAGAGTGAGTGAGAGTGAGAGTGAGACTAGAGTGAGACTAGAGTGAGACTAGAGTGAGACTAGAGAGAGACTAGAGAGAGACTAGAGAGAGACTAGAGAGAGACTAGAGAGAGACTAGAGAGAGACTAGAGAGAGACTAGAGAGAGACTAGAGAGAGACTAACTAGAGAGAGACTAGAGAGAGACTAGAGAGAGACTAGAGAGAGACCAGGGAGAGAGACCAGAGAGAGACTAGGGAGAGACCAGAGAGAGACCAGAGAGAGAGAGATCAGAGAAAGAGATAAGAGAGAGACCAGAGAGAGACCAAAGAGAGACCAGAGAGAGACCAGAGAGAGACCAGAGAGACCAGAGAGAGACCAGAGAGAGAGAGATCAGAGAAAGAGACAAGAGAGAGACCAGAGAGAGACCAAAGAGAGACTAGAGAGAGACCAGAGAGAGACCAGAGAGACCAGAGAGAGACCAGAGAGAGACTAGAGAGAGACCAGAGAGAGACCAGAGAGAGAGAGATCAGAGAAAGAGACAAGAGATACCAGAGAGAGACCAGAGAGAGAGACCAGAGAGAGAGACCAGAGAGAGACCAGAGAGAGACCAGAGAGAGACCAGAGAGAGACCAGAGAGAGAGAGATCAGAGAAAGAGACAAGAGAGAGACCAGAGAGAGACCAAAGAGAGACTAGAGAGAGACTAGAGAGAGACTAGAGAGAGACTAGAGAGAGACCAGGGAGAGAGACCAGAGAGAGACTAGGGAGAGACCAGAGAGAGAGACCAGAGAGAGAGACCAGAGAGAGAGATCAGAGAGAGACCAGGGAGAGAGACCAGAGAGAGACCAGAGAGAGACCAAAGAGAGACCAGAGAGAGACCAGAGAGAGACCAGAGAGAGACCAGAGAGAGACCAGAGAGAGACCAGAGAGAGACCAGAGAGAGACCAGAGAGAGACCAGAGTGAGACCAAAGAGAGACTAGAGTGAGACCAAAGAGAGACTAGAGTGAGACTAGAGTGAGACTAGAGTGAGACTAGAGTGAGACTAGAGTGAGACTAGAGTGAGACTAGAGTGAGACTAGAGTGAGACTAGAGTGAGACTAGAGAGAGACTAGAGAGAGACTAGAGAGAGACTAGAGAGAGACTAGAGAGAGACTAGAGAGAGACCAGAGAGAGACCAAAGAGAGACCAGAGAGAGACCAAAGAGAGACCAAAGAGAGACCAGAGAGAGACCAGAGAGAGACCAGAGAGAGACCAGAGAGAGACCAGAGAGAGACCAGAGAGAGACCAGAGAGAGACCAAAGAGAGACTAGAGAGAGACCAGAGAGAGACTAGGGAGAGACCAGAGAGAGAGACCAGAGAGAGAGATCAGAGAGAGACCAGAGAGAGACCAGAGAGAGACCAGAGAGAGACCAAAGAGAGACCAGAGAGAGACCAGAGACCGACCAGAGACCGACCAGAGACCGACCAGAGACCGACCAGAGACCGACCAGAGACCGACCAGAGACCGACCAGAGACCGACCAGAGACCGACCAGAGACCGACCAGAGACCGACCAGACGGAGACAAGAGAGTGACTACATCTGCTGCCTCAGTCTAAACTCATCCGGGCCTCCTTCAGTTCTCTTTAATGGAAGTCGTCCTTTTACCTTCAATATACGGTGTTATTCTCTCACCCCCCTCCCCCCAGCCCTCCCCCCGCGGCCTTGTTACTTCTAAATTGTCCTTGTCCTGTGAGAATAGAGCTGTGTTTATGGTCTCTTTATCCCGCTGGTGGCTCTCCTTCCTCACTGTCCGCTGTAGGAGTGTGATCCCGGGTTAATGTCCCTGTGCTCTGTACCTGTGCCCCCCCCCGGAAATAGCTTTGTGATAAAAGACAAGAAGAAAATGGGAGAAGTCTGGTCTGTGGCTCACGGCTCTATTAGTGCTACTGTGGGGGAGAGAGGATCGCGGGGAGATGGGAGGAGTACCTACACACAGAGCAGTTTGTATATATTACTTATTTATTATAGACGTAACAATGAATAACGTGTCACTGTCTGTGTCCCAGAGCCCCATGCTAACATGCTAACATACATACAACTACATGCTTATGAACTAGAATATACTGTACAGGATTCATACTTTGTGTCCTCGCTGTGGTTCTCTCTATAGTCCTCTCTGTGCTCTTTGTGGTCCTCTCAGTCTCCTCTCGGTCTCCTTTCGGTCTCCTCTCAGTCTCCTTTCGGTCTCCTCTCAGTCTCCTTTCGGTCTCCTCTCAGTCTCTTTTCGGTCTCCTCTCAGTCTCCTCTCGGTCTCCTCTCTGTCTCCTCTCGGTCTCCTCTCTGTCTCCTCTCTGTCTCCTCTCAGTCTCCTCCCGGTCTCCTCTCGGTCTTCTCTCAGTCTCCTCCCGGTCTCCTCTCTGTCCCTCTCGGTCTCCTTGTTGCCTTGTGTGTGTATAAACCGTGCTATACAAATAAACTTACCTTTTACATGCTCATTATAAAGCATGAGATAAAGTCAATATTCCCTGATGTTAATATTCTCTAACTCTGGTCTCTCTGGTCTTTCTCTGGTCTCTCTCTGGTCTTTCTCTGGTCTTTCTCTGGTCTTTCTCTGGTCTTTCTCTGGTCTCTCTCCGATCTCTCTCTGGTCTTTCTCTGGTCTTTCTCTGGTCTCTCTCTGGTCTCTCTCTCCGCACTGTCCATCTGTATACAGTGCCAAAGTAAGACAGCCCATTTGTTCTTTAATGTCTGATGGTCTTGGACACAGAGTGAAGCCAGAACACCATGAGTCTTCTCCTCTAAACACAGCTGACCTTCCACATGGAGTTTCTCTGACTCAGCACTCTCTGGTCTCGTGTCGGTCCGAGTGAACGTCCCTCTCTCGGTCTCCTCTCGGTCTCCTCATGGTCTCCTCTTTATCTCCTCTCGGCTGTAGAGCAGACCCTAGTGCAAACCCTAGAGCAGAGCATAGAACAGAGCCTAGAGCAAACCCTAGAGCAGAGCCTAGACCAGACACTACAGCATACCCCAGAGCAGAGTAGACCCCAGAGCAGACCCTAGAACAGAGCACAGAGCAGACCCTAGAGCATACCCCAGAGCAGAGTAGACCCCAGAGCAGAGCATAGAGCAGAGCAGACCCTAGAACAGAGCACAGAGCAGACCCTAGGGCAGACCCTAGAGCAGAGCAGACCCTAGAACAGAGCACAGAGCAGAACCTAGAGAAGAGCAGAACCTAGCGCAGACCCTAGAGCAGATCCTAGAGCAGACCCCAGAGCAGACCCTAGAGCAAAGTCTAGAGCAGAGCCTAGAGCAAAGCCGAGAGCAGAGCCTAGCGCAGACCCTAGCGCAAAGCCTAGAGCAGAGCATAGAACAGAGCCTAGAGAAAATCCTAGAGCAGAGCCTAGACCAGACACTAGAGCATACCCCAGAACAGAGTAGACCCCCAGACCCTAGAACAGATCCTAGAGCAGAGCAGAGCCCAGAGCAGAGCCTAGAGCAGACCCTAGCACAGACCTTAGAGCAAAGCCTAGAGCAGACCCTAGAGCAAAGCCTAGCGCAGACCCTAGAGCAGAGCAGACTCTAGAGCAGACCCCAGATCAGACCCTAGAGCAGAGCAGACCCTAGAGCAGAGCAGACCCTAGTACAGAGAGAATCTAACTGGAGCAGAGTGAGGCTAAGGCAGGTCACAGTCACCGCGGAAAATCCCCAGTCCCTGCAGCTCCGGAGAGAGGCTGATGCAGAGGACATCCCCATCCCCTCCCCCCTCCTCCCCCCCCCTCCCTCCCCCTCCTCCCCCCTCCTCTCCAGCTGCTCTCTCTGCATAGATTTGTACAGTTTCTCCGAGCTCCACTTCTGCCTCAGTGTTTTTACGATGGTTTTGTTTTTTATATGACTCAAAATCTCGTTTAAACTAAATGTGTGTGTTTGATTCTCTGATCTGTTGTTGGTGAATCAACAACTTTGTGACGTGCTTTTTGTTCAAGATAAATGACAAACATGAACATTTGTGCATTTGTTTGATTACACAAAACTCAATGGACTATCAAGAGCACCTGTATACTCTCTCTGGTCTCTCTTCCTCTGGTCTCTGGTCTCTCTCTCTGGTCTCTCTCTGGTCTCACTCTGGTCTCACTCTGGTCTCTCTCTGGTCTCTTTCTGGCCTCTCTCTGGTCTCACTCTGGTCTCTCTCTGGTCTCTTTCTGGCCTCTCTCTGGTCTCTCCCTCTCTGGTCTCTCTCCCTTGTCTCTCTCTCTGGCCTCTCTCTGGTCTCTCTCACTGGTCTCTCTCTGGTCTCTCTCTGGTCTCACTCTGGTCTCTCTCTGGTCTCTCTTCCTCTGGTCTCTGTCTCTGGTCTCTCTCTGGTCTCACTCTGGTCTCTCTCTGGTCTCTTTCTGGCCTCTCTCTGGTCTCTCTCTCTCTGGTCTCTCTCCCTTGTCTCTCTCTCTGGTCTCTCTCACTGGTCTCTCTCTGGTCTCTCTCACTGGTCTCTCTCTGGTCTCTCTCTCTGGTCTCTCTCTCTCTGGTCTCTCTCCCTTGTCTCTCTCTCTGGTCTCTCTCACTGGTCTCTCTCTGGTCTCTCTCACTGGTCTCTCTCTGGTCTCTCCCTCTGGTCTCTCTCATTGGTCTCGTCTCTGACATAAAGAACTCTTCCGGGGTCTTTCCATAATGGCCGCCGCGCTCGTAAACAGAGTCTGTAGTTTAAATGCCACCATCGGATCAGCAGCAGTTGTTACAGAGAAGCTTCTCCACCAATCATCTTTATGGACTTTAGGAACAAACACACAGAGAGAGAGAGACAGAGAGAGAGAGACACAAAGAGAGAGAGACAGAGAGAAAGACCAGAGACAGAGAGACACACAGAGAGAGACACACACAGAGAGAGACACACACAGAGAGAGACACACACAGAGAGAGACACACACAGAGAGAGACAAGAGAGAGAGACACAGAGAGAGAGAGAGAGACACAGACACCGAGAGGGTTTGTCTCTGATCTCTCTCTAGTCTCCCGCTGGTCTCTCTCTGGTCTCTCTCTAGTCTCTCTGGTCTCTCTGGTCTCTCTCTCGCTGGTCTCTTTAGTTTCTCTCTGGTCTCTCTCTCTCTCTCTCTGCTCAATGGTCCTGTAAGTTCTGAACTATCGGACATCGACCACAGAAACCTATAGATTTGTGGTGTCAGTGGTGATGGGAGATGGCCGTTTCCGTGGTGACCTCTCCTCCACCCCTCCTCGGGTTCGTCTCAGTCCCCTCCTCGGGCTCGTCCCAGTCCCATCTGCTCTGTCCTAATGGGAATGTTGTCTCTGCGCTAATGCCCACTGACCTCCACACGGCTGACATGGGATCAATGGTACAGCGGACCAGCAGAGGCAGCACCAGCAGAGGGAGGACCAGCAGAGGGAGGACCAGCAGAGGGAGGACCAGCAGAGGCAGCACCAGCAGAGGCAGCACCAGCAGAGGCAGCACCAGCAGAGGCAGCACCAGCAGAGGCAGCACCAGCAGAGGCAGCACCAGCAGAGGCAGCACCAGCGGCGGCGCCAGACATTTGTCATAGGGGGTGCTTAGGGGGTGCTGACGTCTTGCCTGGGGGTGCTCAACATAACATGTTATGTGCGCAGTCAGTTGTATTGGGCAACATAATCCAATAATAACGTATATACGCGTGTATTCCACCGCAAGCGCATGGGAAAATATCCTACAGAGTGGATTGCAAAAGCGTCAGCAGCCGCCAGCCGGTGGAACTGTTGCGCGCGGTGGAGGACAGGAGGATGCGCTCCGTCCGGATCCGCGTTTGTTTACCATGAGGCACATCGCACAGAAGAGCCACCGCGGAGTTGTTTTTATGTGACCCGCGTGGGAAGGACATGTGTGTTCCAGTGTGCCATAACAGCATGTCATCTTTACGAATGTCCCCTTTTAAACACACCCTGGCTGCATGCAAGAGTTGCATCAAGCATAATAATATAATCAAAATAATCTCTATTTGTTGATTAATAAATCGAACGATGATGAACAAAAAAATCTTGTAATTTTTATTATTTGTGCCGAGGGAAACACACTTTACCAAAATAAACACATAGGCCTAACAAAAACAGTCCCCTATAAGCTAACAAGTACAACTTCGAAAAACTGTCCATTTAATGAGGGATATAAAGCCTGTATTTTTGTATTCCTTTCAAGGCTGTGCCCATAGCCTACTATTTGGATGTTTCTTGTAGGCGCATTCTTTCCCTCGAGACTGCCAGACAAAGCAAACATTCAAATCAACGCCTTTATCAAAATAACTAGACTTAGCATATACCATTCAAAACATTTATACTTACAATTTATACGTCTTCATAACAGCACAATACGTCTGTTGTTGTGATTGACAGCGAAGGCGTTAATTATCCTATCACTGTCCATGGCCCTCGCTCTAGCAGAGTTAATGGCCAATAGTCCCAGGTTACTGGTCCGTGTGTCCCCGCTGCTGTTTCTTAAATAATTTTTCAGTCTGCGCAGGCACGAGAAACTTCTCTCACAGCTCACTGATGTAACAGGAAGGGTCAAGGATATGCTGATCAGTTTGAACAAATCCATAAAGGCCTCTTTGTACGGGCGCAAAAGGTGCAGAAAATCCTGTGGGCTTTTTACAGCATGTCCCTGTTGCTTTTTCCTTTCTAGAAGCCGACGGACTTGATGTAGTTCCGCAGACAGGTTTTCCTCTCGCACTCCATAATGCTGGGCCATGGGCAGAAGTAGTTGCTTGTCCAGAAAACCTGTATGTTTTGGGGAGAGCGCCTGTACACCTTTCATCACGTTGTTTGTTTCTGTAGAAAAACGCCGCTTCATCTCCACTCTCAGTTTGTCTAACACAGGAAAGAATGACGCTACTTTAAGCACATCCATGTCATTGGTACGCGCCCTTTCTATAGGAGCCTCAACAACAAATCCCTCCAGATGTCTTGTTTGAACTTGGCGTTTCTCCTTTTGGGTCTGTCTTATTCCACTGTCGACACACATGCTCTCTGCTTTCTGTCTTAACCTTTCCCATGTCTGGTCAGTGCATTTTTCTGAAAGCGCAGTGATAACTGATTGAGCCAAGTCATCTGCTGCTACAAGATCAAAATTGGGAGCCTGTAGCTGATCTGACATAAACTTAGTTGTTCTGAGTACATCTTCAAAAAGAACAAGATGCAAGATAAACGACTCATCAATGAGGGAGCTAATAGCTCTCGCCTCTGCCCTCCTATGCGCATTGGATCCTTCCAGGATGCTGCGTAGTGTGGCTTGTAGGGCAGGAATGGTGCTCTTGAGTGCGGCAACTGCATTGTATTGGCATGCCCATCTTGTGTCGCTCAGCCGTTTTAATTCAACGCATTGAGATGGATTAAGTTCTTTTTGTTTCTTCAAAAAAATGTCATGAACAACAGATCCCGAAAAAAACCTGTAGAGCATCCCTACTGTTTCAAAAAACTCAGTAGCTGGTTTCACGTTGCGCACACAGTCTACCAACACTAGATTCAGTCTATGAGCGTAACAGTGTATGTAAATAGCTTGCGGGACGTCTTTTCTAAATTTCTCCTGAACTCCATTGTTTGACCCCGACATAACAGAAGCTCCGTCGTAACACTGCCCAACACAGTGATTGGCATCTATTTTACATTGGCTCAGAGTGCGTTTGATGGATAAGAGTAACGACTCCGCGTCAAGGCCTTCTGCAGGGGTGAAATGCAGAAATTCTTCACGCACATCTCCCGACTGTGGATGCAGATAACGGACAATAACTGAGATTTGTTCTTTTTTGCTGACGTCCTTGCTTTCATCAACAAGAAGCGCAAAGTGCTCTGCCTCTCTCACTTCATCACTGATTTCGCTTCTTATTATATCAGCCATAACGGATATTATTTCATCCTGGATATCATGGTGAGTGTACTTTGCATTCCCACTTATGTTTGAAAGTTTCTTGGCCACTGTTTTGTCAAATTTAGCAATGATATGTAAGAGCTCCAAAAAATTCCCTTTGTTTGCGGACTCCTCATCTTCTCTGTGGCCTCGCTGCGCTATGCCCTGACAGGCCGTATAGCGAAGGCTCTCAACTACAGCTCCAATGTATTGTCTGTTTTCTTGTACTAACTGCGAGTGTCCTTTGTCTAACAAATTGGCCATTTTTGATCCTCTGGTCCCCTTTAGTTTAAATTCACCCCAATGGTCCATTGCAAATTTGTGACCAGCACTTTCGTTGTGACCCCTCAGAGTTTGTGTTGCCTTTCGCCAATTACAAAATCCATTTGTTGTAAAAGTTGCCTCCAGATGATGAAACCCAGGTCCCCCACGTTTTAAAAAATGACGGCATGCAAAACACCAAACTGAGTCTTTGGTAACGCTGTACTCGAGCCATGAATATAGATCAAACCAGCCTTTATTAAAACTGCGCTGCTGCGCTCCATATTGTCTTGTGGGGTATTTCTGTAGGAGTGGTTGGCTGGGACCATTTTATGGATGTGCGCTGATATCAGTACAAGACTGAGACTCCTGACCAGCAGTACCCGAAACCACATTAGAACCTGCAGCTTCATTAGCATCGGTCGCCTCATTAGCTTCGGCCCGCGGTGGCACTCTTTTACCTTCCTCCTCCTCCTCCTCCGAGTTCGAAGAGATTTCCTCACAGGTGTTTGGCATAGATTTTGAGTTTGTACAAACGGCATTCCCCGACTCATTTTCCGTAGACTCCACTCGGGGTCGTTTAGGGACCAAAAAACGCTCCATTTTGCTCACATTTATTTACTTGGGCCACTATAGCATTCGGACAGTAAGGACATTAGGACAAACAACACTTCAGGCGCGGGAAATTGCTCTGCGCGAATGTGAGCTTTTTGGATTTTATTTTATTTACAGCCTAACTTAATATTGTCTCATAATGATTGATAAAATCGATGGTAAATGTCATGACTATAATGAACATGGAGTCACGCTCAGTCCGACATGGAGCGTCGCTGACCATGCGTTCTGATGCACGGCCGTATTAACGTAAAAATGGGTCTTAGCCTGGGCGGCCCAGGCACTCTCCTTTAGTTAAAATTATTATTTGTCCCACATACTCCTTTTCACATGAAACAGCCTATAATGCACTATGAATGTCTGTAGAGATAACTAGTTCTCCTATGATTAAGAGGCATAAATCTTTGGGGGTGCTTTGACAATCTCAGGGGGTGCTCAAGCCCCCCCTAGCCCCCCCCTGGCGCCGCCCCTGGGCAGCACCAGCAGAGGCAGCACCAGCAGAGGCAGCACCAGCATAGGCAGACTGATGGAGGACTGACGGGCTCATCCATCTCTGCTCCAGGAGACAGAGCTGTGTGACCTCTGTGTTTTGGAGCATCCATCAGTCCAAGAGTCTGCGCTAACAACTACGCTAGCTACTGATTAGCATCATCTGCACTAGCTACTGATTAGCATCATCCGTGGGAAGGATCAGAATATGTAAATATTGTAGCTAGCTTGTTGATAGGTTTGGTTAAATACTTTGTTAGCTACAAATCAGATTCATTAATCCACCATTTTATTTTCATGTCTGTCCTGCTGCATCATGGATTTGTTTTGGAAAATTGGACGAGAGAGCAGAGAGAGAGTGAGAGAGCAGAGAGGAAACAGAAAGACCAGAGAGAGAGCAGAGAGGAAACAGAGAGATTAGTGAGAGACCAGAGAGAGACTCGAGAGAGACCAGAGAGAGAGACAAGAGAGGTAACACAGAGAGAGAGCAGAGAGGTAACGGAGAGATAGACCAGAGAGAGAGAGAGAACAAGAAGAGAGACACAAAGACCTGAGTGAAAGACGAGTAAGACAAGAGAGACCACATGGTTCTACTGCAAATGGCAAACAAACTGAATCTGAATAAAAATGTATTAATATTGATACTTTACTCTCATACTGCCACGGTCCGGGCCCAGTACTTTACAAACCGGTGGAAGGCCGTGTAGAAACGCTGACCAATCAAACCAGCTAATTACAGCTACTCTGCGTCCCCTTTAATGAAACACTGTTCACTTAACTGTTCACTGATGGGACGCCTAGAGGTCGTTACAAACACTCACGAGCTTTAAATCTACAATCCAGCTTTAATTAGAGTTTAGCAGTGATGTATGCTCTCTCAGCCTGACGGGGGATTCAGGGAAGAGGCTAGCTGTAGCATGATAAAGAAGCTAGTCATGCATCTGTACGTGTTGGCATGTTAGCATGTTAGCAGCATGTGGCTCTGGGACACATGCGGTTATTGTACATTTTGACATTATTCAGATCGTTGCACAGACGCACCACATGTGAGTTCAGGTCGGTAGTGTCTGTTCGTCATTAGCCCGGTCCACACGTAGCCGGTATCCACATGCTAAACCACAGATATTTGTCTTTGTTTGCACCATCCACACGAAACGACAACAAACAAAACAACCTCTGATCGCTGAAGAAGGATCCTAACCAAACCAGGACTCAACCTAGACTAAATCAGGATTAAACCAGGACTAAACCAGGATTAAACCAGGACTAAACCAGGACTAAACCAGGACTAAACTAGGATTAAACCAGGATTAAACCAGGACTAAACCAGGATTAAACCAGGACTAAACTAGGACTAAACCAGGATTAAACCAGGACTAAACCAGGATTAAACCAGGACTAAACCAGGACTAAACCAGGATTAAACCAGGATTAAACCAGGACTAAACCAGGATTAAACCTGGACTAAACTAGGACTAAACCAGGATTAAACCAGGACTAAACCAGGACTAAACCAGGATTAAACCAGGACTAAACCAGGATTAAACCAGGGCTGAGGACGGGAGTCACTGCTTGTAAACATACATATTTCTTCACCCTGAGTTTCTACTTTGACTGTAAAAGTGCCGCTACAGAAGTACCGGCGTCAGCATCAAAGCTCCGCCCACTTCTGTGTCTTTCCCCAACGCAGGACGTCAGAGACGCACATGTTTGGAATGTAAAGAATGTGAATGAAAACGAAGATGTTCGGTTTTGTGTGGATGCAATTTATTATATAAAAGGAGCGGGAGGAAATATTCATTTTTATAAATACCCGGCTACGTGTGGACATGGCCTCAGTGTTCGTTGTACAGTCTGAGTGAAACATAGAATGCACATCAATCACACAGTTAACGTTCCTCCATCGAGAAAAGAAAACAGGTGGACATTCTTCAGCAGATTTAGGGCGGAGCAAAGTCCTTATTCAGGCCTTTTGTGTTCACCGTCACATCAAGGTCCAGATCCATCCTGCAAATTGGTTTGTTCTTTGGCGGCAAGGTTAGCACAAGACGGAGGGACGGGGAAGAGGGGGGAGAGAGGGGGCGGGGTTGTTAGGCTCTGAGGGTGAGGGATGGATACGCTCCAGAGTGGGATCCAGGAGCAGAGAGTAGTAAGAAGTAAAATGTTTTATTTCAAATGAATGAAATCATTTACAAATTTAGGACTTGAAATGATATGTCCTTTTAAAAATACATTGAAACTGCGACTACTACTATTATTGCTACTCTGACAACTACTACTACTACTACTAATACTACTACTACTACTACTAGGGCGGCACTGTGGCTGAGTGGTTAGCACTCTCGCTTCTCAGCAAGAAGGTCCTGGATTCGAATCCCGGTCAGAACAGGGCCTTGGAGTTTGCATGTTCTCCCGTGTCTGGTCCGGTTTCCTCCAGGTGCTCCGGTTTCCCCTACCACTAAAAACATGTACAATAGGTCTGTGCATCCTGTACTGGCCCCTCCCATCTCTGTGTGGAGTGAGAGACTAATGCTCACAATTGTAAACCGCTTCGACTCTGATCTGTGAAAGGCGCAATATAAATAAACATTACTTACTACTACAACAACGGCGACTGTGACTTCTACTACTACTACCACTACTACTAGTATTACGACTACTACTATTACTACTGTGGTTTTGGAAATGGCCGCAGAACTGTGGACCAGCTCTATACTACAACCCCTCAGGCTGACCACGCCCTCTGAGAATGACCACGCCCCCTCACTCTGACCACGCCCCCTGTGGGTGAGTGAGTCCCGGGTGTGAGCCAAGGTGAAGGCCCCCTCGTCTCTGCTGATGGTCCAGATCTCTCACTCTCTCTCTCTCTCTCCTTCGTGTGTGTTGCAGGAGCACTTTACGCCCGAGTGCAAGTTCAAAGAGAGTGTGTTTGAGAACTACTACGTGACGTACTCGTCCGTCCTGTACCGTCAGACGCAGTCGGGCCGAGCCTGGTACATCGGCATCAACCGCGACGGACAAGTCATGAAAGGAAACCGCGTCAAGAAGACCAAGGGCGCCGCACACTTCCTGCCCAAACTCATAGAAGGTACAGCATGGTGTACTCTCTCTCTGGTCCCACTCTTTGGTCTCTCTCTAGTCTCTCTGTGGTCTCACTAGGGTCTTTCTTTCTGGTCTCTCTTGTTTGTCTTTCACTCTCTGTCCGGTCTCTCTTTGTTCTCTCTCTGGCCTCATTCTGGTCTCTCTTATGTCTCTCTCTCTGGTCTCCCTCCGATCTCCCTCTGGTCTCTCTCTACTCTCTCTTTGGTCTCTCCTTAGTCTCTCTCTCTGGTCTCTCTCTGGCCTCCCTCTGATCTCTCCCTGGTCTATCTTAAGTCTCTCTCTCTGGTCTCTCTTTAGTCTCTCTCTGGTCCCCCTCCAATCTCCCTCTGGTCTCTCTGGCCTCCCTCTCATCTCCCTCTGGTCTCTCTTTAGTCTCTCTCTGGTCTCTCTCTGGCCTCACTCTTTAGTCTCCCTCTGGTCTCTCCTCCTCCTCACGTCTGTGTCGTTGCAGTCGCCATGTACCGAGAACCTTCTCTCCACGATGTCACGGAGCAAAGTCCTCCACGAAAGACGCCCAAGACTTCGGGAGATTGTCCGCTTCTGCAGAACGGCAAGAAGGACCAGAAGGAGCTCAAGGACCAGAAGGACCAGAAGGAGCATAAGGACCAGAAGGAGCGTAAAGACCACAAGGAGCATAAGGACCACAAGGACCAGAAGGAGCATAAAGAACACAAAGAACACAAATCCAAAAGTAAAAGTTCGTCCTAGCACACGCTGCCAGGACACTCCACCTCCGGGTCATCAGGGCTAAACTCCAGCGGGGAATCGAACCGCAAACCTTCGTCCAGTCTTTGGATCCTCACGACGCAGCGATGGAAGGAAGTTCTAACACAGCCTTTTCTACACCAGTCTGAGGACGGGATTCTAAAGCAATAACTTCACCGAGACCAGGACGAGAATGACACTGACGCGAAAAGAGATGAAGAAGAAAAAGTCAGAAATTACTAAAATTGTAGCCTTGTTTTGGAAAATTCACTGCAAAAAGTGGTGGAAAATAAGTCAAAAATGTGTCTTAATTTGAGCATGTTTTTCTGACTTTTCTCACCAATGGGACAAAGCAAAAATATCTTGTTTTAAAAAGATACAGAAATGTCTCCTTTGGAATGAGGAAATAAGACTAAAAGGCTTCGTCCCGTCAGAGAATCTGGTTTTAACACGGTCAAAAAGTGTCAGATTTAGATAAAAAGACTCAAATATGACCTCATATTTTATCATTTTTTGGGGGTTCTTCCATTTTGTATCAGAACATGGACGTTCTCTGAATCTGGTCTGAGCTTGGGCTGTGTTTTCTGTGGATGGATAAATGTCAAACTACCTCCGAGACGACGGATGCTAGCAGCGAAGTGATTCAAACTGAGCCACGGCTAATGCTAAAGAAATGAAATAATAACAATGATAATATATTCTTTAAAGTGAATGTTAAGTTACTGTGATAGTTCTATAGAGAGTTTAGAGAGAGAGAGTTCTGAATGCTAGCACCTTTAGAAGCTTGGCTAACCACTGCAGTTTCACCGACACGACAAAAGAAATGAAAAATCTTTGCCGAAATTGGTCAAATAAATTCTCTGGACTCTATTGTCTTCCAGTGAAGCCAAGAGCAGGAACCATTACATACTATTGTCCAATATTCCCTTCTATCTATTTAAGTTACAGACCGAGTGTGACATCACCACAGTGTGACATCACCACAGTGTGACATCACAACAGTGTGACATCACCACAGTGTGACATGCTCATTTGAACATAAGCTGGAGCCACTTTTCTTAAATGGGTTTGTGTTCTGACAGTGTTAGCTTAGCGCTGTAGCAGGGGTAGACGTGTTGCTAAGATGGTTGCTAAGTGGAATTTCCCCCAGCGAATGAAGCCACCTGATTGGTCCATCCTGAAATCCCTCACAAAGTAAACTCCAGGAGGATAGCGCAAAACCTGGGAATCGTTGAGTCAAAAATAGCATACACACATTTGTATACACACACACATACAAATACACGCACACACACACACATATAAACACACACATACATATACACACATAAAAAAACAAACACAAATATACATATACACACACATAAACACACATACATATACACAGACACACACATACATACAAACACATAATTATACAATCACACAAACATACACATACACACATACAAATACACGCACACACGCACACACACACACACACATACACACCCACACATAAACATGCATACACCTGTAATAATACAACACTAATAATAATAAATCAGTAATAATAATATAAACACATGAACTAACCTGATAGGTCCATCTAAACACTAGTTTGAAGGCCTTGTCCGTGACTGGTGTATTATAAAGACGAGCCAGTCCTGGACTTTCCTGTGGATTTAATCTCAAACTGAGGTTCCATCTTGTTTATTTTTGCGACACTCTCTGGACTTTATTTCTCATCAGGCCATTTGGTTTGTCCTGCGTCAGCGACTTTCCATCGCACGAGAGGATACCATCAGGCTCCTTAATAAGTGTGTGGGTGTCTGTGTGCGTACCTGTGTGTGTGTGTGTGTGGAGATCTTAACCTCTCCTCTCAGTCACCTCTGGCACCTTTTGATTACTTTGCAGAGTAGACAGCATTCTCCACTCTGCGGCACCTGGAGGATCCTCTCCCGGTGCTTGAGGATTCCAGAGCCTGAAATAAATGAAAAATTGAAGATTTTTGGAAAGTCTTTCCAAATGGACTCAAAAAATGATATAGAGTTGAGTCCATTTAGACAGACTTTCCAAAGGGACATGTTCAATGTGAGTCCCGGGCTCTTCTTTGCCCAAGTCACTGCTGTAGTGTTTGGAATGAGGTTGTTTTGTGCTAAGGTCGCCCCCTGGAGGCGTAAAAGAGTGACACAGGTGAGAAGAAGGTTGAAATAAAATTTTTATTTTACTGTAGCTTTGTTTTTTGTCACCGCGGGACCTGGTCTCTCTCTGGTCTCCCTCTCTGGTCTCTCTCAAGTCTTACTCTGGTCTCTCTCTTTATGTTCTCTCTCTAGTGTCTCTATCTCGCTTTCTGGTCTATCAAGTCTCTCTGGTCTCTCTCTAGTCTTTTTGCTGATCTCTATCTAGTCTCTCTCTATGGTGTCTTTCTGGTCTCTCTCTGGTCTCTCTCTAGTCTCTCTCTGGTCTCGCTCTCTCTCTAGTCTCACCCTGGTCTCTCTCTGATCGCTCTCTGGTCTCACTCTGGTCTCTCTGGTTCCTCTCTGGTCCCCCTCTGGTCTCTCTCTTTCTGGTCTCTCAGAACTCTGTTAATTGGAAACATACAAACCCAGCGGCAGCAGTCGGGGAAACACACACATTTATCAAAGAGTGAAGAAAGCATTAGTTTGTTGCTCCCTGTAATCAATCACATGATCTAAATTATTCACCAAACTCTGAAAAAAACTGAAATTATGTTATAGACACCAGGAATATTACTTTATCCAAGAAACAGCCAAATATATCCCCACATAGCTCTGTGTATTTTTAGGTCCAAAGTTAGGTACCCTCTTTCTCTCTGGTCTCTCTCTAGTCTCTCTCTCCGGTCTCTCTGGTCTTTATCTGGTCTTAGCTTAACCTTCTTAGGTCGATATCTCTCATCAGAGACAAACACCAATTAGAAGCACTGATAACCTGGGCACCGCAGGGCAGAGTAATCAGGAAGTGAGGACAAAGGGACGCAGCCTTGTGATCAGGACGAGCCGCGGTCTCCAGCGACAGCTAAATCCAGACTTTTAGATTTTATTTCCTTATGCGGTAACTCCAAGTTTAATTAAAACCGTCGAAAAGAGAGATGTCTGTGAGAGGGAAGGAGGAAGAAGAGTTGTATTAGAGTTTTAGATAAGGCTGAGAAGTGGACTCTGGTCTCACTCAGCTCTCTCTGGCCTCTCTTTGGTCTCTCTCTCTCTCTGGTCTCTCTCTAGTCATTCTCTAGTCTCCCCCTGGTCTCTTTCTCTAGTCTCATCTCTGGTCTCTCTCTGATCACCCTCTGGTCCTGGGCTCTCTCTGGTATTTTTCTCTAGTCTCTCCCTCTCTTTCTCTAGTTTCTCCTTGATCTCTCTCTCTGGTCTGTCCAGTGTTGCCAACTCCTCAGTAAGGAAAGTAGCTATTGGCTGTCCCAAAAGTCGCTAAATGACGTCATCGCCTAATTTGCATAATTTGCAATTTGTAAATAACTGTAACGGACGCTGTAGGAGAGAGGAATAACGTCGTGGGAGAGACAAAAGTGAGTAAAAAACACCCTAAATATGTTTAGAACTACAAATGTACAAAAATAATTTCAACATCAACAACATTTAATGATTTTAATGCTTTGTCTAGATCTGTCGCTAGTCGCTTTTTTGAAAAAAAAAAAGTCACTATAGGGTCTGAAAAGTCGCTAAAACTAGTGACAAAGTCACTAAGTTGGCAACACTGGGTCTGTCTCTCTGGTCTCTCTCTGCTCTCTCTCTGGTCTCTCTCTGATCCTCCTATGGTCCTGGTCTCACTTTGGTCTGTCTCTCTGATCTCTCTCTAACGCCTTCTAAACAAATGCCCATATAAGGAAATCGGCTCCAGCTAGCTTACAAGCAAACCGCCTGCATAAAGGCTAACACCATGGTGATGTCACACTTGGCCAGCCCACTCCGTATACACAGGCCATAACATGGACGGATCTAAACACAACCCCAGGTCTGTTTCCAAAAAGAGAACTGGTCAAAAACACAAACAAAAGAATAATTAGCATCATGTTTGCTCTTTAAATCCTAAAGTCTTGAATGTCTTGGTTTGAATAGATTTGAAGCGTATTTCAGTATTTCTAACGGGGAAGAAGTCGCACTAGTTTTTTACATCATTAATAAAATTAAAATAAACTTACTGAGACATGAACCAAGGGCTAAAGCGCAGGTATGAGGCTCTTCTATTAATATATGATTATAATAATGGGACAAATATGCAGACGTTATTTTTATATTTCCCGGTTTCAATAACGCTGAGTCGTGGTTGTTTTTTGCGGGTTCATATTTATGCAATATGGAGTCAAACCTCACGTTACCAGACTGTTATTATGTAATTTATTCTGGGTTCACTGATAGCTTGATTAGCATGTAGCATCTCCTTTAGCTGCTATTTCCGTTGCAATGAGATTATAAGAGCGGTATATTTATATATATATATATATGTATATATATGTATATATATATATATATATATTTACCTTTTTACCCAGAGCACAGGGCACAGAGAAGACTTAACCTTGGACAAACTTTAGATCCACAAGAGAAATTACAAAAGTAAAAGAACAAATTAAAAAATGTCAAAAGTGAATTAGATGTAATTAAGAGACGCTTTAAAGGTCCCACAGACGGTGGGGAAATGTAATACCACAGAACATACTCGTAATTATAGTTTAATTAAAGTAAACCATAGCTGTTCCCAGAGGTCTCCCATCTCAGCACAAACCAGGCCCTGCCCTGCTTAGCTGCATAGGTCTTACAGGGGGCAGCATCCTCTTGGCTCTCACCGGCCAATCCAAACAACTGCTAACAAATCTGTGTTTGGATTTGCAGTATTTCATATCATAACGTTTATGCTAATGCTATTTTTGCATCCGTGTGCGTGTGTGTTAGCATGTGTGTTAGCTTGAGTGTATTAGTGTGTGTTTGTGTGTTCGCGAGCTTGTGGGAGTGTGTATGTGTTAGCGTGTATATTTGTGTGCTAACGGGCGTATGTATTGGTGTGTGTTAGTGTGTGTTAGCGTGTGTGTGCGTGCTACTGTGTGTATGTGTAAGTGTGTGCATGTTAGTGTGTGTACCTGTTAGTGGGTGTGTGTTAGCGTGCTCGCTCTCTTATATCTCCGATCATCTCCCTCCCTCCCGTCGGTTACTCCTCTCCTGTCGTTGCCGCGGTGATGGATGCGTCCCAAACCGCCGCTAAACGTCCTGTTAGCTCGCGCCGCGGCTGTCGTGCGGGGAAGACTGGAGGACTGATGGCTTTGTAGTGAGTGGACGTGTGGAAGGATGGATCTGGAATCTCTCCCGGAGGAAAAACTCTATCTCACATCTGTCCAGAGCTGAGAGAGAGGTTTGGCAGCGGCGCCGGGTTGTGCGGGGAGAGGGACGCTAAAGCTAACGGCATTAGCAGCATCAAAGCAAAACCGGGCTTGTTTCCTAAGAAGCTACATTTGGACATTTTAATTTTTTAATAACTTCAAAGTGAGAAGAGATAGAGGCTTTATGTAAATTAGAGTAGTTACTAAATGTAACCATCTAATTTGCATATTACGACTTCATTTGGGCGTGGCAATCGTATGAAATATATATATATATATTTTCTATACAGACAGACACAAGTCACTAGGACAAGAACAAACACAAACTCACACTGTACTTTACCCTATGGTCGGGGGAATAGTGAAATACTGCATATATTTGAGCTATTTTTAACCACTTTTAGTATTTTACGTGAAAGTGAAGTGAGACAGAAACACATTTATCCTCAGTCTCTACTTTAAATCTGCTCTTTCAGACGTAAAAGTGAAAAACAGAGGCAAATAGTGACTCACAGGGCTCTTCGTACACAGATGATGGTGTGTTTTCAAATAAGATCAAGACAGCGTGCGATTTGTTCTTAATATTTACTTTCTGTAGGAAAAAACACAATATGCTAACTTTGAATGCGCTAATTTATGACAGATAAAATGTGGGATAAGTAAACTTATATAAATACAGACCACGGTGCCGGACCACAAACCCCCTCATCTCTGGATCGATGAGACTTAGGGCACGACCGTAAAGAGTGCGTTAGCTAGGCCCCACGGTGCTTATGCTAGCAGAGGACCGACCGAGTGTGACATCACCACAGCCTTAACTTCAATGCGGAATAAAATATCAGATAAAACTTTTATATTTAAATACACAATGTACCTTCCACCTTTTGAACAAAACTCTCTGGTCTTAAATGGACGAGCACAAATCACCAGAATGATTGACAGTTAGGAGGACCAATAGTCTTGAAGATCCACCCGGAAGTAAAAAAAATCCTCCTTCTTGGTACTTTTAATACATTGAGTAAAAGTGGGTGGGAGGGGAGAGCCTTGGTAACTAGCAGCTGAGCAGGGGCCGGCGCTGGGAGGACGGCCATTTTGAACCCAAGCTAGCAGGAGACAATACATAGTTCCCACAGACCAATGAATGTCACATGACCTCCTCGGAGACGCCATCTTTGATGGCACGCTGCTGTGTTTGTGCATTCCATTAAACAGAAGAATGAGAATAAATGTAGATATTCAAACGCAAATTGGAAAAAAAGGGCAACTTTTGAGCAAATAATTGTATATTAATACAATGGCACCACAGTTTAACGTGCTACGGACATGTTTTACATATTTGATCAAATTATGCAGCAAAAATTAACAAGCAATGCAAACATTTCTCAAAAACTTTAGATTTAATACCAGTTGGAGCTCCATTTAATTATTTTAATTATATTAACAATTAATTTAATTAATGCTAATGCCACACGGACACTCTGGATTGCTGTTATTGTTTATTTCCGCGTTTTTGACCGTATGTTTTGGTGAATGGTGGGCAACTGATTTTTCCAGGCGTAAAGAGCAGTTTATTTTATGACACAGATCTTTTTACAGAAGCAATGCTGTTTGTGAACATTGTTTTAGCCTACCATAGAACTATTATTATCTATTTAATACATTTACGTTGCCCTCGAGAGCCTCGGACGCGACACCGATCCTCCTCATAATAAAGTAATCTAAATAATGAAACTCTCAAGTTACCAGATATCAGCATACACAAGTTAGTACTGAGTAAATTACGTCTGTCAACACATTATAAGATACGATACGCACCTGACACAAAGTGCTCCGAGCATATTCTTGCGTGTTTTGAGGGAGTTTCTTGCCTGTTTATCTTCGCAAGCCATAACCTCCGTGGTTGTTCTGACAAAAGCTTAGTCTTCTCACATTCATGAAGTCTAATGATGGGTATACTGTAAAATCCAAGTTTAACGGAACCTCCGGCACGATTTGAACATCCATTGACCCAGCAGGAGATGACCATTTTCAACTTTATCACGACATTAACACGTTTCAGCTTCTTTTTCTATTGTTTTGCCCACAGAATGCCAACACAAATGGCGCCGGGTCGGCAAATCCCCGTATGTAGTGACGTCATGTGGGAACTATGTATATCCTTTCACAAATACTGTATATCCTTAATTCTTGGTGTCAGCTTTGCACGGGGCAGACGTGTTGCTAAGACGGTTGCTAAGGCTGTTGCTAAGATGGTTGCTAAGGCAAGCTGGAGTTTCCCCCTGAACGGTCGGTTGTTCAGGCTCATATCTGGATTTCAAAGACACTATCACATTATAAACATTACAATCACAGAGAGCAATAAGCTGGAGATTTTTTTCTGTGTGAACCGGAGCGAGGTGGACAGGTTAGCATTGTCCCTCTGTACGCAGGCTATGCTAGGTCCCGGTAGGGGCCGCGGCGGAGACAGAGCCAGTGTTTTCCTGGAGGTTGTGCTTCCTCTTTGCCCTCTGAGTGTGAGGTGGACTTCCCCCTCTGCACATCTGCAATGCAGCAAAAACACTCCCAAACAGAGAGGACGAACGAGGTCCCGGACGGTTCAGCGCTGACAATAGGACCTGGATCCATGGTCCGACCTGGATCCATGGTCCGACACGGATCCATGGTTCGAGTTGGACGGGGTTTTAGCCACAAACATGAGGCGGCTCGACACTGCTGTGATCTCTTTGTCCCAAACGATACTGGAAACTGTTTAAGTTCTGAATTTGAGGTTATGTGTTTTTAGTTAAAGTTGAGGGACCTAATATCTGTGGGTTTACTGAAAACTGTTTAGAGGCCGGAGGATCCAAACCAACTGGTCACATCACCGGTCTCTCTCTCTTGTCTCTCTGGTCTCTCCGCACTCTCTCTGGTTCCTCTCTCTGTTCTCTGGTCTCTCTCTGGTCTCACTCCAGTCTCTCTCTCTGGTCTCTCGCTGGTCCTTCTCTGGTATCTCTCTGGCCTCTCTCTGGTCCCTCTCTCTCTTCTCTCGCTGGGCAAAAATGTTGAAACTGTTTTCCTGTTTTTACTGAAGTAGCGTCTTGCTAGATTAAATAAAAACAGGCTAACACTGTGGTGATGTCACACACTCCTAACATAGTCCAATGATTTAGATCTAAATCCAACATGGCGTGGTCCCTGAGTCCACGTGATCCCAGTCTCATGTCTCTCGTTGATTATACAAACGGATAAATATATATTGGTGAATTCAGTAGGATTATAATCTGGTTTGAATCTGTCTATGCATTTATCTGAGTTTATTCTGTTTTATATACGGTGCTTATAACTGATGCTGTGTTTTATTTTCATATATTTATAATTGTGTGTGTATATATATATATATATATATATATATATATATATAAGTATATACTAGAATAAGGAGGTTCTGTCTGTTACATTCTCCTGTGTGTGTTTCGAACGGTTGCCCTGGAAACGACAACAGTTACTTCCTGTATCTTACTGTTTGGATGATGGACAGGCAGAGTAACCAATCAGTGGGCAGGATCCATTTCAGACTAAAATGGGATAAAACTGTTAATTATGGTTAAATTATAGTTCTGCAGCCATCAATAAAAATGTCTTTCTCCGGTCTCTCTCTGGTGCCTCTCTCTCTCTGGTCTCTGGTGTCGGTCTCTCTGGTCTCCCCCTATCTCTCTCTCTCTCTCTGATTTCTCTCTCTGGTCTCTCTCTCTCTGGTCTCTCTCTTCATGTTTCAGTTTTGATGGTGCTACTTTGTGTGAAACATCAAAGAACCACTCACTGAGTTCCTCTTCCGTCCTGAGTCCTGTCTCACCACACCAGTCAGTCTGTAGTACGAGTCAAAAAGATAAACGGTGAAACCAGGGCTTCTGTACCGATGCTTCAGTACCAACAAAAAGAACGTCAAAGGGACTGTTTTATACAAATCAAAAGTGACGACCAGCTCTATAACCTGTCAAGAGCCCTGCTTCCACCAGCCGTCTCTGGTCTCTCTCTCTGGTCTCTTTCTGATTTCTCTCCAGTCGCTCTCTGGCCTCTCTCTAGTCTCCTCTCTCTCTGGAGTAGAGTAGAGCAGAGCAGAGCAGAGTAGAGCTGGTGGAAACGGGGCCATAGACTTCCAAACTTGGCCGTTTCTCTGGACTTTTTTCTACTGCATGTTGCCGAGTCTTCCAGATGCAAAAAGAGAACGTTGAGTCTTCCAGCTTCCAAAAAAACTATTTTTTTACCACGAGGCAAAAAATATATCTCAATAAATGTATCTCAATGTATTCATGCAAAGGCTGTTGGACTTCCTGCGTGATGGGGCGGGACTAAAGGATGCATGCGCCAATCATATACTGGACAATTTCAAACGTATTTATTGTAATCCCCTTTAAGGCCCCCCCCCCCCTCATCCAAAGGACTCGGACCCCGGCTCTATCTCTGCGTTTGCAAATGTATCTATTTCTATCCTAAGTGGAGAGTATTGGATATAAATAAAATAAACTAATATATTTGTATGATTCTACGGCAGCGTCTCGGGTCTTCTTGGCGGGTTCTGATGGGGTTCTCAACCGGGGGAGCGTGAACCCCTGAAGGTACACAAGGGTATCACAGAGGAAGCACAAAACCAGTCTAGGACCAGTCTATAGCCTCAGTCTAGGACCGGTCTATACCCTCAGTCTACGACCAGTCTCGGACCAGTTTAGCATCAGTCTAGCACCAGTCTAGATCCAGGGTAGGACCAGTCTAGCATCAGTCTAGGGCCAGTCTATCATCAGTCTAAGATTTGTCTAGGACCAGTCTAGGATCAGTCTAGCATCAGTGCAAACAAGTGCTACTTCCTGTTTGGAGTCAGATAATAAACAAGTGTCATATTGTCTCGTACTTAAGTGAACAATGAGTTTGTCGCCATGCCAACAGGACCCCCCCCTGACCCCCCACGGCTGTTAGCTGTTAATAGTTAGCTTCTACTGTGATTGAATTGGCTTCTGACCAACACGGCGGGGACAGAACATCTCACAGTTATTAAAGAGTAGCATAAACAGGATCTGTAGGAGTCCAAGTACTCACAAAGTACTAGTTACTCAAAAACTTCATATTTGCTCAGTAGTTTGGATATTGGAGCAAAAATGTGTTTTGCACAAAAATTGCAAACTATTATTTACATGTTTTCCTTCGTTTTACAGGAGGCGGACCAGAAAGACACCAGAGAGAGAGACTAGGGAGAGACCAGAGACAGACCAGATAGAGAGATTAGAGAGAGAGACTAGACAGAGACCAGAGAGAGACCAGAGAGAGACTAGAGAGAGACCAGAGAGAGACTAGAGAGAGACCAGAGAAATATCAGAGAGAGACCAGAGAGAGACTAGAGAGAGACCAGATAGAGAGATTAGAGAGAGAGACTAGAGAGAGACCAGAGAGAGACCAGAGAGAGACTAGAGAGAGACCAGAGAGAGACTAGAGAGAGATTAAAGAGAGAGACCAGAGAGAGAGACTAGAGAGAGATTAAAGAGAGAGACCAGAGAGGGACCAGAGAGAGAGACCAGAGAGAGACCAGAGAGAGAAACCAGAACGGGAGAGACTAGGTGGCCTCTAGTCCATGTGGAGACAGGTTCAACTAACATTGCCCTATACACATTGCACATCCATGACACCAAAACAATACACTTGCAACTCTCGCCAGCTCCTCCAGGGTCGGTGTATCTCCCCCCCCCTCCTCCCCCCTCATCCCCCCTCCTCACCCCTCATCCCCCCTCCAGTGTAACCCGAGCAGGCTGCAGTTGGCCCGGCTTGGCTGACTGACTGACGGGCAACAACAGTGGAGGAAAAGTTAGCGAGAAAGACAGGAAAACACAAAGAGAAGAACAGAAAGAGACCGGAGAGATGAGGCACTGGGTCCTGCTGGTCTGCTCCCTCTGGGCCTTCACCAGCTCTGGAGGTAAGTGAGACCAGACCAGACCAGACCAGACCACACTGTCAACATGGAGCTAGTGTGGAGATAATTTTAGAACACAGTTGTGGGAGCTTCCATGAGTCGGGGTTTGAGTTTGTAAAAGAATAAATATTATCATCAGGGGTTTGTTTCTGGATTTCTTGGTCATGAGATGAAAAAGTTTTTGTTTCATTGCATTTACTGGTTCAGGACCGAATTCTCCCTTTCGCTCTAGGTCCTTCTCTCTGCATTCTCCTCAGTGTCATTGCGGTCCCTCTCCTCACAGTGTCTGCCGTTGCGGTCTTTCTCCTACAGTGCGTTCTCAGTGTGTCTGTAGTTGCGGTCTCGTGGTCCTAATCTAGCCTGGTCTTACCACACCATTGTACACATTTCTTTTGGTACTAAGGTCTGGATTTGCTCCATTGACTCCGTTAACAGGTGGGAGGGGTTAACTCCTTTTGCAGATTGAAACCATTGGATCTGAGTTAATCGCTGGCATTTAGCATTTAGCCCAGCTTTAGCATTTAGCCATCTCCTTTGCCACTAACGGAGCCACTAAACATTCCTCTCCGGCCAGTAAACATTGCTCCGGCTTCAATTTCGTGCAGCAGAACCAGAACAGATTACTTTACTATCGCATTCGCAGCCGTTGCGGTTTTGTTGCGGTCCTTCTCCAACTGTCTGTCTGTCGTTGCGGCCCTTCTCCTACAGTGTGTCTGTTGTTGCGGTCTTGTTGTGGTCCTCTCAGTGTGTCTGTTGTTGCCAGGGGCGACAAATGCAGAGAACTCGCTGCTGAAGACCATGTTCAGCGCCTATAACCCCAGGGTCCGTCCTGCGCTGGTCCCAGAGGAGAGGGTCGTGGTGCGCATCGGCATGGTGCTGTCCTCCTTCGTCGGCCTGGTGAGACCGCAGTAACCATAGCAACCGCCACAACAACCGCCGTCACCATAGCAACCACCACATTTACCACAGTTGCCGTGACAATCACAACAGCCACAATAACGACAGTAGCCATAGCAACAACAGCAACCACACCAACCACAGTAGCCATAGTAGCCACAGTAACCACAGAAACCACATTAACCAACACAACAACCGCCGTCACCATAGCAACCACCACATTAACCACAGTCACCATGACAATCACAACAGCCACAGTAACGACAGTAGCCATAGCAACAACAGCAACCACAGTAACCACAGAAACCACATTAACCACCACAACAACCGCTGTCACCATAGCAACCACCACATTAACCACAGTCGCCATGACAATCACAACAACCACAGTAACCACAGAAACCGTAGTAGCCACAGCAACCTCAGTAACCGCCACAACAACCGCTGTCACCGTGGCTACCATAATAGCCACAGTCAACGTAGTAACCACTGAACACGCCTCAGTGAGAACACTCAGGAGGCGGGTTCAGTGCCGAGTCGTTCTGACAAAGACGATTTTGTGTAAAACTCTTAAACAAGTCCAGAGCAGAGTGGACAGAGCCTGGTGTAGAAGCAGCGCCCTCCGCAGGTCAATGCTATTACTGCATGGGCTTCAAAAGTGGGTCAGTGTTCGAGAGGAGCGGACACCCCCAGGCCCCGGACCTTCCCCTGGAGAGAGGGGGGAGAGAGAGGGGAGAGAGGGGGTCACCTTGACTCAGGCTGGGGTCCTGTGCTGCTGTAACAGAAGAATACTAAACATGTTTATCTATAGCCCGGATGTTAAGGGTGAGGGTGAAGAGTGAGGCCAGTTTATTTGTATACATAGTTCCCACAGACCAATGAATGTCACATGACCTCCTCGGAGACGCCATCTTTGATGGCACGCTGCTGTGTTTGTGCATTCCATTAAACAGAAGAATGAGAATAAATGTAGATATTCAAACGCAAATTGGAAAAAAAGGGCAACTTTTGAGCAAATAATTGTATATTAATACAATGGCACCACAGTTTAACGTGCTACGGACATGTTTTACATATTTGATCAAATTATGCAGCAAAAATTAACAAGCAATGCAAACATTTCTCAAAAACTTTAGATTTAATACCAGTTGGAGCTCCATTTAATTATTTTAATTATATTAACAATTAATTTAATTAATGCTAATGCCACACGGACACTCTGGATTGCTGTTATTGTTTATTTCCGCGTTTTTGACCGTATGTTTTGGTGAATGGTGGGCAACTGATTTTTCCAGGCGTAAAGAGCAGTTTATTTTATGACACAGATCTTTTTACAGAAGCAATGCTGTTTGTGAACATTGTTTTAGCCTACCATAGAACTATTATTATCTATTTAATACATTTACGTTGCCCTCGAGAGCCTCGGACGCGACACCGATCCTCCTCATAATAAAGTAATCTAAATAATGAAACTCTCAAGTTACCAGATATCAGCATACACAAGTTAGTACTGAGTAAATTACGTCTGTCAACACATTATAAGATACGATACGCACCTGACACAAAGTGCTCCGAGCATATTCTTGCGTGTTTTGAGGGAGTTTCTTGCCTGTTTATCTTCGCAAGCCATAACCTCCGTGGTTGTTCTGACAAAAGCTTAGTCTTCTCACATTCATGAAGTCTAATGATGGGTATACTGTAAAATCCAAGTTTAACGGAACCTCCGGCACGATTTGAACATCCATTGACCCAGCAGGAGATGACCATTTTCAACTTTATCACGACATTAACACGTTTCAGCTTCTTTTTCTAATGTTTTTCCCACAGAATGCCAACACAAATGGCGCCGGGTCGGCAAATCCCCGTATGTAGTGACGTCATGTAGGAACTATGTATAGCACAGTTCATACACACTCACTGTAAAACTAAGGAGAAACAAAACATTCAAATGAGGAGAGTAGATGTGGCCTGTTCAACTCGTGGCCCGGGGACTGCAGCCGGACCGAGGAGACAAGTCTGGGGTCGGTGGTTTCTGTGGTGTATGTTATTACTATTAATGTTAATATTGTTGTTGTTAAAATCAACTAAATTTAGATAAAACAAAATAAAATCCGCCTAAAACTAGCCTAACATTAAAAGTCATTGCATTTCAATTCCATGTCAAAATGAACACATTCCACATTTTATAACAGGAGCAAAGTCTATATTAAGGAAGTGCTCATGGACAAAGTTTTGCTTCATCTCTCTCTCGGGCTCCTATTGACTTCCATTTAAAAGTAAACTCGGCTGCGGCTACACATGCTAATATGCTAATAAACAAATGCTAAACGTATGATGCTAAATGGTTAATAAGCTAATGTGATCGCGGTGACAATGTGCTTTTTGCTAGGTTTGCTTCCACCTGCCAACCTTTCTGTGGACTTTGCATGTTCTCTCCATGTCTGTGTAGGTTTTCCGGTTTTCCCCACTAAGTCTGAATGTAATCCTGGTGTTTATATTGTGATGCTGTCTCTGTAAATCCAGATGCTATGGTGCTAAGCTAACGCAGCGGAGGAAATTCCCATAATGAAACAATTGGCTCCAGCTTATGTTCTTCCGCATTCATGATAACCCTGTGATGTCACACTCTGTCCATCTGTGAGTAACGACACACCGCTCTCACCGACGCAGCTGTCTCTCCACATTCCAGAGTTTAAAATAGAAATCTTTGATCAGAGACGAGGACTGTGCTGGAAATCTGTGGTTAATGAGACTTAAAGCACAAATATCACACTATATATTTGGCTCATGCAATCGGCCTGCACCGTCCCTGTGCTACCACCAGAGGGAGGGCTGCACTGTCCCTATGCTACCACCAGAGGGAGGGCTGCACTGTCCCTATGCTACTACCAGAGGGAGGGCTGCACTGTCCCTATGCTACTATTAGAGGGAGGGCTGCACTGTCCCTATGCTACCACCAGAGGGAGGTGTTGATTTCATTTGGTTTTTTTGCAATTATGAAAATTTACCGGCTGCAAACACATCATTTCACCGGAGAAACCAACACTGATGAAAACTTAGTGTAATGTTATAGTGGCCTCTGTCTCTTTCTAGTCTCTCTTTGGTTACTCTCTCCGGTCTCTCTCTCTGGTCTCTCTCTGGTCTCTCACCAGTCTCTCTCTGGTCTCACTCTGTTCTCTCTCTGGTCTCTCTCTAGTCTCCTGGTTTCTCTCTGGTCTCTCTTTCTGGTCTCTCTCTGGTCTCTCTCTGGCCTCTCTCTGGTCTCTCTTTGGTCTCTCTCTGGTCTCTCTCTGGCCTCTCTCTGGCCTCTCTCTGGTCTCTCTTTGGTCTCTCTCTGGTCTCTCTCTGGCCTCTCTCTGGTCTCTCTTTGGTCTCTCTCTGGTCTCTCTCTGGCCTCTCTCTGGCCTCTCTCTGGTCTCTCTTTGGTCTCTCTCTGGTCTCTCTCTGGCCTCTCTCTGGCCTCTCTCTGGTCTCTCTCTGGTCTCTCTCTGGTCTCTCTCTGGCCTCTCTCTGGCCTCTCTCTGGCCTCTCTCTGGCCTCTCTCTGGTCTCTCTTTGGTCTCTCTCTGGCCTCTCTATGGTCTCTCTTTGGTCTCTCTCTGGTCTCTCTCTGGCCTCTCTCTGGCCTCTCTCTGGTCTCTCTTTGGTCTCTCTCTGGCCTCTCTATGGTCTCTCTTTGGTCTCTCTCTGGTCTCTCTCTGGTCTCTCTCTGGCCTCTCTGGTCCCTCCCTGGTCCCTGTTTTTGAGGCTGAAGTTGTTCTTGTTGCAGAATATGAAAAATGAGGAGATGAGCACCATCGTGGTCATGAACCTGGTGAGTGTCACGTCTGAACCAGGAAGTAAATATTCTCAAGATATTGTTAAAGGGACAACACCAATAAACACAATATATCTTCTCAACCACAGCAACAAGACAGATACTAGCATTTATTTCATTTTTCAATTTAATGTATTTTTGTATCGCCCTGAATCACGACAGTCCGAGGACTTGACAAAGTTGTCGATTCGCCAAGAGCAGATTAGAGATGTCTGAGCTTGTGGTTCTTGTGGACAGGAGTGGAGTGACTTCCGCCTCGCCTGGAGCCCGAAGGACCACGAGGGCCTCATGGTGATGAGGATCCCGGCCGCTAAAGTGTGGCTCCCTGACATCGTCCTCATCAACAAGTCAGTGACCAATCTCCAGCATTTAGCAGCATTTAGAAGCATTTAACAGCACGTAGAAGCATTTAGCTAACCTTGCCTGACAAAAGCATGCAGTGCCGAGCCGAGGCAAAACAAACATGGCCACGCAGCAGGACCGATGCTGAGGCTATCAGTCAGTTTTAGCAGAATCTCCGATTCTTTTTTGAAAGATGAACAGCAAGAGGCACTTTTTGCCTTTCTGGACGGCAAAGATGTTTGTGCCTTTTTACCTACGGGTAGTGGTTTCTCTGGGCGCACGCCTATGAGAATATATCAATTTGTTTTCTTGATTGGCTTAAGTCAAATGTGGTAGGCGGGAAAACAGAGTCAAGTCGCCCAATCAGCTTGAAGTATTCTGCTATAGTATACCTGCCGCTCCTTTACCAAAAGGATTCTTCTGCAGAAGTCCCAGATTGATATTGTGGAGAAGTCGATTGTGTCCTACACAATCATCCATCTGGCTTTTGCCGGGTCAGCATTTAGCAGCATTTAGAAGCATTTAGCAGCATTTATAAACATGTTAAGCAATTTTTTTTTACTTTGCAAAGAAAAAGTGAGTCTTTGTCACCAATTCAAATACATACATTATTAATATAATCTGTACCTGTGCTTTTTGAATGTATCTGTCTCAGAGTAAACAGCCTGGTTGTTATTTTACCTGGCAAACCAGTTATAGACTAGAGGCCACCCGCGGTACTGCAGCCTAAATTCACATGGGCACACACTGCCTCCCCATGTTTAGACCTGACTCTGGGACCGGCAGGAGACCAGTCCCTGTGCTCCTCAGAGTCCCAGCAGAAGGCCGGTCCCTGTGCTCCTCAGTCTAACCTCAGTGTTGTGTTGCAGTAACGACGGTGTCTTCGATGTGGCTCTTCATGTTCACGTTCAGGTTTATCACAACGGGAAAGTTACATGGACTCCACCTGCTCTGTACCTGAGCTCCTGCAGCGTGAAGGTCACACACACACACACACACACAGAGACAGACACACTCACACACACAGAGACACACTCACAGCCACACTCTTGTGTGACCAGACCATGTGACCGGACCATGTGCCCTCTGTGTTGTGACCGGACCATGTGAGCGGACCATGTGAGCACTGTTTTGTGACCGGACCATGTGACGGGACCATTTGCCCTCTGTGTTGTGACCGGATGATGTGACTGGACCATGTGACCTATGTGTTGGGAACGGACCATGTGACCGGACTATGAAACCCCTGTTGGGACCAGGTGGAGTACTTCCCGTTCGATTGGCAGAACTGCAGTCTGGTGTTCCGCTCCTACACCTACGACGCCTCAGAGATCGACATCCAGTACTCACTGGACTCTAACAACAGAGAGATACAAGAGATACTGCTTGACCAGGCCTTCAGTGGTGAGAGACCAGGACAAGACCAGAGGGAGACCAGAGGGACCAGAGGGATCAGAGGAAGACCAGAAAGACTAGAGGGATCAGAGGGAGACCAGAGGGACCAGAGGGATCATAGGGAGACCAGAGGGATCAGAGGGAGACCAGAGGGAGATCAGAGAGACCTGAGGGGACCAGAGGGATCAAAGGGAGACCAGAGGGAGATCAGAAAGACCTGAGGGAGACCAGAGAGACCAGAGGGTGACCAGAGAGAGACCAGAGGGAGACCAGAGAGAGAGACCAGAGAGAGACCAGAGGGACCAGAGGGAGACCAGAGAGAGACCAGAGGGAGACCAGAGAGAGACCAGAGAGAGACCAGAGAGAGACCAGGAGTGATCCCCATAGTGTTTTGCAGAGAGTGGAGAGTGGTACATTCGGCACAAACCCTGCAGGAAGTTTAACGATGACGAAGGCTACGAGAACATGGCTTTTTACCTCATCATCGAGAGGAAGCCGCTCTACTATGTCTTCAACATCATCCTGCCCTGCATCCTCATCACCATCATCGCCATCTTCAATTTCTACCTGCCTCCGGATGCTGGTAACTCACACATGGTATCTCCTTCTACCTGCCTCCTGACGCTGGAAACACTGGTCTCTCTCTCTGGTCTCTTTCTCTGATCTGTCTCTGGTCTCTCCCTGGACTCTCTTTGGTCTCTCTCTGGTCTCCCCCTGGTCTCTGATCCCTGGTCTCTCTCTGGTCTCTCTCTGGTCTCCCTCTGGTCCCTGGTCTCCCTCTGGTCTCTCTCTGGTCTCACTCTCTGTTCTTGCTCTGATCTTTATCTCTCTCTCTCTTTTCTCGCTCTGGTCTCCCTCTAGTCTCTTTCTGGTCCCTGGTCTCTGGTCCTGGTTCTCCCCTGGTCTCCCTCTGGTCCCTGGTATTTCCCCTGGTCCCTGGTCTCTGGTCCCTGGTCTCTCTCTGGTCTCTCCCTCTGGTCTCTCTGGTCTCACTCTAGTCTCTCTGGTCTCTCCCTCTGGTCCCTGGTCTCTCTCTGGTCTCCCCTGGTCTCCCTCTGGTCCCTGGTCTCCCTCTGGTCCCTGGTCTCTCTGGTCTCCCTCTGGTCTCTCTCTGGTCTCCCTTTGGTCCCTGGTCTCTCTAGTCTCCCTCTGGTCTCTCTCTGGTCTCTGGTCACCCTCTGGTCTCCCTCTGGTCCCTGATCTCTGGTGTCCCTCAGGAGAGAAGATGGGTCTGTCCATAAACGTGCTGCTGACCCTGACTGTCTTCCTGCTGCTTCTGGCCAATAAGATCCCAGAGACGTCTCTGGGCGTCCCGGTCATCGTCAACTACATCATGTTCACCATGATCCTGGTCACCTTCTCCGTCATCATGAGTGTGGTGGTCCTCAACCTGCACCACCGCTCCCCCAACACACACCAAATGCCCCTGTGGATCCGCCGGGTGAGGAGGGGGAGGAGGGTGGAGAGGGGGAGGAGGAAGAACAGAGAGACAGAACAGAGGAACTAGAGAGAGAGAGAGAACAGAGGAGGAGAGAGAGATAGAAAAACTAGAGAGAGAGAGAGAACAGAGAGTAACTAGAGAGAGAGAGAGAGAGAGAGGGAGAGAGAGAACAGAGGAGGGGCGAGTGATAGAAAAACTAGAGAGAGAGAACAGAGAGTAACGAGAGAGAGAGAGAGAGAGAGAGAGAGAACAGAGGAGGAGCGAGTGATAGAAAAACTAGAGAGAGAGAGATAACAGAGAGTAACTAGAGAAAAACCAGAGAGAGAAACATTTTAATCAAGGTTTTTTCAATTATTCTTTCTTGTTTCATTATGGTCCATAGAAAACAATCCACACGGTACGCTGCCCGGAAAACACTCAGGCCCAGAGGAGGTCCTGCGGGGTGCGTGGCCTGTGAGAGGCGTGGCCTGTACAAGTTTTATTTAAAAGTGTGTTTTGAGAGTCACAATTAGCACCAGAAAGTCAAAGTCCCTTGAGACGGAGACAGGATACATACAGGTTGATACTGGTCAGACTGTGGACACTGGAAAATGCTACTGTTAGTTGCTGTTAGCTGCTGTTAGCTTCATATAAAAAATGAAGGAGTTCAACTATTAATCAAATATAGTACTGATGCTAAACAACAACAACTAGAGTCAGAATGAGTCCATAAAGGAGAGAGACCAGAGGGAGAGAGAGACCAGAGAGAGAGAGACCAGAGAGAGAGACCAGAGAGAGAGACCAGAGGGAGAGAGAGACAAGAGAGAGGGACCTGAGAGAGACCAGAGAGAGAGACCAGAGAAAGAGACCTGAGAGAGAGACCAGAGAGATAGACCAGAGAGAGGGACCTGAGAGAGACCTGAGAGAGAGACCAGAGGGAGAGAGAGACCAGAGAGAGAGAGATACCTGAGAGAGGGACCTGAGAAAGAGACCTGAGAGATACCAGAGAGAGAGAGAGACCAGAGAGAGACCAGAGAAAGAGACCTGAGAGAGACCAGAGAGATAGACCAGAGAGAGAGACCTGAGAAAGAGACCTGAAAAAGACCTGAGAAAGACCTGAGAGAGACCTGAGAGAGAGACCAGAGGGAGAGAGAGACCAGAGGGAGAGAGAGACCAGAGAGAGAGAGAGACCAGAGAGAGATACCTGAGAGAGACCAGAGAGAGGGACCTGAGAGAGAGACCTGAGAAAGAGACCTGAGAGAGACCTGAGAGATACCAGAGAGACCAGAAAGAGACCAAAGAGACAACAGAGAGAGACTATAGCGAAAGTCGATCCTGTCTTTTCCCTTGAGGTGAAAGGCCGACACAGGGTCAAACAACACGGCTGCCTTTCCCCCTGCAGTTGGATCACATGTCCCTGTGATCCCCAGATCTTCCTCCACATGCTGCCTCCGTACCTGTGCATGAGGAGACCCAAAGCAGAGAGTCTGGTCCTGGAGCTGAGACCGATCAAGCAGCCCAAGATCAGTCTCAGCAAAGTCTCAGACGAATACTTCATCCGCAAACCAGACAACTCCGTCCTCTTCCCCAAAGCACACAGGTACGACCAAGAATGAGGCCGTAGACCCAGTTCTGAGCCTGTAGACCCAGTTCTGAGGCTGTAGACCCAGTTCTGAGGCTGTAGACCCAGGACTGAGGCTGTAGACCCAGTTCTGAGGCTGTAGACCCAGTTCTGAGGCTGTAGACCCAGGACTGAGGCTGTAGACCCAGGACTGAGGCTTTAGACCCAGGACTATGGCCCCAGCTTTATCATCCTCATGTTTAAAGACCAACACGAGAACCTCCCGGGGTTCTTCTGGTCCTGGACTGAGAGGACGCAGCACTTTACTGTGATGGCTGCAGTGTCCTGAAGACGGTGAGACAGTGACCTCTGGTGGCCACATCTGTCTCTGCACCAGATTTAAGTTTGTTCAGTTTTTTTTGCTTATTATTATTATCTTAGTTCTATATTTTTCACACATAAAATACCTTTTCCCGTTCGTTGAATCTTTATATAAATCTGTTTCTTCATTCATCAGCTCTGGGCAGATGAACCTGCTGTTCATGCAATGCAGTCCAGGAGTTTACAGGAACTGAAGGCTTTTGCATGACTGGTCTCTCTCTAGTCTCTCTCTGGTTTTTCTCTGGTTTCTCTCTGGTTTCACCCTGGTCTCTGCCTGGTCTCTCTCTGGTCTCTCCCTGGTCTCTCTCTAGTCTCTCTGGTTTCTCCCAGGTCTCTCTCTAGTCTCTCTCTGGTTTTTCTCTGGTTTCTCTCTGGTTTCACCCTGGTCTCTCTCTGGTCTCTCTCTGGTCTCTCTCTGGTTTTTCTCTGGTTTCTCTCTGGTCTCTCCCTGGTCTCTCTCTGGTCTCTCCCTGGTCTCGCTCTAGTCTCTCTGGTTTCTCCCAGGTCTCTCTCTGGTCTCTCTTTGGTCTCTCTCTCTGGGCTCTCCCTGGTCTCTCTCTCCCTAGTATTTCTCTCCCTGGTCTCTCTTCGGTCTCTCTTTCTGGAGTCTCCCTGATCTCCCTGGTCTCTCTTTGGTCTCTCTCTCTGTCTGTCTCGGTCTGTCTCTGGTCTGTCTCTCTCTGGTCTCTTTCTCCCTGATCTCTCTCTGGTCTCTCTCTCTTTGGTCTCTCTCCCTCTGGTCTCTCTCTCTGGTCTGTCTCTCTCTGGTCTGTCTCCCTCTGGTCTCTCTCTCCCTGATCTCTCTCTGGTCTCTCTCTTGTCTCTCTCTCTTTGGTCTCTCTCCCTCTGGTCTCTCTATGGTCGTGAGTTCAGGTAGTAAGTGTGTGTGCCTTGTATAATATTGCATTTTGTTGTCTTCTCCTGGTCCTGATCTCCTCCTGGTCTCCTCCTGGTCCCAGGTTCAACCCAGAGGGCATGTGCACAGACCTGAGGAGGTTCATGGAGGGTCCCAGCTCGTTCCTGAGTCTCCCTGAGGAGCTGAAGTCTGCGGTGGATGCCATCACCTACATCGCTGAGGCCCTGCAGGCGGAGAAGGACTATGTGGCTGTGAGGAGGACACACAACACACACACACACACACACACACACAGACACACACAGACACACACACACACACACACACACACACACACACACACACACACACACACAGACACACATCACCTACATCTCTGAGGCCCTGCTGCAGGTGGAGAATTAGTATGTGGCTATGAGGACACACAACACACACAACAACAACAACACACACACACACACACACAACACTGAGTCAGAGAAGCACATTTTGATCAATTCCCCGGGGGCTTCAGGTAAAGTGGGGCAGAGTGTCTTGCCCAAAGACACAACACACATCAGTGGGAGTAGGTCATGTGGGTGAATCAAACCCACAACCTTCAGGCTCAAAGGCCAATGCTCCACTGTTGCCCCTCGATTATATTTGTTTTTTATCGCCCTAAATTGCAACAGTAGTTATCTCGGAGGACTTTACAAAGTTGTCAATTCTCCATCAACAGATCAGAAAATCAAACCGTTCAAACACAGATAATACAACAATAACAAACACACACATAGCGGGACGACCATAAATGTCTCTTTAATCTTTAATCTGCTCAAGTTAGAGATTTTACACTTCTTTAATCTGCTAAAGTCAGAGCTGTGATTGTATCTAAAGTGATCTGTGAGTTATCTGCAGTAACTGTGAATGCAACACTGACATTTCTCTCCCCAGTCTCGGGAGGACTGGCAGTACGTTGCCATGGTGATGGACCGACTCTTCCTCTGGATCTTCGTGGTCTTCACCACCGTGGGGACGCTGGCCATCTTTGCCCACGCTCGCAACAACTTCACCCCCACCGACCCCTTCAAGCCCACTTAGGACCTGATCCAAGGACCTGATCCTAGGACCTGATCCAAGGACCTGATCCTAGGACCTGATCCAAGGACCTGATCCAAGAACCTGATCCAAGGACCTGATCCAAGGACCTGATCCAAGGACCTGATCCAAGGACCTGATCCAAGGACCTGATCCCAGCATCTGATCCACTGAGGGGCGCTAGAGAACCACAGCTAACACCATCGTGATGAATATTCGTTCAAACATATTTGCTACTGCTACTACTACTTCTGCTGCTACTGCCACTTCTACTACTGCTACTACTGTTACTGCTACTGCTACTACTACTACTGCTACATCTTCTACTACCAGCAACTTTAATATTTATTCTTATTGTACAAAGACTATTATTGTCGGTGCTGTAGTCCCTCCTTCTCATGTACTTGTACTTGTACTCATCTCCTCTGGATTGCAGTAACTTGTACTTGTACTCATCTCCTCTGGATTGCAGTATTTAAATATGTTTTTAATGTGTGGATGGTAGATTTCTTGTTTCTTAGTCGGTTTTTCTGCATTTTATAAATAAATGTTTTTACAAAAGTGTGTTTGAGGCTCCACATGGACAAGGCTCCACATGATCCAGGCTCCACATGGTCCAGGCTTCACATGGTCCAGCCTCCACATGATCCAGCCTCCACATGGTCCAGCCTCCACGTGGTCCAATTACCACATGGTCCAGCCTCCACATGGTCCAGCCTCCACATGGTCAGGTTCCACATCATTAGGTCCCACATGGTCCAGGCCCCAGAGCTAGTGGGGGTCTGGGGCCCCCACTAGCTCTGGGGCCTATGTTGTCCCCTGTGGCTACAGCCGGCTCTCTACTCCTGGTGCAGATTGCTCCTTGGATGCAGTGGCGGAGCCAGACTTTTAAACAGAGGGTGGCCAGGGGGTGGCAAGGGTTTTTTTGAGGGGTCCACATTTATACTATTCCGAAATTTTATTTCGCACAAAAACTGGCTAAACGATACATTTTAATCTTAATCTTGTCATTATTTTTAATATAAAGTGAACCGAGAGCACACTTGGAAACTACAAAGCAAAAAAGTGTATTTAAACAGTAGTCTGAACAAAAAAGTGCCAAATAACATCATTCAAACATTGCATTACATTTTTCTTTTAACAAATTTAGCAAATTCCTGCGGTTCTGGTGTAAAGCAGCAAAGATGTTGACAAACTCATCCATATTCAGCCCTGAGCCTCCTTTACCCAACACTGAGGATACCAAGATGACTCAATCATCTGCCATAGTAGTTCTGAGATGGTTTTTAATAAGTTTTAGGGCAGAGAAACTTATTTCACAAGACGCAGTACTGACAGGTATTAAAAAGATCTTTGCAAGCCTCAAAAGCTCATGAAACACTTTCCAAACGTTCCAAAAGGACAAGGAAGTCCAACAGGGACTCTCTAATCCATTTTTTCCTCCCAAGAAGCCGCCTAGTTTGACGTACCTCATGCTTAAGGTCCTCTATATCTGACTCAAAGGTTCTGCCAAATGAAAACAGGGGCTCTTCTTTCAAAAGATTTTTGGGGTCAAGCGACTGCACATCATCCATAATCTTAGCTATTTTGTTTCTTTTTTTGTGTGTGAAAAAACGCCTTCTGCCAATAGACAATCCTGCACCTGTCTGCGACACCCTCTCATTCTCTGAAACTCAATTATATAAGCTATATTTTAATACAACACAACAAATTCCTCATCATCTCAAAACATACTGCCTCCGAGTCTGACCTTCAGGTTTCATCATCCTGATCTACAGCCTTTTCCTAACAAAAAAAGGCCTGTAGGCAATGTTTCCTCCTTTTTTTTTCATGTTTACACTAAAGGGAAGAGGGCGATGATACGATGGGCAATTAATAATGGAAAATAAACACGCATGCACCCCGCTCGCACACAGGCACGCACACACGCGCACAGGCACGCAGACCCACACAGGCACGCACACACACGCACACAAGCGCGCATACAGGCACGCACACAGGCACACACACATACACACACTAAAAGTTCTACAAACTGAACAAGTAATGCGCTGCAGTACGTGTGTCTATACTTCGTGTCAAATGTAAACGGTTGGCTCTGCGTTGCTAACTTACCTCTTTGTTTTCATCACGACTTGGGCACATGTGAGTCCAACAACCCAAAACATTAGCATACAGCACCGGCTCCACACGGAGTCAGGGTGCGTTCACAGACGGGGGAAACCGTGGGAATGTTTAGTTTTTGGCTGAAAAAGTGCGGAAGATTCTCAAGATTAACATTATTACATTGCCGTCTTCCGAGGGGGGCACTGGGGGTGGCAAGGATATTTTTAGAGGTGGCAGTGGCCACCCTGGCTACCCCTCTGGCTCCGCCACTGCTTGGATGGCGCTTCTTCAGCCGGTTACATCCGCACCCAGCCCTATATATCATAGTTTTTCCTATTTTACCTGATGTGACTTTATATATGTGTGTGTGTGTGTGTCTGGGTGTATATTTAATAATACATTTGGTTTATGGGTGGGTCTGTGAGGAGGTGGGGTTTAGGGTTGGGCATATTGTATTGTTTTTAAACTAAACTGTAAAGCACTTTGTGTTGCATTTTTTTGTATGAAAAGCGCTTTTTAAATAAAATGTTATTGATTGAATGAACACTGTTCAAACTATTACACATGTGGTCATAACTTTGCATTTTTTAAGTCTCAAAAATGAATAAATAAATAAATATAGATGGATATTGTGGTAATTTTCCAAGACCCTGTCAAGATTTCCATCTTCAGATTTAAAATATATTTTTACAAACGGGTTGGATAAAGCGGACACCGGACATGAGCAAAACAGGTCCAAACACTCTCTGACCCCACACCTCTCGCCCACTACTGACTCTGTGCTGAAGGCATCCCTTTCTCTACTTCACCCATGGGGGGCAGTAGGAGCAATAGTAGCAGTAGTAATAGTCATAGTAGTAGTAGTAGTTGAAGTAGTAGTAGTAGTTGTTATGGAGCAAGTCCTTCGGTCCTTGTATTAGTTTTTCTCCTTGCCTCCATCTGTTCAGATCCTCCATTTGGACCTCCACACCCGGTTATTGTTCATTGATATTGAGCCACATGTGAAGCGCTTTGTGATCCTGCTCTGTGAAGGCGCTATACAAATACACCTGGTTATACTTACTTACTTAATGTGTGACCATCTATTTCTCCGTAAATCTGTGGCAGACCCTGCGCTGCGTAAATACTAGGTTACATTTTTTAATAAAGTTAATTACAGCTCAAAAATGTATTAATTGTAATTAATCACATTTAGAACTATCAGCCAAATGATGCCATATTTCTGTAAATGGTTGTTTGAATGGAAATATAAATGATGACATAGTGTTCATATGTACTGTATTTGTTTATTATAACAATAAATCCACATAAATTGGCATTAACATAATTAACATCTGTCTTTCTGTAGTAGACAGATTTTTTTCAGCTCGACATATTCCGCTTCAGCTAAAGCCTGTCTCATAAAGGCTGTGGAAAAACTTTGTACCCCAGCTTTAATTTAGCAAGTGTAGTTTTTAAGCGGGAGGAGACGCGGACACTTCCTGGCTCCACAGTTCAGCTTCAGAGGTGTATTACGCACAGGTTTAGCAAAGACACGTACACAAGCAGAGAATAGTTCTGTGCGTGTATGGATGGTCTTTATCCATACACGTTCACCGTTCACCGCGTTGTTATTAGCATGTGAACTTCTGTCCGGTTCATAGCAAACAACAGCAAGTGCGCCGTGGTCACGCGCATATTCTTTTTTAACTTGAATTCCCAGAGGACCTAGCTGCTCTGTCACCATCACGCATGTGTCCGCGGCAATCTGAGTGTTATTTTTGGATATATGGGCGTTAAAAGCGTTAATTTTTTAAACGCAATTAATGAAAATTTTTTATTAACGTGTGTTAACGCCATAATTTTGACAATGACTTTTGTCTCATTCACATCTGGCAAAATATTTCTTCATTAGTTTTGTGCATAAAGCCCCATAAACGCAGTGATGGCAGAAATATGGCTAAGTGCTTTCTTGTGGGAACGGGCTCATGGTCCCAGAGGTATATACACCAAAAACATACATCCTTTTCTGCACAAGGTTCATAAATGAGGCCCAATTTGCTTATATTTGGTAAAGCTAGTCTTGTTTAAATTTAGTGAGTACAGAGAAAATATTTCTCTGTTTCAAATGTAATATTGTGTAAAATGTGAATTTGATAATTTTGTTATTAATAAGAGACACAATCTGGAATTGAAACGAGTGCTGAGTCAGTCCTTCTCTGAGACTTTTCTTATTTATTATTTTACAGATTATGTTGAAGTATTTTTGTTCATGTGGTCACAACTACAGTTTGGGACCCGTAACAGTAGCAGTAGCATTAATAGTAGCAGCAGTAGTAGTAGCAGTAGCATACCCACACATTCAGAACAAAGTTGAAAAGCTCCCTCTAAGTTCTGGGTCCTCTGTCTCAGCCTCGTCCTGATCCTTCCTCTGATCCTGATCCGTGAGCCAAGCGGATATTCTTACACGGTGTTAGCTCATAAACACGCCGCACGTACATGCTAACGCGTCCGCGGTGTCAGAATGCACCTCCACCATAATCCTCTTTGCATTTGTGTCCAGGCAAATGTGGAGGAGGTGGGGGTCCTTCTGCGGTCGCACACTAACGCTAACGCACCAGCTGCACCAACACACAGGGACCCCCACGGAAGTCCTCTGGGATCGGACGTTTAGGGTCTGACTTTGAAGACCTGGTGAGGGGCCGCGGGTGTAGAGCTAAAACATAGCAGGAGTCAGAGGTCTTAACAAAGTTGCGGGTTTGTCGACAAGAGATTAGAGAATCAGAAACAGTACAAAAAATAAAGGAAATTAAGTGATGACAAACACATACAGTAAAGCATTGGTCCATAGGGAGCAGGACTGAGGCTGTAGACCCAGGACTGAGGCTGTGAGATTCAGGACTGAGGCTGTAGACCCGGGACTGAGGCTGTAGATTCAGGACTGAGGCTGTAGACCCAGGACTGAGGCTGTAGACCCAGGACTGAGGCTGTGAGATTCAGGACTGAGGCTGTAGATTCAGGACTGAGGCTCTGAGATTTAGGACTGAGGCTGTGGACCCAGGACCGGTGCAGGGCTGACCTCCTGTGGCCGCGATGTTCCACATGTTCAAACGTCGACACTGGTCTGATTTATGGTCCAAGCTCCGACCCAAACCCCGGCAGAGGAGACGGTGACCTGCAGAGGTGGACCGGAGGAGAATGTACAAGCTAGCGGTGAGTAGCAAGAGACCAGAGAGAGAGACCAGAGAGAGACTAGAGAGGGACCAGAGAGAGAGACCAGAGAGAGACTAGAGAGGGACCAGAGAGAGAGAGACCAGAGAAAGGCCAGAGAGAGACTAGAGATGGACCAGAGAGAGACCAGAGAGACCAGAGAGAGACTAGAGAGAGACCAGAGAGAGACCAGAGAGAGACTAGAGAGAGACCAGAGAGAAAGACCAGAGAGAGAGACCGGATAAAGAGACCAGAGGAAGGCCAGAGAGAGACAAAGAAAGGCCCAGAGAGAGACCAGAAAGAGACCAGAGAAAGGCCAGAGAGAGACCAGAGAAAGAGACCAGAGAAAGGCCAGAGGAAGGCCAGAGAGAGACCAAAGAAAGGCGAGAGAGAGACCAGAAAGAGATCTGAGAGAGGCAAGAGAGAGACCAGAGAGAGGCAAGAGTGAGACCAGAGAGAGACTAGAGAGAGACCAGAGAGAGACCAATGAGAGACTAGAGAGAGACCAGAGAGAGAGACCAGAGACTGCATATGCCCAGTGTTCCCAGTCATGCACCAGCCTCCCCCCCCCCCCCCCCCCCCCCCCCCCCCCCCCCCCCCCCCCCCCCCCCCCCCCCCCCCCCCCCCCCCCCCCCCGCCCCCCCCCCCCCCCCCCCCCCCCCCACCCCCCCCCCCCCCCCCCCCCCCCCCCCCCCCCCCCCCCCCCCCCCCCCCCCCCCCCCCCCCCCCCTCTCCCCCCTCCCTCCTGCAGAAATATCTCAATCCATTGTCACAACCACAACCTCCCCCTTTACACACACGCTCCAACAGGTGCCTGGCTGTCCCCCCCCCTCACACACACACATAGACACACACAGTGACACACACACACACGACACTGTTTACCCACGGGTTTCTCTCAGTGGATGGTCCCCATGGTCTGAGTCCAGGCCCAGGTCCGGCCCTGAGTCCGAGACCATGTCATGAAGAGACTGAGGTCAAACCGTGAGCGTCACACGAGATGAAGACTTTTGTCCTTCTGTGGAGCTGGCTCTGGCTGACAGCGGCCGGTGAGTGCTCTGTGTTCTCTCTGTGTTATGTGTGTGTTCTCTATGTGTGTTCTCTCAGTGTTCTCTGTGTTCTCTCTGTATTCTGTGTGTTCTCTGTGTCACGCTGTTTGGTAAAAGTAAACATATAAACTGTAATTGAGAGACATACAGTGTAAACAGATTTCTGGCTCCTATTGACTTCCATGTAAAAGCCCATTTTGGGCTTAAATCTGTGTTTCATCGCTCTCTCTGTCATCCTGGTCTTTATCTGATATTGTCTTAATGTAAATCCAGATCTGAATCTTAAAATAACCGACCAATCATGTTTTATATTGTATTTATTTGGATGGAACAGTGCGACAGGAGCTGTAAACAACAGATAGTAGCTCTTCTCCATCTGTGGTGTCAGTCATTAACCGGAGCACCCGGAGGAAACCTACGCAGACACGGGTAGAACATGCAAACTCTGCACAGAAAGGCCTGTAGGTGGAATCGATTCCAGGACCTTCTTACTGTGAGGCACAATTGCTATCCACCGTTTAGATTCTTTCGTTTACAGGGGAAACGCAGACTTGTCTCAGCAACCTCGTTAGTAACCATCTTGGCAACCGTCTTAGCAACCATTTTAGCAACTGCCTTAGCAACCGTCTTAGCAACCTTCTTAGTAACTGTCTTAGCAACCTTCTTGGCAACAGTCTTAGCAACCGTCTTAGCAACTGCCTTAGCAACCGTCTTAGCAACCGTCTTAGCATCCATCTTAGCAACCATTTTAGCAACTGTCTTAGCAACCGTCTTAGCAACCCTCTTAGTAACCGTCTTAGCAACCATCTTAGCAACCATCTTAGCAACCGTCTTAGTAACCGTCCTGGCAACCGTCTTAGCAACCGTCTTTGCAACCGTCTTAGCAAATGTCTCAGCAACCTTCCTAGCAACTGTCTTAGCAACCGTCTTAGCAACCTTCCTAGCAATTGTCTTAGCAACACGTCTGCCCCTGTTACAGTGCAAAGCATGAGAAATGCTTAAATAAGTAAACTGGCTTCAGCTTATGTTCAAATCGGCTTCTTCTGCTTTAAAGCTAACACTGTGGTGATGTCACACTCTATCAGTCCACGCTTTGTAAACAGGCATTTGGATGAGTCATCACATCAGACACTGCACCGTCACCACAGTGCAATGCTCTCTGCTTTTAGACAACAACAGTGCTACAATACTGCCACAATACTGCAACAATATTGCTAATATACTGCAACAATACTGCAACAGTACTACAACAATACTGCTGCAATACTGCTACAATACTACTACAATACTACTGCTAAAATACTGCCACAATACTGCTAAATTACTACTGCAACAATACTGCTAAAAAACTGCAACAATACTGCAACAATACTGGAGTTAGCACAGGGGGATTCTATCTTCACGCGACAAACGAGGTCATGTGCATTATAGAGAGAGATCCTTTATTAGACAGTGGGAAATGTCAGTGTTGCATCATCAGTTACAGAACAGTAGGAATGAGGCACACACAGCATAAATAGACATGCATACACATATAAAAACATATATACACAAACACAAGCACACATATATACATACACACATATACACTCTATGTTGCTTTTTAGTTTTTAGTTATGAACCTTTGAAGAATAACCACAGTTAATATTGTGTAGTTCTGTGTAATATTGTGTAGTTGGGGGATTTTTTTGTGTAGATCTTTGTGTTGTTGTTTGAAACAGTTGTCGTTAATTTGACTCGAAGCGAACGTTTGACGGAATTAGCCGTGGAATGTGTCCTAGAGGAAAGACAGCTATAAACTCACTGTGACATTCACCTCTGACCAGAGCGAGACCAGGGGGAGAGCTGAGACTAGAGACCAGAGAGAGACCAGAGAGAGACCAGAGAGAGACCAGAGAGAGAGACCAGAGAGTGACCAGAGAGAGACCAGAGAGAGACCAGAGAGAGACCAGAGAGAGAGACCAGAGAGAGACCAGAGGAAGACCAGAGACCAGAGGGAGACCAGAGAGAGAGACCAGAGAGAGACCAGAGGGAGACCAGAGAGAGACCAGAGAGAGACCAGAGAGAGACCAGAGGGAGACCAGAGACCAGATAGAGAACAGAGGGAGACCAGAGAGAGACCAGAGGGAGGCCAGAGAAAGAGGACTTCAGGACAGAGACCAACTCGATAGAACACCGGGATTATTGTGATTGCACTTCCTGGTAGAGTAGAGTAGAGTAGAGTAGAGTAGACTACACAGAGTAGAGTAGAGTAAAAGTAAGAGTAGAGTAGCGTAGAGAACAGTAGACTAGAGTAGAGTAGGGTAGAGTAGAATAGAGTAGAGTGGAGTAGAGAAGAGTAGAGTACAATAGAGTAGGGTAGAGTAGAGTAGAGTAGGGTAGAGTAGAGTAGAGTAGAGTAGAGTAGAGTAGAATAGAGTAGAATAGAGTAGAGTAGAGTAGAGTAGAGTAGGGTAGAGTAGGGTAGAGTAGAGTAGAGTAGAGTAGAATAGGGTAGAGTAGGGTAGAGTAGAGTAGAGTAGTGTAGAGTAGAGTAGAGTAGTGTAGAGTAGAATAGAGTAGAGTAGAGTAGAGTAGAGTAGGGTAGAGTAGGGAAGAGTAGAGTAGAGTAGAGTAGGATCAAACCATGCTGGTGGAAACGGGGCAGAAGCTACAAACCAGATTCCTGTGTGTTTCTGCGCGGCCAGACTGTCTTCTGTGTGTTGTCTGTGTTGTTGTCGTGTGCCAAGGAAATGTGTGTTAGCATTTCTCGCGGCCTACATCTTGTTATCGTGTCTTTGGTCGTGTTTAACCGGATCCCAGAGGCTCAAAGACCGTAAATCACTCTGGAACGTCATTGTTGCTCAGGTCTATTTCTGTCCGAGCAGCAGTTGTGATTCCGCACATGCTTCGAAGCCTTGCCGTTAGCATAGTTACCTTTGGCTAACTGCTATCATGCTAACGTTAGCCTCACCTGCTGCTAGCCGTGTCGTTTTGCTCATGGGTTCTCAACAAGTGGATTTTACTACATGTTTAATAATAAAGAGTTCAATCTGATCGTTGGGGAAGATAGATTTATTATTTTATTGTTTTATTTGTTATAGACACAACAGTTACTTCGGACAGACCAGATGCACCAGAGAGACCAAAGGGAGAGAGAGACTAGAGAGAGAGAGAGAGTAGAGAGAGAGAGGGAGAGAGAGAGACTAGAGAGCCAGAGAGAGACCAAAAAGAAAATACATATTTGTACAATAATTGTACAAATGTAGTTTTTTGTTGTTGTAACTCTGTGTTGAATGTCTCACATTTGTTTTTAACATATGTTCAAAGAAAGACATAAGAAAAAAAGATTAATTAAAAATAAAAAGGATATGGTCCTGGTAAATCCTGGAAACTCCTGACTTCTGGTCCTCAGGGGCCTCAGAGACAGAGCGCAGACTGCACCAGAAGCTCTTTGAGAACTACAACATGAAAGTGCGTCCGGCTCGGTTCTGGCAGGACCGGGTCATGGTCCGAGTGGGGATGACCCTGTCCCAACTGGTCAGCCTGGTGAGGACACACAACTACACACAACTACACACTAGTAAACACTAGTACACACTGTGACTGCGACGTATGTACTAGGTCCAACGGACACACATTCAATTCAATTCTCAAACACAGATCAGAGAATCAAACATTTCAAACTCAAGAAATATAAAAAAAAAAACACAAGGTATTTGCCCATAAGAGGCGGAGACAATGGATCCTAACAGTTCTCTTAGTTAGTCCCAAGCCCCCGGGATCCAAGATGGCGTCCTATTTAAATCAGTGGTTAGTACTCAGTAGCGCATGTGCCCCCACGGGGAGCGGAACTCGCCTATATTTGGGCATCGTCTGGTCCTCCCGATTCTGCGCAGTGGACAGGCTCCCATGATGCAGGGGCTCTACCGCTCTCTGTCCAATCAGATGGCAGAGTTCTGACCAATCAGAGATTCTGATCAGAGCTGCTGATCAACAATTTTAGAAGAAAAAAAGTTCAGGATGACAAGGGACACTAAAATCCCCACAAAATCTGACCTTTGGCTGTAGGTTCTCTGTCAGCTGAGGTCAAGCTGTTTTAGTTTACATTGAGTTCTATGGGACTTTTTTCTGGGCCACGTTAATTTAGTCTGCAGTACCACAGCGCCCCCTGTGCCCATGGGTGGGACAGCTATAAGCTAGTAATACCCTATCCAGTTTTTATTATAGAGCCATGGTTCGACCTCACAAGACCCTAACAGACTCCTGCAAAGGTTATGGATCCAGGACTGAGGCTGTAGATCCAGGTCTGAGACTGTAGGTCCAGGACTGAGGCTGTAGACCAAGGACTAGGACCGTAGATCCAGGACTGAGACTGTAGACCCAGGACTGACCCAGGGCTGAGGCTGTAGACCCAGGGCTGAGGCTGTAGACCCAGGACTGAGGATGTTCTCACCGTGTCCTTCTGTTTCTGTAGAACGAGAAAAACGGCGAGATGACGACCAACGTGTTTATGAACATGGTACGGTCTGGAAAAAACCCTTATACAACCAACAAACCCATCACTGGGGCTATCATGCTAACACCATGCTAACATCATGCTAACATCATGCTAACAAGATTACTTACTAACACTGTCGTTGCTCCGTCAGGCCTGGACTGACTACAGACTGTCGTGGAACCCAAAGGACTACGACGACATCGACGTGTTGAGGATCCCGGTCATGAAAGTGTGGCGCCCCGATATCTACCTCATAAACAAGTACGTCTGCTCCACCTGGTTTGACTTCATGGTTTGTCTTCATGGTTTGTCTTCATGGTTTGACTTCATGGTTTGACTTCATGGTTTGTCTTCATAGTTTGTCTTCATGGTTTGTCTTCAGTAACGATGGACAGTTTGACGTGGCGCTCTATGTGAACGTTCTGGTCTACAGCGACGGGACGGTCAACTGGCTTCCACCGGCTATCTACAGATCCTCCTGCTCCATCGAGGTACGAGACCGGGGGGGGGGGACTAGAAGTACGAGACTAAGACTGCGTTAGAGGGAGGGGGCAAGAAGATTGGGCTGAAACGATTGGGTCCATTTGGTTTCACTGAGCTTGTAGGTAAGCATTTTCCAGCCGTACAGAGTCTATGTTAGCCTATCTCTATCTTTTCTCTCTCTGGTCTCTCTCTAGTCTCTCTCTGGTCTTTCTCTGGTCTCTCTCTGGTCTCCCTCTGGTCTCTTTTTCTAGTATATCACTGGTCTCTCTCTGGTCTCCCTCTGGTATCTCTCTAGTCCCTCTCTCTCTTGTCTCCATGTCTCTCTTGTCTACCTCTTGTCTCCTCATGGTCTCTCTCTCTAGTCTCTTTCTGGTCTCTCTCTGGTCTCTATCTAGTCTCTCTCTCTGGTATCTTTTTGGTCTCTCTCTGGTCTCTCTGTTCTCTCTCTGGTCTCTCTCTGGTCTCTCTCTCTGGTATCTTTTTGGTCTCTCTGTGGTCTCTCTGTTCTCTCTCTGTTCTCTCTCTGGTCTCTCTCTAGTCTCTCTCTCTGGTATCTTTTTGGTCTCTCTGTTCTCTCTCTGGTCTCTCTCTAGTCTCTCTCTCTGGTATCTTTTTGGTCTCTCTGTTCTCTCTCTGATCTCTCTCTGGTCTCAAACACAGACAAACACACAGACAGTATTTGTGTGTGTGTGTGTGTGTGTTGTTTGACCTGTAATGCCGTGTGTGTCCTGCAGGTGGCATACTTCCCGTTTGACTGGCAGAACTGCAGCATGGTGTTCCGCTCCTACACCTACGACGCCTCAGAGGTGGAGCTACAGTACTTCCTGGATGAGGACGGAAACGAGATCCAGGAGATCGTCATCGATGAGAATGCTTTCACCGGTCTGTGCTGAGAGACCAGAGAGAGACCTGACAGAGACCAGCGAGAGAGCAGACAGAGAACAGACAGAGACCAGACAGAGACAAGAGAGAGACCAGACAGAGACAAGAGAGAGACCAGAGAGAGACCAGAAAGAGACAAAAGAGACCAAAGAGAGACCAGAGAGAGACCAGAGAGAGACCAGACCAGAGACCAGACAAAGACCAGAGAGAGACCAGACAGAGACCAAAGAGAGGCCAGAGTGAGACCAGAGAGAGAGAGACCAGAGAGAGAGACCAGAGAGAGAACATTGGGGATTTTGGGGTCTATTATATAGTTATCGATTTGTGGTTTGAAAGTTAGATCCCCCAGCTTTAATACAACTCTAACTCCAGCTGTGTGCGTGTGCAGAGAACGGGGAGTGGAACATCTGCCACAAACCGTCTCGTAAGAACGTGAAGGAGGATCTGTACGAGGACATCACCTTCTACCTCATCATCGAGAGGAAGCCGCTCTTCTACATCATCAACATCATCGTGCCCTGCATCCTCACCAGCGTCCTGGCCATCTTCGTCTTCTACCTGCCCCCCGGAGCAGGTGGGCGGGGCCTGTGGGGGCGGGAGTCATGTGATACGACAGATTTATTATAAAAAGAGAGAGAGAGACCAGAGAGAGACAAGAGAGAGAGACCAGAAAGAGACCAAAGAAAGACCAGAGAGAGACCAGAGAGAGGCCAGAGAGAGACTAGAGAGAGACTAGAGAGAGACCAGAGAGAGGAGAGATAGACCAGAGAGAGACTAGAGAAAGCTCAGGGATAGACCAGAAAGAGACCAGGGATAGACCAGAGAGAGACTAGAGAGACCAGAGAGAGACCAGAGAGAGACCAGAGAGAGAGACCAGAGAGAGACCAGAGGGAGACCAGAGAGAGAGACCAGAGAGAGACCAGAGGGAGACCAGAGAGAGACAAGAGAGAGGCCAAAAAGAGAGAGACAAATGAGACCATAGTTGAGACTGTAGGTGCTGACAAAGAAGACATATAATGTGGCATACTTGTGAGACAGAGCCCTGTGAGTCACTATTTGACCCTTTGGGCTGAGATGCGGGTATGTGTTTTGTGCACAGAGGGACTTTTGCACGCGTATTCCAATGTGGTTTTACTGGAAATGGCAAATAACTGAATCTGAATGTGGCGCAGGAGAGAAGATGACCCTGTCCATCTCGGTGCTGATCGCTCTGACCGTCTTCATGCTGCTGCTCGCTGACCGTGTCCCAGAAACCTCTCTGGCCATACCCATCATCGTCAACTACGTCATGTTCACCATGATCCTGGTCACCTTCTCTGTGATCCTCAGTGTGGTGGTCCTCAACCTGCACCACCGCACCCCCAGCACTCACATCATGCCTGCCTGGGTCCGCACGGTACTGACCCCCGTGGAGAGAGACCAGAGAGAGACCAGAGAGAGACTAGAGAGAGACTAGAGAGAGACTAGAGAGAGACCAGAGAGAGACTAGAGAGAGACTAGAGAGAGACCAGAGAGAGAGACTAGAGAGAGACCCGAAAGAGACTAGAGAGAGACCAGAGAGAGAGACCAGAGAGAGACCCGAAAGAGACTAGAGAGAGACCAGAGAGAGAGACCAGAGAGAGAGACCAGAGAGAGACTAGAGAGACACCAGAGAAAGACCAGAAAAAAACCAGAGGGAGACAAAAGAGATAGATACCAGAGAGAGAGAGACTAGAGAGGGAGGCTACAGAGAGAGACTAGAATGAGAGACAAAAGAGAGTGGCTAAAGAGAGAGACCAAAGAGAGAGATCAGTGAGAGGCCAGAGAGAAACTGGAGAGAGAGAGAATACTGTTCATATCTCTGAATTACTATCGTTCTTCTAACGTGGTCCGTTGTGTTTCTCAGGCGTTCATCGACTTCCTGCCGAAGTACATCGGGATGGCGAGACCAGAGCAGGAGGAGTCTGAGGAGCAGGGGGAAGAGTCAGGAGAGGCCACGCCCATCAGGAGCCACAATGGCCGCTCGCCCGGAGAGTACTGCATCAGGAAGTTGAACCCGGACCTGGTGCTGCCCTGGAGGGGAGGGTCTGTGATGTCACACATACACACACACATACATACAGGCACACGTACACACACATACACACAAATGTACAGAGAGAGAACAGAAAGACACTATCAAGACCAAAGAGCGAGACAGGGACTGGCCTCCTGCTGGGACTCTGAGGAGCACAGGGACTGGCCTCCTGCTGGGGCTCTGAGGAGCACAGGGACTGGCCTCCTGCTGGGGCTCTGAGGAGCACAGGGACTGGCCTCCTGCTGGGACCCTGAGGAGCACAGGGACTGGCCTCCTGCTGGGACCCTGAGAAGCACAGGGACTGGCCTCTTGCTGGGACCCTGAGAAGCACAGGGACTTGCCTCCTGCTCTGAGCTCTTCCTTGTGTATGAACTGTGACAGCCTCACTTCTTCTCGTCTTCTCTCTTCTCACCACATGGGGGCAGCACAGCACTGGTCCTGGTTCAAACACACTGATGACAATAATAAAACCAAACTCAGACCATGGAACATGCAGAGCTCTGATGTCTCCCTCAACTCTCTCATCTCTCATGTCTCTCTCATCTCTCTCTCTCATGTCTCTCTCATTTCTCTCTCTCATCTCTCATGTCTCTCTCTCATCTCTCATCTCTCTCTCTCATGTCTCTCTCATCTCTCATGTCTCCCTCATCTCTTATGTCTCTCTCATGTCTCTCTCTCTCATCTCTCTCTCTCATGTCTCTCTCTCATCTCACATGTCTCTCTCATGTCTTTCTCTCATCTCTCTCTTATCTCTCATGTCTTATGTCTCTCTCATATCTCTCTCTCATGTCTCTCTCATGTCTCTCTCATCTCTCATGTCTGTCTCATGTCTCTCTCATCTCTCATGTCTGTCTCATCTCTCTCTCTCATCTCTCTCTCTCATGTCTCTCTCATCTCTCATGTCTGTCTCATCTCTCTCTCTCATGTCTCTCTCATGTCTCATGTCTCTCTCTCTCATGTCTCCCTCTCATGTCTCTCTCATCTCTCTCTCTCATCTCTCTCATGTCTCTCATGTCTGTCTCATCTCTCTCTCTCTCATGTCTCTCTCATCTCTCATGTCTCTCTTATGTCTCTCTCTCATGTCTCTCTCATATCTCTCTCTCATGTCTCTCTCATCTCTCTCTCTCATGTCTCTCTCATCTCTCTCTCATGTCTCTCTCATGTCTCTCTCATCTCTCTCTCTCATGTCTTTCTCATCTCTCTCTCATGTCTCTCTCATCTCTCTCTCTCATGTCTCTCTCATCTCTCTCTCTCATGTCTCTCTCATGTCTCTCTCTCATCTCTCATGTCTCTTTCATCTCTCTCATGTCTCTCTCTCATGCCTCTCTCATGTCTCTCTCTCATGTCTCCCTCATGTCTCTCTCATTCTTTTTTGTCTCTCTCATTTCTGATTATCTTTCATTATCGTTCTGTTGTGGTTGTTTTCCTTTGGTGCAAAACTGCATGACCCACTTTATATGAATAGTGCTGCTGCATTGTCCTGTGTGTGTGCGTGTGTGACTGTGTGTGTGGGTGTGTGTGTGCGTGCCTGCGTCTGTGGAGGGGGGGTGAGGGGGCAGTAGTAGCAGTAAGTAATGTGTGTCTTCTGAGGTGAAACTTTAGCCAAAAATGTGATCCAATTTATTAACGTGTGTGTGTCTCTCTCTTTCTCTCTGTGCGTGTGTGTGTATGTGGTGTGTGTGTGTGTGTCTCTCTCTGTGCGTGTGTGTATGTGGTGTGTGTGTGTCTCTCTCTGTGCCTGTGTGTATGTGTTGTGTGTGTCTCCCTCTGTGCGTGTGTGTATGTGTCTCTCTCTGTACATCTGTGTGTCTGTGTATATGTGTGTGTGTGTGTGTCTCTGTGCATGTGTGTGTGTGCGTGTGTCATAGGTGTGAGGTCCCAGTGCAGTTGCAGAGACATCCTGATGGTTATTGTCTGATTCTTCCTCCAAACCTGAAGTCTGCGATCGCCGCCGTCACCTACATGTCTGAGCAGCTGCAGAAGCAGGACACAGACGACTCGGTCAGACCTGGGGCTGTGTTTACCTCCATTCAGGCTCAAATCAGAGACTGGATAGTCACATAACATATAGCTCTGCCCTTGCTGTCAAATAGCTCCTGTTTCAGTCAGACCAGAGAGAGACCAGAGAGAGACCAGAGTGAGAGAGCAGAAAGAGACCAGAGAGAGACCAGAGAGAGACCAGAGAGAGACCAGAGAGAGACCAGAGTGAGGCCAGAGAGAGACCAGAGTGAGGCCTGAGAAAGACCAGAGAGAGGCCAGAGAGAGACCATAGAGAGAGGCCAGAGAGAGACCAGAGAGAGTCCAGAGAGAGACCAGAGAGAGACCAGAGAGAGAGACCAGAGAGAGACCAGAGAGGGACCAGAGAGAAACCAGAGAGAGAGATCCTGTACTTGTTCTATTGTCTTTGGCACCAGGAGTGACTTCTGGTGTGTTCTCAGATGACGGGTGATTGGCAGTTCATTGCTCTGGTGGTGGATCGACTCTTCCTCTGGCTCTTCGTCATCATCACTTCTCTGGGCACTCTCGCCATGTTCCTGGACGCCAGCTTCAACTACACTCCGGACCAGGCCTTCCCATAGACTCTACGTCCATAGACTCTACGTCCCTTTGACTCTACGTCCATAGACTCTACGTTCCTTGGACTCTACGTCCATAGACTCTACGTCCCTTGGACTCTACGTCCATAGACTCTACGTCCCATAGACTCTACGTCCCTTGGACTCTACGTCCCATAGACTCTACGTCCCTTGGACTCACGGTCCATAGACTCTACATCCCATAGACTCCACGTCCATAGACTCTACGTCCCATAGACTCTACGTCCCTTAGACTCTACATCCCACAGACTCTACGTCCCAAAGACTCTACGTCCATAGACTCTACATCCCTTAGACTCTACGTCATTTAGACTCTACGTCATTTAGACTCTACGTCCCATAGACTCTACGTCACTTAGACTCTACGTCACTTAGACTCTACGTCACTTAGACTCTACGTCCCAAAGACTCTACGTCCCAAAGACTCTACGTCCCATAGACTCTACGTCCCATAGACTCTACGTCATTTAGACTCTACGTTCCATAGACTCTACGTCCCAAAGACTCTACGTCCCTTAGACTCTACATCCCATAGACTCTATGTCCCAAAGACTCTACGTCCCATAGACTCTACGTCCCTTGGACTCTACGTCCTATAGACTCTACGTCCCTTAGACTCTACGTCCATAGACTCTACGTCCATAGACTCTATGTCCCTTATGGTGCTTTCAGACCGGATCATGCGTTGCGTCGGGTTTCAATGCAAGCCGTTCAATGCAGTTTGTGCGCTGCCCGAACGGACTGTTCAATAATGACGCACGGACATGGCGGGAAAGTGAAAAGGGAGGAGCAGAAGCGAAAAAACAACGCCCACAGGAGATGGATTCTGCTCATCCTTTCCTTGGGACGTTCGTGCGACAACCAATCAGAGAGCAGCAAAGTGGTCACGGGGACATTAGCGGACTGAGCGAGCAGACTGAAAATACTCCTAAACAGCCAAAACAGGACCCACACCAGACTTCACCAGAACTCAAGCCAGGGTTGACAATGGGGGACTCTGCTTGTGAATATATGCGCCCTCATGCTCCCGTGACCTTATGCAACTGCTTCGAGTGTGTTGGCCGATGCGGAAATTCCGTTTAATAATATGAAAAAACGTATGGCGCACCTCCGTGAACACATACTGCTGTTATATAAAGCCCGTGGAAAGTCTTTGTTCAAAGACACGCTGCAAAGCTGCATATTGGAGAAGATCTGTACACAAGAAGCCGCTAGCATAACTCTGTTAGCATTAGAGCCATCCGGCTACTTCCGGTACTTCCGGCTCGCGTCAGGAAGTTCTGGTGTGAAGTCCTCTGCGTCTGAAAACTAGAGAATGCGCGTCTGGTGAGCGGGGCTTCAGCCTTTCAGCGTTGGCGGTCTGAAAGCCCCATTAGACTCTACATCCCACAGACTCTACGTCCCAAAGACTCTACGTCCATAGACTCTACATCCCTTAGACTCTACGTCATTTAGACTCTACGTCCCATAGACTCTACGTCCCATAGATTCTACGTCACTTAGACTCTACATCCCAAAGACTCTACGTCCCTTAGACTCTACGTCATTTAGACTCTACGTCATTTATACTCTACGTCCCATAGACTCTACGTCCATAGACCCAACATCCATAGACTCTACGTCACTTAGACTCTACGTCCCATAGACTCTAGGTCCCATAGACTCTACGTCCCAAAGACTCTACGTCCCATAGACTCTACGTCATTTAGACTCTACGTCCCACAGATGTACATGTCTTTAGTCCTCTGAGTCCTCACAATGTGGAATATACCTGCATGAGTGTATCTTTGTTAGTTATTTTAAAGACTGTATACAGATGGACAATGCTAACATGCTAATGCTGCTAGCTCAACGAAACCCGATGGGGAAGTGCTCATGGACGTACTCTGGCTCCTGTTACATTTGTGTTACGGACAACACTGACATTTCCTCACGTTGGGACCCAATAGAGAAGTGCTCGTAGACAAAGTTTGGCTCTATCTCTCTGGCTCCTTTTGACTTCCATGTGAAAGTAAACTCCTCTCGCTCAGTAACTGCAAAAAAGTGATACAAAATGAGTCAAAAATGTCTACAAATTGGCAAAATGTCTCTTAATTTGAGAGAACTGAAGGAGACAGGACCTTCTAGGCCTCAGACCCAGAACCTTCTAGGCCTCAGATCCAGACCCTTCTAAGCCTCAGATCCAGAACCTTCTCAGATCCAAATGAACAGTTTTTTTCTGTTGTATTTTGCTGTTTTTTGTCAGCGCCTGTCGCTCGTCACGTTCCATTTCTGAACAATTCCTTTGTATTCTTTCTTCTTAATGTGTTTGTTTAAAATGGAAAAACTGACTTGTTTTGAAATAAATTGTCTCCTCTGGTCTCTGACTCCTTCTGAGTGTTCTGGAAACAGCAGTGAGTCCTGAGTCGCTCTGAAACAGTCGTTTTGTGTTTTACAATCTGTATTTATTTTGCTTTTTCCGAGTGTTCATGGTTTTACACTGATCCAGAGCAGAACAGAAAGGATGGTCTGTCTGTTCGTCGAGCTGCCTCTGTCTCTCTCTCTGTCTCTCTCTCTGTTTCTGTCTCTCTCTGTCTCTGCGTCTGTTTCTGTCTCTCTCTGTCTCTGCCTCAGTCGAAACTAAGACAGTCTCCGTTTGTTGCCATCGACGACCGGATTTATGTTCCGTCGTCCGTGGCGTCTCTCCCACAAAGAGGGACATAGCTCAGCCCTGTCCCAGAGAGAAAGACCAGGACACATCTAAATCAGCCAAATGAAAAGGATTCTGGGACATTGTGTGTGGGAGAGGGGCGGAACTAAGCCTGCTACACACACACACACACGCACACACACAGAGACACACACACACCAGCGTCTCCAGGCGGGACGTCCCAAAACAGGATCATTCTGGATATTGTTTTCCCAGAATCCTCTGAGTCGGAAAACACCTGACCTTTGTCATGTCCAGTTTCTGCCGAGTCATGATTTAGTCGATCCTTATGTGAACCAAGAAACAGCTAGTTAAAAGTCTTGTTTCCACCTACTCTACTTTACTCTACTCTACTCTACTCTACTCTACTCTACTCTACTCTACTCTACTCTACTCTACTCTACTCTACTCTACTCTACCCTACCCTACCCTACCCTACCCTACCCTACCCTACCCTACCCTACCCTACCCTACCCTACCCTACCCTACCCTACCCTACCCTACCCTACCTACTACCCTACTCTACTCTACTCTACTCTACTCTACTCTACTCTACTCTACTCTACTCTACTCTACTCTACTCTACTCTACTCTACTCTACTCTACTCTACTCTACTCTACTCTACTCTACTCTACTCTACTCTCCTCTACTCTCCTCTCCTCTACTCTACTCTACTCTACTCTACTCTACTCTACTCTACTCTACTCTACTCTACTCTACTCTACTCTACTCTACCCTACCCTACCCTACCCTACCCTACCCTACCCTACCCTACCCTACCCTACCCTACCCTACCCTACCCTACCCTACCCTACCCTACCCTACCCTACCCTACTCTACTCTACTCTACTCTACTCTACTCTACTCTACTCTACTCTACTCTACTCTACTCTACTCGGATTGGGAGAGTTTCCACAGTGGGTGGAACTTTTGACAATTGTTGAACTATTGGCACTTCTATTTACCACAGCTGGCCAATGTTGCAAATCCGCAACATCCCAGAACTGCCTCTGACAGTTTTTATTACTATTTTCCAGTTTTTCCATGAAAACTGGCCCTGAGAGTGAGATGGACAAAGGTCTCACTCTGTTTGCAATGTTTACATAACGATTAACAATTATTTTCATATTAATTGTATTATTATTGTTGTTATTTACAGAGACAGCAATGAGTGTCTATGCTCGCCTCGCACTCGCTCTGGTCCTGTGCTCGCCTCGTACTCGCTCTGGTCCTGTGCTCGCCTCGTACTCGCTCTGGTCCTGTGCTCGCCTCGTACTCGCTCTGGTCCTGTGCTCGTCTCACACTTGCTCTAGTCCTGTGCTCGCCTCGCACTCGCTCTAGTCCTGTGCTCGCCTCACACTCGTTCTGGTCCAGTCCAGTTCAGGAAAACTGCCCAAACCAAAAAAAGTCCTTCCAACGGCCCCTGACCCTGAGCTTGCAAACACTCTCTCTCCCCCTATGTGCTCCATTATATAACTCGCCCTTTGTCTCTTTACAGTGAGATGGATCTGCTGCTGCTTTAAAGTGTTTGGGACAAAGAAGAAAGTGTGGGATCAAAGAGAGACCTCACTACAGAGTCATCAAAGAGAGTCTGTGGCCAAGGTTCTGGGCTGGCTCTAGGCTGGGGTCTGGTTCTGGACCAAGGGCTGGTTCTTGGCTGTTTTTGGGCCGGGGGCTGGTTCTGGGCTGGTTTTGGGCTGGTTCTGGGCCAGGGGCTGATCCTGAGCTGGTCCAGGACTGGTTCTGGGCTGAGACTCGGACAAAGTGGTAGTGGCTGCTTGGTTAAACCTCACGTGAATAAACCTCACGGTCCACGTTTTTCTGCTGCATTCTTGGGTTCAGGCCAAATCAGTGTTTTCTGTTGATGAGGAGCATCGACCAACCATGTGGAAGACTAGGGAGACCTGGAGTACTGGGACTATAGAGTACTGGGACTATAAAGGACTGGGACTATAGAGTACTGGGACTATAGAATATTGGGACTATAGAGTACTGGGACTATACTTTACTCTCTCTGGTCTCTCTCTGGTCTTTCTCTGGTCTCTCTCTGGTCTCTCTCTGGTCTATCTCTGGTCTATCTCTGGTCTTTCTCTGGTCTCTCTCAGGTCACTATCTGGCCTCACTCTGGTCCCTCTCTGGTCCCTCTCTGGTCTCACTCTGGTCTCAGCTCTAGCAGGATTCCTCAGCTCCTGGGGTAATCTGCTCGGCAACAAACTCCACAGTGAGGCCAGAGTTATGGAGAGAAACTGTAACAATAGAGACAAGAAGACTTTAAGTGGGTCAGAGAACTATGTCTGAACTTAGGTCTCCAGTGAGTGAGGTCCTGGGTCTACAGCCTCAGTCCTGGGTCTACATCCTCAGTCCTGGGTCTACAGCCTCAGCCCTGGGTCTACAGCCTCAGTCCTGGGTCTACAGCCTCAGTCCTGGATCTACAGCCTCAGTCCAGGATCTACAGCCTCAGCCCTGGGTCTACAGCCTCAGTCCTGGGTCTACAGCCTCAGTCCTGGATCTACAGCCTCAGTCCTGGGTCTACAGCCTCAGTCCTGGATCTACAGCCTCAGTCCTGGGTCTACAGCCTCAGTCCTGGGTCTACACCCTTAGTCCTGGGTCTACAGCCTCAGTTCTGGGTCTACAGCCTCAGTCCTGGATCTACAGCCTCAGTCCTGGATCTATCTCCTGCTGCAGTGCGCACAAGGCACTTAGAGCAGGATTACTACTACTAAGACTAAACTCCTCCAACACTGGGCCTTTGTCTGCTGGTCTCTTTTTTTTTTTTTTTTTTTTTTTATTGTTTGTTATACACACAATTAGATGCATTTACAGTTGTTGACAGCAAGTACAGTCTATGTGCGTGTTTTTTTTATTATATATACACAACCCCCCCTCCCACTACCACCCTCCCTCCCCAGTTCGTCTCCAGGTTGACAGTGTATCTCGTAGAGTTATGTTTGGCTATGTAAAAAGGGTAAGTAAGTAAGCATGTTCCTAAAAAGGGAAAAATAACTTAAAAAGTATATATGTGTACGAATGTATACACATGCACACACACATATATATACACATACATACATATATACATACGCACACACATACACACAAACACATATACATATGTTTGTGCACATACACACACACACACACATACATAAATAATTGCAGAAAAAAAAAGAAATAAGAATAAAGAAAAAAATAAAAATAAAATAGAAAATAGAAAATAGATTTGTCTGCTGGTCTCTGAACCATGGGGGTAACCTCGGGACCCCAGGGACCCCGCGGAGACTCCGGCCTGTCCGTCATACATGTAAACACAGTTATGTAAGAGATGGATTTATCTCATCATTATCACATTCTTCTGCACAAAACATCTTTGTCAGAGTCTAGAGGAGAGTAAAGCCTCTGCCACGCTAATTAACAGAGGATAGTACTCCAGATAGTACTCCAGTAATACTCCGGTGGTACTGCAGTGGTACTCCAGTAGCACCCCAGTAGTACTCCAGTAGTACTCCAGTAGTACTCTGAGGGTGTAGCAGTACTCTTACTCTAGTCCTGTATTTGATTTAGCTTCAGTTGGAGGGAGGTCTCAAAGTAAGTCAGTGGGAAAGAAGTCTGAAAGTCGACTGAGAGAGACCAGAGAAAGCCCAGAGAGAGAGACTAGAGAGAGAGATCAGAGAGAGACTAGAGAGAGACCAGAGAGAGACCAGAGAGAGACTAGAGAGAGACCAGAGAGAGACCAGAGAGAGACCAGAGAGAGACTAGAGAGAGACCAGAGAGAGACCAGAGAGAGACCAGAGAGATAGATAACATACAGTATATAATAGTTTAATACATCATAAATGTCTTTCACACATTTTGCTTCTGAGTCATAAATATTATAGTTTACTTCCGGTAATGAGGCCACGGCTCTGACTAACGTGAGGTTGAACTGCAGCCAAAGCTTTCCCCGTTCTGTGGACGTGTGACGCCTTGGTGTGAACAGGACAATGATGAACACCATGGTCACTTTACAACACTGTGATGGTCGTACACATGGTAGCCGTGTGTTTACTGACAACACATGCATGTTTTTTTTTATTTTACACTTGCTTCTTATAAATTTAAAGATATTATAAGCTTCTTTATTATGATAAAGCTATTAGCTAGTAGTAGTAGTAGTAGTAGCAGTAGCAGTAGTAGTAGTAGTAGCAGTAGTAGTAGTAGTAGTAGTAGCAGTAGTAGTAGCAGTAGTAATAGTAGTAGCAGCAGCAGTAGTAGCAGTAGTAGTGGTAGTATTGGAAGTTAGAGGACATTCTAAATTAAGTTAAACCCATGTCCTTCCTGAGCTCGTGTCGCACGTGTAGACTTGTAAACACCCATGGGACAAATCCAGGGTACAAACCCACGGAGCAGAGAGTGACGCGTCCATCTCCATCCCCTCCGCGCGCATAGGAGGCGTGTCCCCTTTACGCACAGACAGATCTGACCACAGCAGCTGAGCCCTGGTCACTCCACGCATCCCACACGTCTCCCGCAGAACTTCAGCCTCCTCACGGACCCATCGCGCGTAAAAGACCTACACGGTGCCAAAAAAAACCGTGCGTAAAACCACTCTCTCCAACCGCTCCATCCGCTTCCAGCTCCATCCTCCTCCGTGCGTAAAGGTCTCCTCCATGGCGAACTCGGGGATCCAGCTGCTGGGCTTCTTCTTGTCCCTGGTGGGCATCACGGGGCTGATCGTGGGGACCATCCTGCCGCAGTGGAAGATGTCCGCGTACATCGGGGACAACATCATCACGGCCGTGGCCATGTACCAGGGTCTGTGGATGTCGTGCGCCTTCCAGAGCACGGGGCAGGTCCAGTGCAAGATCTACGACTCCATCCTGCAGCTCGACAGTGAGTACCGAGCGTGCGAGGCCTGTGCGTAAAACGGCGACGTTGTTTTTGAACGTGTTTAAACTGGAGAGGGATTAGAATCATTTCAATGTGTTTGTTTATTGTTTTAAAGGACAACAGCAGGACTGAGGCTGTAGACCCAGGACTGAGACTGTAGACCCAGGACTGAGACTGTAGACCCAGGACTGAGGCTGTAGATCCAGGACTGAGGCTGTAAAAAAGGAGTCTGGGTTCAGAGGCCGATCAGGAAGCTGAACTCCCTGTCCTCCCTCCCACCCCTCTTCCCCCACCCCCCGCTCCACAATCAAGGATGAGAGCAATATAATTTCAAACCATTCACTTGGTTTGACAAATAAAAATCTTGAAATCTTGAAATTACCATGCCAAAAACCAAACAAATAGACAGAGGGTGAATAGCAATGAACAGACAACAGCTGAAGTCATAGTAATGGCCAACAGGGAAATAGGAGAGAGGAGAGGACAGTGCCCATGTATCTAAAAGATGAGCTGAAATGTTTCTCTTTCCATCATTTTGACCCATGATGTAAATGTACAGATATTTACAATTGTTTTGATATTTGAGTAAAACAGCTGTCTCTTAGCAAATTAAAGGTAAGCCACAATAAGGCCAATCCCCTAGAGCAGAGAGACCAAAAAGAGACCAAAGAGAGACTAGAGAGAGGCCAGAGCGAGACCAGAAAGAGACTAGAGAGTAGAGAGAGACCAGAAAGCGACCAGAGAGAGACCAGAGAAGCCAGAGAGACCATTTATACAGAGACAGACCAGCAACAGAGTCACCAGAAGTACATCCCATAACAACTGTGCAATCCCACACAGGAGAACCTCATTTGGTCAGTCTGCTTTCTCCATAAAAACGGCCAAACTGTGGAACTCGCTGCCCACTGACCTAAAAAACATATTAGAATTCAAGGAGTTCACCTCAAAGCTCAAGCTGTGGCTGAAAACAAACCAATCATGCACCCATTTATAAACCTGTAAACAGTATTTTGTGTGTGTGTGTGTGTGTGTGCGTGTACGTGAGTGTGTGTGTGAGTGTTCTCGTTTGTGAATATTTTGTCCATATGGCTGTTATTGGTGGGGGGAATGTCTTAATGTTAGATCACTGTTGTAAATATGTGTTTTAGGGCTAGGCCTATTTTATTCATTCTGTATAATGTGTTGCACTGTAGGGAAAAGCTCAACCAGGGACAGGAGTTGAAAATTAGCATTAGCTATACACTCCGTATGTGTCGCATCAGCTGCATTTTCATAATGTAACTATGTATGACTACATTGTCCCTGTCAAATAAATGAATAAATAAAATAAAAATAAGAGAGACCATGGAGAGACCGGAGAGAGACTAGAGAGAGACCAGAGAGAGACCAGAGAAGCCAGAGAGAGACCAGAGAAGCCAGAGAGAGAGACCAGAGAGAGACCAGAGAGAGACCAGAGAAGCCAGAGAGAGACCAAAGAGAGACCAGAGAGAGACCAGAGAGAGACCAGAGAGAGACCAGAGAGAGACCAGAGAAGCCAGAGAGAGACCAAAGAGAGACCAGAGAGAGACCAGAGAGAGACCAGAGAGAGACCAAAGAGAGACCAGAGAGAGACCAGAGAGAGACCAGAGAAGCCAGAGAGAGACCAAAGAGAGACCAGAGAGAGACCAGAGAGAGACCAGAGAGAGACAGGAGCGAGACCAGAGAGAGACGAGAGAGTGAGGCCAATTAATTCATTGCAGTTGAGGAACAAAAGAACAACATGTGTGTGTATGTGTGTGTGTGTATGTACTTGTTTTAGATCCTTGTGAGGAACCAATGTTGGTTTTCTCAAAACAGAGAACTTCCTTCCAGAAGCCATTCTGGATTCAGGGTCGAGGAACCACTGACATGATTGTTGCTGCAAGGCTACTCCAAGAACAATATTATGATCAAAACACACTTCTTCATGACATTTGTTGATCTGACAAAAGCTTTCGACACCGTTAGCAGAGATGCCTGTGGTGCATCATGGCCAAGTTTGGTAGAGTCCTAACCCTAACCCAAACTAATCCAACACAGTTTGGAAATTCCACGATGGCACGGAACGGTACAGGATAACAATGTTGCCTCAAACCCTTGTAAATAGAGGGGTCCCACAAGGCTGTGTTCTCGCACCCACCTCAGTTAGCATGATGTTCTCGGCTATGCTAACCGACGCATTCCGGGATGAAACTGCCGGTGCGGACTTCAATCAATCAATCAATCAACTTTATTTGTATGGCGCCTTTCCAACACAAGGCCACTCAAAGCGCCTCACAACCCACATAATATCACACAAATCAGAGACATCAATAAATACATTAAAAACAGAATAAAATCACAAATAATGAAAAAAAAAAAAAAAAAAAAAAAAAAAACGTAAAATATTAAAAGCACACACGGGATTAAAATAATAAATAACCACAATGCATTAAAAAAAAAAGAGTATGTATCAATAAAATCCTTCAGCTGTATGCACAGCTAAAAAGAACAGTTTTTAGCCCTGATTTAAAAATTGCCAGAGTAGATGCTAGCCTCACATCTTCAGGAAGATTGTTCCAGATTTTAGCTGCATAAATCTCAAACGCTGCCTCCCCATGTTTAGTTCTGACTCTTGGAACCAGTAAGAGGCTACCTCCTGTGCTCCTCAGAGTCCGGGTCGGTTCATATGGGACTAACAAGTCGCTTAAGTACCCTGGTGCGAGGCCATGGAGAGACTTGTACACAAGCAGTGCTGCTTTGAAGTCTATTCTCTGAGCCACAGGAAGCCAGTGCAGAGACCTGAGAACTGGACTAATGTGGTCATATTTCCTGGTCCTGGTCAGGACTCGAGCTGCAGCATTTTGGACATACTGCAGTTGTTTTACAGCCTGTTTGGAGAGACCTGTGAGCAGGCCATTGCAGTAGTCTAACCTACTGGAGACAAATGCATGGATGAGAATCTCCAGATCTGATTTAGACACTATGTTTCTAATTTTGGCAATGTTTTTCAGATGGTAAAATGCTGCTGATGTTACTGATTTGATATGACTGTTAAAATTTAAGTCTGAGTCCATTATAACTCCTAGGTTTCTGACCTTGCCTACAGGTTCCAGGGAGAGAGACTGGAGGTGACGAATAACGCTCTCTCTTTGTTTCTGAGGACCAAAGACAATCAATTCTGTTTTGTCTGCGTTTAGCTGAAGGAAGTTATTTTGCATCCAATCACTAATCTGTTGAGTACAGTGAAGGAGTGATTCCACTGGTCCATGTTCTCCTGCAGTAAGTGAGACATAAATTTGAGTGTCATCAGCGTAATTGTGGTAGGATACATTGTTGGAGCGTATTAACTGACCTAACGGCAGCATGTAAATATTGAACAGAAGAGGCCCCAGAATTGATCCCTGTGGCACTCCGCAGGTCAGAGCCATATGATCTGAGACACAGTTTCCTATCTGAACCAAGTATTTCCTGTCTTCTAGGTAAGACCTAAACCAACTTAGGGCAGTCCCAGTGACACCCACCCAGTGCTCTAGTCTCTGCATGAGGATCTCGTGGTCGACTGTGTCGAACGCAGCACTCAGATCCAACATTACTAAAACCGTTTTTAGTTTTTAGGTTTTTCCTGTGTCGGTGTTAAGTCGGATGTCATTTGTAACCTTCACTAGTGCAGTCTCAGTGATGTGATTGGCTCTAAAGCCGGACTGGAGCGCATCAAACGAACTATTAGTTACTAAGAATTCTGTAAGTTGTTGATAAGCAACTTTTTCCAGAATTTTTCCCATAAACGGCAGATTTGAAATGGGGCGATAATTCTTAAGAACTGTGGCATCTAGACTCCTCTTTTTTAGGAGGGGTCTGATGACTGCCGTTTTCAGGGCCATTGGAAATGTTCCAGATGAGAAAGACATGTTCACTATTTGTGTGAGCAAAGGTAAAAGACTGCTCAAAACAGACTTAAAAAATTTAGTGGGTAGTACATCCAGGCTACATGTGGAGGAACTAAGGCTAGAGACAACATCTTGGACAGTTTCATTATCTGTTGGTGCAAAGTGCGATAGCTCAAACAGCCTCACCGGCTGTTGTAATGTTATTTCTGCCTTGGAGGTGATGGCGTTTTTGATGCTCTGAACCTTGTCATTGAAAAATTGTGCAAACTCATTACATTTAGATTCTGAAGCAAATTCGAATGGCAGCTGAACAGGGGGGTTTGTTAATCCGTTAACTGTTGAAAACATAAGTCGTAGATTATTATTGCAGCCATCAATGGTTTTAGAAAAATAAATTTCTCTTGTTCTACGTAGCACCCTGTTAAACTTGCACAACTAATTTTTGAAGATATCATGATCAACCTGGAGATTGGATTTTCGCCACTTCCGCTCGGCCCTACGGCACTCTCTCTTCTGTACCATGACTGAGTCCATTTTAGTCCAGGGGGCCTTTGGCTTATTTGTAATCATTTTAACCTTCACAGGAGCGATGATGTCCAGAACATTTATAACATTGGCGGTGACAGAGTTAAACAATTCGTCAACAGTAGAACACAATGTGTTCTCAAAGTTTATCATTCCCATGAATAGTTCGGTTGTGTTTTCATTTATGTGTCTGTGTCTGACAATTGCAGATTCAGATATATATGGTTGTTTACTATCAAAACACATGTCAAAAAATACACAGAAGTGATCTGACAGAGCCACGTCAACCACATTTACATTTAAAATATTAACCCCCTTTGTAACCAGCAGGTCTAGAGTGTGCCCTTTGCTGTGGGTGGGGCCACTCACGTGCTGAGTGAGACCAAATGTTTCAAGTACACAACTCAGCTCTTTTGCATTTTTGTCATTGCCATTATCCACATGAATATTAAAATCACCTGTAATCCCTAAACTATCAAAATCGGTGCAAACAACTGAAAGCAACTCAGTGAAATTATCAAAGAAATTGTGACAAGACTGCGGTGGCTTGTACAGGACAATGATAAGAATAGAAGGAGATTGTTTTTGTTCTATTTTAAAAGAAATATACTCAAATGATAGAAAATTTCCAAGGAGAATTCTATGAGAGATAATACGATCTCTAAATAATGCAGCAGACTTCTGATATTGTCAAGATGGAAAGCTCTTCAACCTAAGGGAGGATCAGACGGTTGCTAAGGGAGGGTCGGACGGTTGCTAAGGGAGGGTCAGACGGTTTCTAAGGGAGGGTCAGACGGTTGCTAAGGCAGGGTCAGGCGGTTGCTAAGGGAAGGTCAAACGGTTGCTAAGGGAGGGTCGGACGGTTGCTAAGGGAGGGTCAGACGGTTTCTAAGGGAGGGTCAGGCGGTTGCTAAGGGAGGGTCAGGCGGTTGCTAAGGCAGGATCAGGCGGTTGCAAAGGGAAGGTCAGACGGTTGCTAAAGGAGGGTCAGACGGTTGCTAAGGGAAGCTCGAGTTTCCCCAGAAAATCAAGCCATCTGATTGGTCCATCCCATAGACTGTAAATATTAACGGACGTAGTCTTGCCTATCTTTGCCATTCTAACTAATGTGCCACAACTTCTGCGGTCTATGGGCAGTTTCAAAATGGCAGCGAGGGCTGGAAAATGTGGAAAAAAAATGCATCTGCGCATGCGTCAGCTGCACGAGCCCCATTCATTTAACAAGTGCCTTCAAAATTTCACAGCGACTAAACTAGACTGGTCCAAAAAAATTAACTTCCCTCAGCATTGGCACTGGGCCAAGAGCCGACTTTTGGACCTATAATAATAGCTGGATAGGGTATTACTAGCTTACAGCTGTCCCACCTATGGGCACAGGGGGCGCTCGTGGTACTGCAGACTAAATTCACGTGGGCTACCCAGAAAAAGTCCCAAAGAACTCAATGTAAATTAAAACAGCTCAACCTAAGCTCTGATTGGTCAAAGCACGGCCGAGTCCCTCTGTGCGCATGAGAGCCACACACGCGTATTTGGTGCAACGCATCATGGGAGCTCGTCCACTGCGCAGAACCGGGAGGACCAGACGATCCTGGTCCCCGTGAAGTCCCATGCGCTACTGAGCCATTCATTTGAATAGGGCGCCATCTTGGATCACCGGGGCTTGCCCCCATCGGCCCGGGGTGGTATTGCAAGCATGTCAGTGCACGTCATTTTGGCCACTTTTGAGCCGGGACCCGCCCCACTGGTCCATCACTTTGGCAGCCCAGGAATTTACAGGAGAATAGATGGCCAAGAAGAATGGGACGTTTTATTGTCTGTCCCTCTGTGTGTGTGCGTGTGTGTGTGTGTGTGTGTGTATGCTCTGCCTGTGTGCTTTATGTGTATATGTATTGTTATGTGTGTGTGTCTCTGTATGTATAATGTGTATATTGTAGCTGTTTGTGTGCATGCTGTATGTGTGTGTGCTGTATGTGTACTGTATATGTATTGGTATGTGTATGTGTCTCTGTGTGTGTATATGGTTGGTGTAGGTGTGTATTCTGTATGTTTGTGTGTGGTCAAAAAATTTACAATGTTTTAAAAACTGAAACAATTCTTAGCCTGTAACACACAAACAGGTCCTCACATGGTATTGTGTATTGTTGTATGTGTGTGTATACAGTCTATAAATCCAGTCCCACATTGAGTTCAGTTGTTATGGAAATGACAGTGTGTGTCCTGGAATCTCTCCCTCTGGTCCTTTACCTCATAAACACATAAAACCAACTGTGAATTAGTGTAACATTCTCTCACTGTGGTCTGCGGCGGCGGCCATATTGGTGCTATCAGTTCCCCAGTGAAGAAAGACCAGGCCCTCTGACCTCCCTGTGGTGTTGTGCTGGTCTGGACCGGCACAGACTGGTTTTTCTCTGGACCAGGGGAAACCAGGGCGTGTTTACAGGAGCAGAGGGAGCGGTGACATACAGCCCCTGACAGTGGAGGGGCCCCGGCTGTTTGTCCTCTGTCTCCACAGTTTCTGTTCCAGGAAAGGCCCACATTCCCCAGGTCCTGTCAACCTGACGGACACCCTGCCCTGGGTCTCTCTCTGACCAGACCAGAAAGAGAGACCAGAGAGAGAGAGACCCTGCCCTGGGACACCTCTCTACTGTACAGAATGTGGTTAGGATTTGGCGCTTAGACCCTGTCACAGCATTGCATGATTGCAGTGCATGAATCCCCCGGGCCTAGACCCTGGTGGTGATCCTCTGGGGCCTAGACCCTGGTGGTGGGAGATAGGAGAAGGATGAAAGAGCTGGCCCGGAAAGAGGCGGAGATGGGGAGGAGGAGGGTTGCGGCGTGAATGAAGCTGCTGCTTGGATGGAGCTTCTTGGCGATATGAATTTTGATGCCGACAGTGCCTGATGCTGCCCGCAGAAGTGTGATTGACACATGCTGTTGCCGTTAGCGACAGTGGGAGGACTGTGAGTGCTGGGAGCTTAGTTCTTCCAGTCTGAACCTTCGTTTTAGCTTCATGAGTGTGTTCCCTGTATTTGATTCTCTGTGTTGGTGTCTTTGTAAAGTCCTCTGAGAGAACTATATGTGATTTATGCAAAGAATAAACTGACTTGAATGTAAATTGAACCTCTGGTGTCTTCTGTCAGGTTCTCTGCAGGCCACGCGAGCCCTGATGATCGTGGGTATCATCGTGTCCGTGGCGGGGCTGGGAGTGTCCTGTCTGGGCATGAAGTGCACCACGTGTGGAGGGGGCGACAAGATCCGCAAGTCCAGGGTGGCCATGACGGGGGGCATCGTGCTGCTGGTAGGAGGTGGGTCCTGGTCTCACTCACAGCGAGAGGGTCCCAGTGGATGGTTAGATGTTGAATAAGGCCAGGTAGAATCAGGGCTGAAAAAAGTGATTCATAAAAAACAACTGTTATTAACCATAAGTTATACAGAAAATAGTTGTTAACTAGAAAGTGAACCTAACCTCTCTGGTCTATTTTTCTTGTCTCATTGGTCTCTGGTCTCTCTCTGGTTTCTCTCTGGTCTCTCTCTCTGGTCTCTCTCTGGTCTCTCTCTGGTCTCTCTCTCTGGTCTCTCTCTGGTCTATCTCTGGTCTCTCTCTGGTCTCTCTCTCTGATCTCTTTCTGGTCTCTCTCTGGTCTCTCTCTGGTCTCTCTCTCTGGTCTGGACTAAGACCTGAGTGACTTTAATGGTTCGGTCAAATGCAGCGGACACATTGTTTTCACAGTAATAATAAAGTATCTCAGCTCAAAATCTTCTAGCCTCTGTTTGATCTCTCCTTTCTTCTCCTTTTCTTCTGCTCCCTTCTCTTTTCTTCGTCTGTTTTCTTTCTTTCTTCTCTTTTCTTCTTCTTCGTTCCCTTCCTCTCTTCTCCTTTCTTCTGCCTTCTTCTTTCCTCTGTTTTATTCTCCTTCCTCCTCCTCTCTCCTTCTCTCAGGCATGTGTTGTATCGTGGCCTGCTCCTGGTTTGCCCACAACGTGATCCGAGCCTTCTACAACCCCTACACTCCGGTCAACACCAAGTGAGTCTTTCTTTGATGGTCCAGAGAGAACAATGTGTTATATTTAACTTCAAAAGACTGGGCTTGGATTCTATTGTGTCTCCCTCTTTCTCTAGTCTCTCTGGTCTCTCTCTGGCTTCTCTCTGGTCTCTCTCTAGTCTCTCTCTCTTTCTCTAGTCTCTCTGGTCTCTCTCTGGCTTCTCTCTGGTCTCTCTCTAGTCTCTCTCTCTTTCTCTAGTCTCTCTGGTCTCTCTCTGGTCTCTCTCTGGTCTCTTTCTGGTCTCTCTCTGGTTTATCTGTCTGATCTCTCTCTGGTTTATCTGTCTGATCTCTCTCTGGTCTCTCTAGTCTCTATCTCTGGTCTCTCTCTAGTCTCTCTACGGTCTTTCTCTGTTCTCTCTCTCTGGTCTCGCTCTCTCTCTGGTTTCTCTCTGGTCTCTCTCTGGTCTGGTCCACAGACACCAGCACACTCTGTCTTCATGGTCTCTCCTGCTCCTCCTCCAGGTTTGAGTTTGGCGTGGCCATCTTCGTGGCGTGGGGGGGCTCTCTGCTGGACGTCCTTGGGGGGACCATGCTGGCCTCGTCCTGTCCCCGGAAGAAGCAGGTCTCCAAGTACCCGGCCCCCACCTCCAGGTCCGGACCCCCCAGCAGTGCCAAGGAGTACGTGTGAGAGTGCCCCCTGCTGTCCGCACTCACACATGGACTATTGGACTTTACCCTTTTATACCAAGATCTGAACCCAAGCGGACCAGAGCCGCACCGGGACAATTATGGCTTTTTATGAGAACTTTGAGAGTTTATAAAGTGTGTTTTTTAGATTTGTCTGAAAGTTCTCCTCCTTCTGAACCTAGGGAACCATGAGAGTTAGAGCTGTACCATGAGAGTTAGAGCGGTCTGGACCATGAGAGTTAGAGCTGGACCATGAGAGTTAGAGCTGGACCATGAGAGAGTTAGAGCTGGACCATGAGAGAGTTAGAGCTGGACCATGAGAGTTAGAGCTGGACCATGAGAGTTAGGGCTGAACCATGAGAGTTAGAGCTGGACCATGAGAGAGTTAGAGCTGGACGAGAGAGTTACAGCTGTTCTAGTCTGGTCTTATCCATGGGTAATGCTAAAGCTATGCTAAATGCTAAAGCTAAGCTAAATGCTAAATGCCTCACTCACTCGGGCTCATTACATACAGTGCCTTGCGAAAGTGATCGGCCCCCTTCAACCTTTCAATATTTTGCCACATTTCAGGCTTCAAACATAAAGAGCGATCATGGGCCTCTTGGCTGCATCTCTGATCAGTCTTCTCCATGTTTGAGATGAAAGTTTGGAGGGACGGCCGGGTCTTGGTAGATTTGCAGTGGTCTGATACTCCTTTCATTTCAATATAATTGCTTGCACAGTGCTCCTTGAGATGTTTAAAGCTTGGGAAATCTTTTTGTATCCAAATCCGGCTTTAAACTTCTCCACAACAGTATCTCGGACCTGCCTGGTGTGTTCCTTTGTCTTCATGGTTCTCTCTGCGCTTTAAACAGAACCCTGAGACTATCAAAGAGCAGGTGCATTTATACGGAGACTTGATTACACACAGGTGCATTCTATTTATCATCATCAGTCATTTAGAACAACATTGGATCATTCAAAGATCCTCACTGAACTTCTGGAGTGAGTTTGGTGCACTGAAAGTAAAGGGGCCAAATAATATTGCACGCCCCACTTTTCAGTTTTTTATTTGTTAAAAAAGTTTAAATTATCCAACAAATTTCATTCAACTTCACGATTGTGTCCCACTTGTTGTTGATTCATGACAAAAAATAAAATTTTATATCTTTATGTTTGAAGCCTGAAATGTGGCGAAATGTTGAAAGGTTCAAGGGGGCCGAATACTTTCGCAAGGCACTGTATGTGACAGTAAACTCAGATCCAATGGAGCAAATCCAGACCTTAGTATGAAATGAAATGAGTACAATGGTGCGGTTAGACCAGGTAAGACCAGGCTTGATCTGTTTGGACCGGACTGAAAAGAAGCAGAAGAGACAGGAACAGGGCACTCACGACTTAACAGATAATTTAGTGCTAATCAGTGAATAATGTGTTTAATTAGTTCTTTAGTAGTATTTAGTAATCACTAATTAGTCCTTATTCTAAAGCAGGAGTCACCAGCTCTGTGCCGGCGAAGCATGGTCTGTAAACCGTGTCGGTCCCGGAGCCTGGACCCAGTCTTTAGTCTCACTCGGTGGTTGGCGTTTACAAAAGAGTCCGGACCGTGACAGAGACCGGTCTATGGCAGAACAAAGGTCTTACTGAGTCTCTTCAGGCAGAATGAAAACAGGATTATAAATATTACAGTTTTACGTCACATCCAAAAAGTCTCAAAAACAGAGACAAACCTGAAGTGACCAAGACCTGATGTGGTCTCTGTGTTTATTCAAACAATAAAACTGAAATATATAAACCAGATCAGAGCCAAGACTGAGCCGGGACTGAACCAGGACTGGGCCGGGACTGAACCAGGACTGGGCCAGGACTGAGCCAAGACTGAGCCGGGACTGAGCCAAGACTGAGCCAAGACTGGACCAGGACTGGGCCGGGACATTTGGTCCACTGTAGGTCTCTCTACAGGTATTTGTACTAAGAAGACTGGATGAAACTTCCTAAACTAGTCGTTTTTCTACTTTCATAGCTAAAAACTGACACTTTCCCTGTGGGTTAGAGTTAGAGCTATGCTTCTTTCAGACCGGATCATGCGCTGCGGTGACTTTCAATGCAAAGTCAATGGTGACGCGCGTTTGAGCGTGGAAATGCATGTGCGTCTCAAGACGCACGGACTGCGTGGTAGAGGCGCAGGAGCGGAAAATAGACTCACGCAGGAGATAAATATTGCAGCGCTTTTCCTCGGACGCTCGTGCAGCGACCAATCAGAGAACCGCAAAGTGGTCATGGACATTAGTGGTCTGAGCGAGCAGACTGAACATACTCGTAAACAGCCAAAACAGGAGCTACACCAGGACTAAACCAGGACTAAACCAGGACTAAACCAGGGTTGACAATGGGGGACTTTGACTTCTGGTCTGAAGACCTCTGCGTCTGAAAACTAGAGAATGTGCGTCTGGTGAGCGAGGCTTCAGCGTTCCAGCGTTGGCGGTCTGAAAGCAGCTTTAGCGTTAGAGTCAGAGTCAGAGTCAGAGTCAGGGTCAGAGTCAGGGTCAGGGTCAGAGTAGTCTGTTCTCCTGAGGTCCGTGGCGCTGTGAGGCTGGACTCTTTAACTGTGGCTCATATTAAAGTTTGTTTTTCTCTTTTATTTAACTTTTTGTTTTGTTTTCTGAAGAGAACCTTTATTTAAGTTTTGTACAAACACATCGTTCTGTGGAAGAAACCTCTCCAACTTCCTTTAATTCCCACGTTTCATATTTAAAGCTGCGGTACTTTTTTTTTTTTTTACCATAAATGATAATAATAATAATAAAAATGTTTATTTCACCTGAAAGTGTGTGTCCGAATAGTTGATTTTAGACTATGCTCTTTTCATTATGTGGCGCCATCTGCAGGTGAAAGCCAGATCCTGTCAGACCTCTGAAGCTAAGCAGTACAGGGCTTGGTTAGTGCTGTGATGGGGGACCTCTGGGAACAGCAGGTGCCACAGTGGGACGGCTGTGGCTGTAAAGATTTCTTGGGCAAGACACTTTATTCAGAGAGATAGAGAGACCAGAGAGAGGGAGAGAGACCAGAGACAGACCAGGAGTACACAGACTCAACCCATTTCCTCAGGTAAGTCGGATTTGAACAAAAACCTGCAGCGACACTGACCTGGACCGGTTTGATCCCTCTGGTCTAGAGGGAGACCAGAAGGAGAGAAGACTGAGGCTGTAGACCCAGGACTGAGGCTGTAAACCCAGGACTGACTTCTCCCCCTCTCTCCTCCCTCCTCTGCGACCTCCTGCAGACGCCTGGCTCTCACCTCGATGCTAACGCTCTTCACTCTATTAGCGATGGCAGAATAATTGACGGAAATCATTTCCACAGAGCGTTTGATACCGGGTGTCGTTGGTATAAATATAGGATTGGGATTTCACACCCAGGCCACAGGGGTAGGAGGAGGGAGGAGGAGAGAGGGATAGAAGGGGAGAGACATAGGAGGAGGAGGGGGACGTCACGAGAGAGAGGGGAGAGGGATAGAGGGAGAGGAGGAGAGAGAGGGAGAGGAGAGGGGGGGAGGGAGAGAGGGACCAGAGAGAAGTGTGGAGGAGGACAGGGACAAGAGAGAGGCATAGGAGGAGAAAGTGGTGAGGAGGAGAGAGAGGGAGGGGAGGAGAGAGAGGAGGAGAGAGAGGAGGAGGTGGATGAGAAGGAGGAGGAGGGGGAGCTGTCTACGGCTCTAGCTGCAGCACAGACCTGTAGACTGAGGCTACTACTTTATAGTCTTGTCCTAAACCCACTTTTGTTCTTGTCGTCTCTAGTGAAAAACAGATAAATCTCAGTTTAAATGTAATTGTTACAATAAACAAAATGGCCGCTTAACTGTTTGAATGTGTTTAGTTTGATCTCCCTCAGCGTCATCTCGTCCTGAGCGTCATCTCGTCCTGAGCGTCATCCTGTCCTGACGCTGCTCTGTAATAATAAAATCCAAAGAGGTCCAAAGGTTTTTATCCAAACATCTGTGAAGCTCAGGTTCTGCTGCTGCAAACGACTGCAACCAAAACAAACTGCATTTAATATGAAACGACAAGAAGTCACTGTTTAGATCAGAAGTAAGATTGTACCAGGTGTGGGGTCGTACCAGGTGTGGGGTCGAACCAGGTGTGCGGTTTGTGGATCTTTTGCCCTGGTTCCTGAGCTGCTGGACCACGGGGTCTTGTTTCTTGCTTCCTCTCTTCCCCATCTCCACCTTTTGTTCCCAAAACCTAGGTGCCTCGGGGCCAGCAGTCACTTGGGAAGTAAGTAAGTCATCTTTATTGATATAGCGCTTTTTCAGAGTCACAAAACGCTTTACAGTTGTTATTTTTGGGCATTTGTCTCTCACTCCGCACAGAGATGGGTCACCTACAGAAGGCACATGTCAGACCTATTCTGCGGGAAACCTACACAGACATGGGGAGAACATGCAAACTCCACTCAGAAAGGCCCCGTTCTGACCGGGATTCGAACCCAGGACCTGCCTACTCAGGCACTGTGCCGCCCATGTGTAGTTTCCACACAATGCTAAAAACAAACTGAAAATGTATTTGTTAATCCTAAAATGTGCAGTGACAGAAACAGTTACTGAGCTCCAGGAGTTTATGGAAGTCAAAAGGAGCCAGAGAGAGGAGCCAAACTTCACCATGAGCACTTCCCCATAGAGCTAGCACGTTAGCATTGTCCATGTGTGCACAGGTCCTGATCTGGGCGCGTGGATCCTCACAGCTGCCTGCTACAAACTCCAGCCACGTATGAAATAGTTGGTCCCTCAGTCATGGCCCATTATCACCGTCTGACACTTACTCTGACAGGTCTGAGTCTGGCCTCAGGCTCCGCGGGGTCCGGACCAGTCCCAGTCCCAGTCCCTGTCCCTGTCCCAGTCAGCTGCAAAAGGACTCTGCTTTTTGTGGAATAAGACATACTGTAGATAGATACGTCAGGTGTCCAGTAGCAGCAAAAAAAATAAAATAAAATGGATAATTCCAAAAATCTAATAATAGTAATAAT